AATTACCATTTTTGGAAATTCGGAAACGTTTTTTGCATTTATAAAATATGGTTTGCAAAATATAATTTATCAATCAAATTTAAATTTGGCACATTTGCTTCGAACAAGGCACTTTACGAGAAGTGGTTTACAGTCTCCTATACTGTACGCATAATATATGTAAAATTCCATATCAATTTATCCCTGTAGGCACCTTCAAAATTAAATTTCTCATGAAACTCATTTTTATTTTTAATATTCTTCTCCTCCAAAGTGTCTTTACGATCGTTTTGCTAAAATTACATTTAATTAACATCGGAATTTAAATAATTAACAATTTGTACTAAGGAGTGACTACAGACACGAACATTTTAATTCACACTTTGAAATGTGTAATCACTAGTTTTGGATGTTTTTGAGGCATTTTTAAAGGAGTTTGTTTTAGACAATTTTTTCAGTTATTTGTTTTTTCTCTGTTTTCGAGCGAGTACCTGTGATACTACAAGGCCACTGATTTATCATTATTTCTCGGTTTGCTGACATTTGAAATTTTGTGAAATTAGGTTCATTGCCAAGTTTCGCATACATAATTGTTGCCTGGAGCGAACAATAATTAAGTACATTAATCATAAGCTTGGATTTGAACTATAATGTGGATCTCGAACAATTTATTGGGAATGAACGTATTGATGTAGTCTTGTCATCGCGGCAAACCATTTTCCGTAATCACTAGGGCTGTAAAGTTGTTATAGTTTTTGTAAAACAGTTATAGTAAAAGGAATCTGTAAGATATAATCATAGCGAGTTTGGTTCAGGTTTACAATATGAATATACAGCTTCATCAGTGGCAATGAGACTAATAAATAAAATCGAATGACAATACGTATTTGAAATATCATTTGAAATGCATCTTATGCCACACAGTTGTAACATGTAACGTTATGTTATGTACAGGGAAAATAATATTCACTGATCGTATTTAGTCAGATCGTATTATATCTACTTATATGCATTCACTCTATAAATTTACACCACTTTCGGTCTTTCCTGACCTGCAGTCTAGGTTTAATTTATAATGAATTTCCGCATATTGATTTCGAGAATGCATTTGGATGGCCCTTATGTCGTAAATACAATTCAATTTGACTGTTTCAAGCGTAATGCAAATACAATGTATGTTCCGGTCATCCAATTTAAGTCATGTCTATTCGGGACACGCCACACTTTCAATTTGCGTCAAGTACGTGTACATTTGCATGATAGCATTGAATAAACACAATCATTGTGCCACAGATGGGCGATGGATATAACCAATAATTTATACTTGGCCAAACTAGCGTTTATTGATATAATTACGCCCACTTGTGGCCTTTTATAAATCGCAAACAAAGCGTATTGTTTGCATTGTGACAAGGTACACATACTTGAGGCGGGAATGGTATATTTTGAATTATCAATTATAATCGGGTAGTCTATTCACTCTATGCCAACAGAGTGTGTTTGTTGGACAGCGATGTTTTCGGAATGTATCTTGAGACCAGCCAGTTATGCAGAGTCATTTGTCAAGGCAGTGGAGGTTGGACATGTCTTACTATTCGGAACACTGCATACTTATGGCTACGACGTATTATATAACATGAAAATGCAGAAGTAGGTATAGTAGCAAGAGGAACTTTTGTTCACATTTAGTAAATATTTGAAAGGGAGGGTACAGTTTGTGTAAGTGGACAAATTATCATTTCAATCATATGACGGAATTTATAGAATTCGTGTTTGCTCAAAGCAAGGCCATGCGCAGAAGTAAAGCAGATAATATCTGAGTGAAGTGGTGAAAGACCACTACAGTGTCAGGGGCTACTAAGACTTTCTCCTATTTACAAAATATAACCGAATATTGAAATCTGCCATATTCATGTTAAATTAATTTGGAAACTCCATTCCTATTTATTCAAAATCTGACTTCTCTTCCTTGGCTGGAAATAGGGAACACCGAATTTGGCCCGCGTGTGATTAGGAATATCTCCCACGCACCTAAAATTTTATATTTTCAATATTTACACACAAAACAAAATTACTCGTACAGGTATGATCATAGGAAAAGCGAGTATTTGAAGAGCGATCAAATTTGGTCGAACATAATTTGATTTATTATTTGAATGACTGTCTGTAATTGTGTCATAAAATTTTGAGGTCTGCATGAGTTGCCTTATGCTTAATCATAGGATTTTTGACTGATTACGTCATTGCGGTAGTTCTGTGAGCAAACGGAAATTCAGATTGGCTTGGGAAGTCTGAAGCTTGAAGGTGTTTTAGTGGATATTGAAAGCAAATGTTAATTTAATATAAGGGTAATATACAGGAGTGTGCAGCCTACATCTGAAAGAACAGTGTGAAAACACGGTTTACTTATACAGCGTAGTATATACACATCAGTAGGCAGCCTACATATGAAAGAACAGTGTGGAAACAAGGTATATGAAAACATGTTAGTTAAGGATTATTTATTCAAGACCTAATTTGTTGTCGTCACTGCTTAAAAATCTCGGCTTACCTTCGCTGTAACAAATTGGGTAGAAAATGCCGTATCTGAAAGCAGTCTTTCCTAGTAGCTCTCTTGTTGTTTACACAAAACTTTTTTCGGATTGGATACGCGAAAACGTCTCATAAATAGAAATAGGTATGGATCAAATTTTTGAAGATAATAAAAATATTTTGACATACTAATCGAATAAATTATTTCGTGTAAGATGAACAGTGTTGTTTAATTAGAAAAATTCTGAAATTTACTTCCTTTTCGTTTTCGACAATTTCAAACTATTTAATCACCCTTAAAACCAAATTTTACATAAATACAATATTTTCGATTGTCTGTTTTCTCAACATGAAAGTTATTCAAGCATTATTATTTTTTTTCACATCCTGGTCGACGCTTGGTCCATAGATGAATACATAGGTGGCCTCGCGTGTACATAGTTCAATCTGTTCTGCCCTGTTTAATCCCAACAACAAACAAAATATATCTTTTCAGAAAATGAATACAACGACCGCAGAAACAAATTCGTCTTCTTTCATCTTCATTTAAGAGTGGTTTTTGTCATTTACTGTCCCATCATCGCCATGTTTGGTCCACCGATAATTCATTCGATTCATGTTTGTATAAACGTGGCCGGATATATTATGTATTTTTCTTCTGACTACTGAAAAAAAATTACAAAAAGCACCAATTTGGTTTAAGATGTGTATTTTGGTAGACAGTTGTTTGCAAATAAAAGAAATATACCGCACATCGATCAATTTTATGCTCGACTCAATTTTGACAAAAATGTTAGTGAAACGTCTGATTTTAAACGTAAATCGAATGTGTCTGTATAATAATGCGTCTGCTTCATTTACTCTGCATTTAAAACTAGTTTTTGCTCGTATTTTTAACAGTAAATTAGCCATGTATCGTGCGTTGTCATCCATTTGCTAAGTGCTATTTTCTGTTGGGAAGACTGTGTGAATGCGTGGTTTATATTACTTATTACTTAGTATCAGTTACTCCAAACCTCAAGTTCAAGTGGTTCAATTCTCGTTTTTGCAATGAAAAGAGAATTTCAATTATACATGCAGCGTATAGTAGTACTAGTACTACTAAGTAGAGTTTCTGTACAATTCAGTTAATTGACTTTTTTATTGCTAAGTTCAGATTAAATATATTATATCAAGTACTAGAAATTAACCAATACTGTACAGCTTAAAGATTGTTGGTACCGGTGTAGTAATTGAATCTATAAAAACTTACATATGAACTAGGGTTAGTAAATCATAAGTTTCGTTTGGTTTTATACTAAATCAACCAAGAATCGTGTAGAAAGATCAAATGAAATTTGTGGTCTTTTAGTTTGGTGATAGCTATCGTTTATATCGTCACTGGATCTAGATCGCAAGTTATAACATGAAAATCCAGTAGATCACAATTATACCGGAACCGATTTTACTGCATAGTACATTAAATTGACTAGCCGATATAGGAGATTCTTTCTAAACACAGAAGGCCTTAACTTATAAGTGGCTACTTATCTAGATACCTATTGGGTGCAAAAGCGCAAGATGAAATTTATGTAAATTTAACTTGAACGTGACAGATTTTGAATACAAACGGTATCTTATTTTATTAAAATCTAGTCATCAATCGGCGACCAACGAGGAAACACTCCAAAACATGACCACGTCTTACATTGTTGAAATCGTATAGCAATTCGTGTATAGACAGATAGACATTGAGTCGATTTTAGAAACCCAAAATCTTCTGTCACTTAAAATATTATCGGATGATCTCAAACGCGCCATTGAATTTGATATTTGGTTTCAATAAAGGTTTGATACAACGAGTGTCTACTTAGAATTAGTAGCGGTGTTTTTGATATCAGTTTTTTTGTGTTGTTATATAGCTAGAAGATTAATAGCAGGCTCAGCCTTAGACGTTTGATTTCGTATTTCAGTAAGCTATTTGAGATTTCAGATATTGAAGTATTGCGCGAGGATGTTATAATGGTAGCATGGCATATTATTTGACATTGTTGTATTTTATAATTGAATTGTTAGTTGTTACCTACTGTTTTGAGTTTAGACTTTGTTTTGTTTATGATGGTATTGTGCATTGTGAAACAAAGTATAGTATTTGGGATAAAATATTGAGAATCAGTGTTTCGTGGTAGTGTTGTTTAATATGAAATTTTAATACCAAGAAAACGGTAGAGTATTGTCGTCTGCTGGACTGTACAGGGCGGAGGGAAACTATATTGAAATCGGAATTGTGACAACTGAGAATACCAGGGTATTTTGTAGTGTGCCCATACTGAGATGGTGTATCAGAATTAGCAGCTGATTACGATCGATTGGTCAGTTTGGCTTATGACTTTATTCGCCATCATAGTACCGTGAGGCGTATGACATATCCTAATTTCATCCCAATTTTCTTCAACATGCTTCTTATGTTACAAATTTTTATTAAATTTCGAATTCCCTTTCATTTTCAGTTAAAACAATATAAAGATCACGATAAAAGAGTTAAAATCCGGGAAACGATCCGACTGTTGAAGGAAAGTTTACGCGAAGGAGGTGAGAAATTTTAACCGTAATTTTCTTCAATTATTTTGACTGATGGCACTAATCGGAACTCACTATTTATTGTATACGTGCTATATTCTGTTGGTTAGGTAAATAGTAGCATAGCCATAAGTATCACATTTGGGATACAGCAAGTAATCAACCATCAGTAACAATTTTATTCATCACACCATATACGGAATTGGACCAAATAATATTTTTGTAATTTGTTGTATTTCTTATTTAGATTCAACACCGTCGGGTAGTCGGTCTGAAGCAGCCGATTCTCCCTCCAAGACTCCAACCACATTAACACAAAAGTCGGTTTTCGAAACTACAACAACATACACCAAACCCGAATCCGATAGGTCAGCACACAAATTGACGCCAGACACCCCAGTAGAGTTTTCAGTTTCGTTCAAAAAGCCTGGTGGTACGACAACATTATCCCGGTTTTCGGGTCGTTCGACGTCACTGAGAACTACAAGACCGTCATACCAACCTCCAGCGGAAGCAGTTCAACGCACAAGTTCTTTTAAACTTACCCGCCCGAAGGATTTTATTATTAAAAAGGTCGACAGTTCTCCCCAATTAAGTAAAGTAGTGGAATCCGTCCCAAGCGATTTCAGAGAATACGCGGACAGTTTAAATAACAATATACCAGAGTATAAATTAACCGACCAGGCACAGAAACCGGACGAAAAGATACTTACGTCTACCCCTGTAACTGTATCCAGTACTGTAAGTCATAACAAAACAGCATCACCGTTCTCCGTTTCGGGAAATTCTAGCTTCAGAAAGCAAATTTGGTCTCCACCATCGAAGCCTGTTACCATAACCGTAAATACATCACTGCCTGTTCAACCTACAAGGTCCTTGCAGGTAACAGGTTTGCGACGCTCTGAAAGCACAAAAGAAAATCGTTCCAGTGATTTTCAACCTATTCCAATCGTTCGAGGTAACGTTAGAAGGTCAAAGAGCATTTTAGGGAGAATATTAGGACAGAAGATTGGCGTAAGTTCACCTCTTAGTAAGCCTTCAATAACGCTTGCTTCGTTGAAGGTTGATACACCCACCCACAGCGAAAACAGCAAGGAATATATTGCTGTTATTCCATCAAAAACTGAGCCAATACATAACCTTTCTGAAGTCGAGCCAAGCTCGTCAACAACACCAGCCAAAGACAAACCTGAAAACAACCAACAGCCGAAAGTTGAAGAAAAAGTTCGAATCTCACCTAAGTTAGAAGAAACGCCAAAGGTTGATTTCAAATCTGAATCGCTGCCACTAGAGGGCACTGCAGAGAAGTTTCAAACAGTCGATTCTGACAACGCAGAAAATTTTGAAAAATCGATCCCCGATAGTGTAGTTGAATCAAGTTTATCACCCGTCCATATCCGCAGCCGAGCTTCAAGCAGAAGTAGTAGCAGTACTTCAAGTAGTGAAGACGAAAACGTATACGAAGTAGCCAACGACAGCGACACTGACCTTAGTTCAAGTTCAGACGCTTCAGACGAAGAAGGATCCCAAACGTTATCAGAGATTGTTCGAGCAGCACAACAACAACCCGAAAACGACGAAGAGAATTTGTCACTCCCAACAACAGTCGAAACAGAAAAATCAGACCAAGTCGATAAAAAGAGAGAATTCGAAGTTGATTCGAATTTTGAAGAAGAACAAAACCCTTCTTGTATAGCAGAATCGAAACAAACAGAAGTAACAGTAGATGAGAATCATTCAACTACAGAAAATTTCGAAGAATCGCGATCCAGGATAAAAATAGTTAACCGATCTTTGACAGCGCACCCTGTTTTTCAAATCGAAAGAGCTCAAATTTTTAACGTTGTAATTGTAAAACCAGTACTCGCTGGTAAAGAACTCACAGACAACAACCCAATCTCCACTCAAATTGAGGAGAAGCAGTGTGTTAAACAATCTGAACTTTCATCGAGCAGTAGCAGCAGTGCAGAGCTTTCTGACGACGAAGACAGCAGCCCAGAAGAAAATAACATGGATCGTTTTTCAACTCGAGCTCTGCAATCCAGAGTAAGCGTGAAGCAGCAAATTTTGGCCACTGAAGACGGAAATACTAAGCCGTCACCAACGAGACGATCCCGCAACGATCGCAATCGGCCAATAAACACTGGTGATGACGTGAGAAGCCGCATTCAGAAGTTCAAGGTTCAAGTTAACGGCGACTCGGATAAACCCAGTCCTGTCAAAAGAAACGGGAGCGTAAAAATTCCTGGCGCTTCTGGTAAAAAAATCGACGTATCAAAATTCGAAAAAGGAGGCGATGAAAATGCTAACCTTACTCATAGCAAAGGTAAAACTACTATAACCATGACAACTGCTACACCAAGAAGCACATTGCGGTCTAATTCTAAGGAAGAAAACATAATGAAGTCTAAACTTGAGACTGAAAAAGCAATCAGCAACGGCTCAAGCGAATCTTCTGCCGACGTTGACAGGAAATCACGTAAGTCAAGTTCTAGTAGCGCGACTGAAGATTCTACGCGCACACGTCGTACGCGGCGCGCAAAACCAACTGAACCGGAAACTTCTCTCGAAAAAATCGAGAGAGTTGCATCTACAACTACAAAAGAACTGAAAGACACACACGAGAAGAAATTCACATCTGACGTCAAAATAAGCACGAAGACAAGCCGGGATCGTGCAACCACCCGTAAGGAAGATCTCAACAATAACACAAAGCACACAAACGGTGATGTTGCGCCTCCTAATGGTAACGAAAACGTCGAAGTATTGGTAAACGATAGTCTTAGCAGTTGGTCAGAGAGACGAAGAAAGAGGCGGGAAAAGAGACTTCAAATGGATTCGCCCGTCTCAACTACATCTGGAACAGAAACTGAAAAATCGACTGAAGAAACTTCCGATAATAAAGAAGCAGAGGAAGAAGAAAAGTATGTTATACATTGATTATATTTCCAAATATTTCTTCATAATTAAAATACTACAGTTATGATTTGTGTTTTATACCCAATAGAAGGTCATTCTACAATAACAAAAAAACCTAGTCTTTAACTAAATTGAAGCAAAAAAATATGATAAGAAGGCGCCTGATACCAGAGAAACGCATCAAATCAACCAGTTCTTTGATTTGGAATCTATTCCCCTTTGAGCCATTGAAAAATCGGCACTGGTTCCCGAAATGGAATCCAAAAATTTGAATCCGACCCCCGAGTTCCAACTTTCAAATAAATAAAGTTTTATGCATCACAATTTTTTTCTGTTTTGTCTAAATTTTGATTCAAATTTCTAATAGCTTGAAACTCGGAACCGGACTCATTTTAAAAGACCAACCAAGCTCCGACTGTACTTAATCCTTTCAAAATAAACAACTAAAAATCTTTATGTATTTTAGGGCTGCAAAGACTATAGCTTCAATAACACACGTACAACATTCTGCACCAGTACTAACAGATATGGACTCTTACTCCTTTAAGTTATCAAGAAATGGCAGCCGTGAGGAACCTAATATACCAGAAAAGGTAACCTAATCTGTTTTAATGTATTCTCAGGCCCGGGTCACGCGTAAAAATTTAGTATTTAATCAAATGCAACTATGTATCATGTTTGATTGGAGTATTATTATGATATCAACGAATTACCTGCAACATTACCATATTGTAACTATAATGCAATATTATTTTTATTTTTTGTCAATGTCAATAATATCTAGGAGGAAGAGGAACAGGAAGTAGAGGAGTCAAAGGTCGATAGAAAAAGTTCCAGCGTGTCCAGATCTTCAGTATCGTCTGAAGCTGAAAGTGAGTGGATTTTAACAATAAAATATATATTCTTGCACTGTAGGACCTTTATAACTTAGATTAGATTTGCCATGGTAAATACTGCATATAAAAAACCCAAGGGAGTTTTCGTAGTTTCTAAATCATGAATGGGTTGCTTGTATAGTAATAGGTATCTCGAATATCAGAAAATCTTTCGTAATGTAAAAAACAAACCCTTACAACACAAGCTATTCAATGTAGTGTGTGTAACGTGCACTGTATCGTATAAAATTTTAATGGATACAGTTTATAAACAGAACACCAACACTATTTAATTATCAGTTCTCGGCCACAAAAACATCAAATTTGATCTTTTTGCATCAAAAGTGACATCGTTGAAGATCTTAAACATTTGTATAACTTTGATGAATATTTGGCTTTGAAAATTCCAATATAGACATGCTTTTGTCAATTAATTCATCAAGAATCACCACTAGATGTCGAAGCAGTTCAAACCTTCCATGTTGTCAGACCTTGTTACAGATGCTGTCGAGATATGAACTTCACACTTTTTTTCATCCCACAAAATTAGCGCTGCAAAACTGTTATGAGCGTTTTAAGGTGACGAGGCCATTCGCAGCTTGAGTGCAGAAGGTTATGAAATATGCATTTTGCACAAACGTATTGATATGTGTTTAGACTGCGGCTTAGTTTGCTAGCAAGAAAATTGATTCTAGAAATTGTATAGTAGTTTTGCTTTGCTGGCGGTGGAATTATCTTTCTACATTGTTTACATTTGAATGGTTTTTCCTTTGCTGGATTTTGATCTTTGTGCAAATGATTGGATATATCGTTCGTATTTTGGTTGTTAATTTTAAATAAATAGATATTCGCTATTGTAGTTTTAGGCCAAAATTTCAGAAAAGTATTAAAATAAAATGTTCTGAAAGTCTACTTCATCGTTTAAGTACATGAACTTATTATTACTAAATGGATTCGGAAAAAAGTATTTGAGTATAAATGGATTTTCTTTACCAACCTACCTGATGGAATCTACCGAAATTGTTGAATTGTCACGGCCACGTTTATTATCTAAAAGAGTTAGGTCTTATGCTATCGGGTTATATCCTCTGTTTGATCGGCCAATATTGTAATGTTACTGGAAAATACATTTGAATCTGTTGATTCTTTTTATTTCAACGGTATGACCGTTTCAATTTGTACACCTGTGCTAGTTTATCTGATTCGAAAAATTTAGATTAGGAGGCAGCTGTCTAATTTCTGCGAAATTATATTCAAATTGTTTGTCATTGTATGATTTGTCGTTATTATATCACTTCCGTCGATTTAATTAATTTTAGACATTTTTTTATCTATATCATTTAGCAAATAATTTTTGTATTTTTGAGGCTGAATCAACTAACAAATTCGTAATCTAAACTAAAGTCAGATTAGGCTTCGTTCGACGCTATAGCATTAGGTTACCTATTTTTTTTAAGCAATAGTAAAACGTTTGAAGGACTGAAAAAAACTATAAACCCGTTCGCATACTATACAGTTTTATTATGAAGCCTTTGCTGATCATTTTTCAAGGAACAACACCAGGTGTATGTATACCGTATGTTTGTATCCTAATGTTCTTAGCAGCTGGTAATAAGTTAGGTCGCTCTGGGTGACGTGTTACTGATAGCTATCAGAGTTTCGTTATCTGAAATTCCGAAGTAAAATATTTGAGTAGGCTTTTTGGGGCCGATACCACTATTCCTTATAACTTTACCAATGTTTGCAGTTTCGGATACGATTATGGAAAGCTTGAAGGTTTATTTGCAATTATAATTAGAAATGCTTCCTTCCCCTTTATTTATAGACGTGAAACCGTATAAATGACATTAGTTGTATAAACCAGAATATTCCTCCAAAGTTGATTTAATTAGTTAATCAAAGTAGCATACTTCATGATGTAACTGTCGTGTTAAAATATTCGTTTCTGGGATCGAATTAGCATCCCTATCGCTCTTACAACTCGTCCATATCGGAAATATCCGCAATTATGACGAATGACACGGAAGTATTGTGTCGCCACAAATGTTATTATATTCGTACATTAGGGTGATATAAGTCTCGATCTCATCAATTGAAATGTTAGGGTTCTATTATTAGTGGTATCTGCCCGAGATACTTTCTTATTAGTGGGTATCGCCGGCTAGTCCCGCCTTTGTTTCTGTGCCCGATTCGATATTCGTCTGCATATTTCGTCCGTGTTTTCGTACGCATGTGATGAGAAAGTGACATTCCGGCGCTAGCGTGTTATGTACAATGAATCTCTGGCGCTTCCGATTCCTGGCATTTCGTGAACAGACAGTTCCGGGATATATGGAATTGTTTTCTGTCATGTCTTGTCTGCTTTGATTTTCAGTATCCATTGTATATTTAATGTCGTGAGTCTTTTCCCCAGAACCCTATTGAGATGACGATTGGGGACCATGTATCCACCCATTTTTCTCGCTATAACTTTTTGAGGTAACGAAAACGCATTTGAGTTCCTTTTACGCTTATCCGGTCAGAAATCAAGCCATTACTACTTACTAGCATAAAAAAATTGACTGAATTCGAAATTGTTACAAATGAATGCTCCCATAGAATAGCTCCGACATTCGTATTTCGCATTCCAATTTCAACAATACCAAAGTTACACCGTTCTTATTTATAAGTTATGTTTCTCATTATGAAATCTTCTTTTGTGTTCAATTGTACATATTGAGACAAATCATATCAATTTACAGACATTACCAATTTAACAAATGTTGGTTATTGTCCCATAGTGTCTTGATTTTTCGTCGTCACCGTCTCGCGACCAACTTTTACTTACGTAAGTAACGTCGGCGTAATACGACGTGAACGTCATAATATCGTGGTTTGATTTGTTGTCTGATTTGTATTTCTAGATTATGATTTCATTTTGTTTATACATTAATTTCCAAAACGGTAAATTTAGTGGTTTTTCGAACTGTAACAAACTCTGGGATTTCCGTAATGAAGAGCGTGTTGTATGAGTTTCTAATTATAGTACATGTATAGGGAATGGCCACTCATCACATCGAATTACGGAATAAACATGATCTATTACTCCTTATTGTATTAGGTTTACCACTAATTTCATTGCAATATGAAAGTGTATGTATGCGAGAAAGTCTAAATACAATTAACAAGTTTCACTCTTTGTTTGCTTCGGCTGGTAAATTTCTTGTACTGGAGTCACCCCCCGCCCCCAGGTACTAACGAATCAACAAATTACTGTCTTCAAGAGTTTGTGTTTTTGAGATAGTCTGGTTTGAGTGATCGCCTTATCTTGTGTAAACGGCGCCAGTTTGGTTAGAAAAGAAAAATGCGTATGTGGATCTAAGTATTACTACTTACTAGAGACTTTTCTGACCACCTATAAGGCTGGCTGGCATTTTAGCACAATCATCTTTCAAGTAAAAGTGAATCCTATAACATTGTTTTTTATAAAAATAAAAAAAATTGTGATTTTTGCAAAATTGACTACAACATACTGATTCACGAAACAAGACAATATAACAATACAATAGTTCATGTAGTGGTATTATTATTTCTTTAATTTAAATGAGTCATACGGAACAAATTATACACACTAAACTACGCCACCATAAGTATTAGAAATATTTCTCTGTGTAATATTGTAACTAAAAGGTTATGTCAAAGTATCACATTGTTTTAATGCCTTGTTCATCTTGGGGGTTTTGCGGTTTCAGCAGAATTGTGGGTTTTTTGCGAAACGGGTAATTTAAATATGAAGTACGGAAGTACTATATTTCTTCGAATGGTACCCGCTATTTCTGTATGAGCCTTATAGCTTTACCTATGATAACGTTGGCGCTCTCTGTTGAGGTCACGCTCGTCTTACTGGCCTTCCTCCCTAATATATCGTATTACACCCGCCCATTAGCACGCGAAATTCCCATTTTATTTGAAAAAGTTTTTGTTAAAATTTGTGGGTCAAATCATATACACGATTAATTACCGAATATTTTGTGAAATTTTAACTTTCGTGTGCAAAATTCGTTCAATGCTACATTTTCCGCTCACATTTACTCAAAAATTTAAAAATCTTCTAGATACACAGAGTAAATACGACGACGAAGACGAGGGTCTAACTTTGGCAGCAGATAAAGTGGAAATGGACGAAGATGACGTAGTCGCAGATGACACGAACACCCAATCAGTGGAAGTAAACGGAAACTCCGATCATGACGTAGTCGAGAAAGAGAGAGAAATTTTTGGCCAGGACGAAACGAGAGAAGTCGACCAACAAGAAGAAGAAGAAGTCGAGCAAGACAAAGATGACCTGTCTTCAACAAAAGAAGAAACAAAGTCTTCCACGGATTTCGTGATTGAAGACGACAAAAAAATTACCGAAAACAATGACATTTTGGAAAAAGATACCCTGCAAACAACAAACATTAATACCGATACCACGCTTTATAACGCGGACCCCGTGGATAACGACGAGCAAATCGACAGTACCCCTGATTTGGAAGCAACTAGCGCTGAGAACGAAAGTAACGTTACCACTGAAACACAAATTATTGAGCAAAAAGTAGACACTGCCAAAGAAATAGAACTTGATAGTAGCAAACCAGAACGCACAAGACGACGACATAAAGATCGCAAAGCTAGTTCTGATCTGACTGACGAAATTGACAGTGAAAAACCGAAGCGTAGGCATCATAGAAAAAAGGACGAAGAATCGGAAGGTGTCGCTGACGACGGTGAAAAATCGAAAAGAAAGCATCATCGAAGACATAAGAAATCAACTGAAGAGGGAATCGAAAAATCAGAAACCGAGAAACCTGTAAAAGAAGAAAAATCGAAAGAAAAAGTAAAAGACGATAAAATAGAAACTAAAATAGGAAGATCGAGAGAGGAAAAAGAATCAAAAAGTATGTTCTTTTCCTTCTTTTATGAAAAATCTTAAAATATTTTTTCGTCAATGTCAAATTCAATTATGAGTTTGTTCTGTGTGCTTTGAATAACATTAGGCTATCAAAATTATCAGTGTTTATATTTACGACCAATTGAACCTAAATTGATTACTTGATTAGTACTAAACACCATAGTATACGATTGGTTGCACCATGCCATTGTAAAGTATTTTTTCAACAACTCATATGAAAAAAAAATGTTCAATAAATCGCTATTTGCCATTGGTTTAATGATAAAAATTTTATTTTGATGAATTTATCCCTGGATTGACATATCTTAAACCACCAAAATCGCTTCAGTGGTTTCAGTGGGTTATAAAATCTCGTGAAATATCTAAATATATCTAGTTAGTGATTTTGAAAGCAATGGCCCGATTTTATAGGTTTTTTTTTATCAGTTTTATTCTACTCACCAAAATGCTTGTTTGAATTTCCAGTTGACTGAATCCACTCGGAAATGTGCCAAATACTAAATTATATTCACAACGCCCAATATGCAGGACACACTATCTTATATATATTTATATTGCAAGAAGAAATCCACAAGTATTTTGGTATACACTTATAATAATTGGTGAAGAATGCCAAATTCTTGTGAAATATGCTTGTAATATTGTATTCATATAATGTATATATACAATAGACGTACTGAGCCTAATTTAAATCTAATAAATTTATCTTATTTGTTCTAGAATCGGAGACTACTGAACAAGATAAGTCTCCAAAATTAGAGACGAAGGAAGATTCCAGTGCAACGTCGGATACCAAAAAATCAAAAGAAACGACTCCGTCCACTACTGAAGAATCGAAAAATCAAGCCGCAGAAGAGGTTAGTTAGTAACTTGGTACAACCATTTTCAACTAGATTAATACGACCGATGTACCAAGAACTGTATAGCAGGAACGGGGAAAATTTTTGAGGGAGAAAAGGCTTTTCAGTTAGTTACGGTTGGAATAGTGACATTGCCTATAATAATGATAAAATATTTGGGAAATAAGCAAATAGAACGGTAACGCTTTAACGACGCTGTATCTCCATTGCAAATGTCAATTTTTGTGGGCAATATGCGGACGGGTATATTTTGTATGAAAACTGTTCAATGCTAATTTGTAGTTAGTCAGCCATGATGACGAACGCAATCAGTAAACACAATTTGTCATTGTAGGTTAGTTTTCTTGTCCCACGCTTTAAACACGTTGCGTCGTCGATTCACACAAGTATAATGGGATTGTAGATTCAAATTACAATGACAAAGTGTATGTTATGTTTCCATTTAGACAATTACTTTTGTCCCACACACGTAGGGTGCTTATGGATATACTGTAAAGGTATTTTTGTTCTTGATTTGGCCGAAAAATTTTTTTTGTCCCGAGTTGATGTAAACATTACAAAATCATGTGTTTGAGATAGGAGTGAAGACAAATATTTTAGTCAATAATATATGAATGTGAATATCGTAAAATCATCGGATCATAATGTCTCTTTTGTAAAAATGTTCTTAGTAGTTTTTATGAGTTGCTTATTCACTCCGAGCAACGCTTGAAACAAGCATTCCATCGGAATTTTACCCTTTCTTCAAAGTCTACAAAATTGGTTACATTGGGGTGGTGTATATGAAGATTGGCATTTAATCTACGACAACATAGTTATTAACGTGCTATCAAACCACACATATCTAAAAACTATCAGTTTTGTAGGTAATTGGAAAAAATTGGCCGTTTCAGTCACAATAGAAACAACTTAAATGTCTGTTATCAGCTCGAAAGAAAGTTTTCAATTTATTAAAAAAGTAACAATATCTCAGCGATATGGATAATAACGCATGTAGGTTTTATCTCCAGCAAATAAAAATCGTCTTCGCGCTAGACCTTATCATATGTATCAATTTAGTTTTAATAAAGGGCTCAATGGTAATTAACCGGACTACACAAACAATAGATTAGTTGTGATAATCCAACCCTGTTGTCAGCCATCTAAATTACCCTCGATTTAAAGAAAAAGAAAAAAAGTCTCCGGAACGGGAGATTTATTACCGATGAAGTGAACATCTCCGAAATAGTCTGTCGAATAAGCTAATTAGAGCAAGTTTATAATCGTATTATAAGAGATTTTATTAAAGTCATTAGGAGTCTTCTTTCCCACGGCGCTCAGGTCTCCAGTGTCCCAGTTTTACTTAGGTTGCCGTAGAGAACACAGGGTAACATAAAGAAAAATTCATTTTTATTTTGGGAACTAGAAAACAAATATGATAGGAACTGTACGAAATCGCATACGGTTTTTCGAGGTGAGCATTAAAAATGTCGAAGTATATATAAGTGTCCAAGCGAGACTACTTTTGATTGTAATCGTCATAATGTTGTATGCATGAAAACAAGCTCACGTATAATATTGCCTAAATGTGTTGTACAATTTTTTCTTTGTGGTAAAATCAATTCCAATGCGTTGAGAAATGTATTACAGAACATAAATGCGCCGTGAATTGAAAAAAAGGTTGATTCGTTATAATATATGGTGTCTGCTATGCTGTAATTAACACAGCAAGATGCGTTGAATTTTTATATTTTATAATTTATGAGAACTGAAAAAGTTGCCATAGTAAAAATATGGCCATACATATGAAGAAATAAAAATGAGAATCACGGAGTATTTTGATTCTTCTTCTTCAATAACAATCCATTTAATTCTACACAGCCGCCAAAAGAAATGCATTGCTCCCTCGACAACGTCGAAGAAATCTCAGACCTCAGCGTTCTGGAGAAGATGGTGAGTGTAATTATGATGTCATAATATTGTTTTAAACGCTTCATCAACTACCAGTCAAGCTCTGATTGATTAATTATGTTTGTTTCAGCTCTATGATTCTGAAAACATAGACGATAGGAGACGAATAAGAAGCGTGATGCGTGCCATTCGTCGAGGAGAAAAACGTAAGTGTATATATTGTTTCGTTACAGTAACTATTATGACGTCACAGAATTGAAGTAAATTATCTTCTGCAACTGAACGAGCGTCCTAACTATCTAAATATTAAACAGACTGTAATTTGAATGTAAGGCTTACAGTCTGGAGAAATGTCTTGAGCAGTCTTAAATCACAACGTTTACAAAATTTCTTACTTGTTTTCTGTGTAACAGCTACTAAAGATAACACTTTGAAACCAAGAACGACAAACGGGTCCGCTATCACCACAAAAAGCAAGTAAGTAAATTCATCTTTTTTATTTATATAGATTTCCATTTTAATATCTATAACTAAAATGTAACTTCTGTTCAGCATCGGACCGTCCCCAGGTGATCTTGCGAAACGAGGAGCACTTCCGAAAGAGGGCGCCCGTGAATCGAGATTGACTTCAACAAAAATGGCTTTCACAAAACTAGGTAGGTTATTTAGCCACCAGCTGTTTCGTATTATATTCACCAAGAATGAATTATGCATCGGCCGCGCTCCATCGATGCCTTTCACCTATGTTTCATTCTTGAAGGAAGATATGAAACGATATGGTATCAAGTACTTTCCGTGTTCCGCTGATGAAATATCTTAACAATCAACAGGCATCGACACTTCAAATGCCGCCATTCTCAATCTAAGAGTGTCAGCCTTTCCGCGCATGTTCAAGCGGTAATTTATCGATAATTGCTTGTTTTTTGCATTGAAAGCTATTTTAAGACTTGTTGACTTACGATACCTCAAGTCCCATATAAACTGGCGGGTACTCCCGAAGTATTTGAACCAAGATGGCGGACACCGGAACGTAGTATGTGTACCAGGTTAGGGTTAGGCCATAATTTCAGGTACAAATACTACGGGAGTCACTTGGCTAGTCCCCGAACTTGTAATAGAACTAAAATAAGAAAAATTGGAATAAAATTATGGCCTTACACTAACCTAGTACACATACTACGTTTCGGTGTCCGCCATCTTGGTTAACATACTTCGGGAGTACCAACTGGTGTCTAGTGACATGTAGGTAGCACCAATGGAACTCGTGTAACTCTTGGTGTGTCAATCGCCGCATACTCAAAATTCCACTGGTTGTACATTGACATCTGTACATGGCCTTGTTGCTATTTTGAAACTTTACATGGATGTCGAGAATCAGTGAGTGCTCAAAGCAATTTCCAATACTGAACAATGATTTCTTTAGCGCTAATGAGTTTGTTTTGCACAGAATTCGGCTGTTTTATATTGAATATATAAATAACACATGAACCCTATTTGTCAAATTTTGCTGCGCCGATACTATGTACCGATATTGCTTAGGTGCCATGAGGGTTAATTCCGTTGGGAGGTGCATGCGTCCGGGCCTTAACTCTCGCGGTCTTTAAGTCGAGTGACGTCAAGTTAGATTACAAAATTCTCGCTTCAGTTTATCTTTAACCCCATGTGGTGCGTGAATGGGATTTATAAGCAATTTTCCGCTCATTAACGACGCAGGGTTAAAATCACAATCAACCAGGTTTGCAATTAGTTACTGGTTTATCACACAGATGAATATAGTAGCTATTCGAGATGCAACTTCCTCAAGTAGCGATAGTGAGAACATGAATTTAGTTTGGACAGGTAATTCGGGTCGTCGTTGTAATGAATTGTTTACGGTATTTATGTAGTGAATTGCTTTTGTAAATTATGAAGTTTCCAAGTCAAGCTGACAATTATTCATAAATTCAACTTTGCTTTGACATGATCTAATTTTGAAAAAAAAAAGTGGGATTTTGTAAATAATATTCGTTTTATTGGGGCTACTGAGGGAACCGGAATTGGTATTACCGCGTTAGCAGTTAGTGTTTGCAGTCAGTCCATAGTTCTTCTGATACTTGGATTCATTCTATACTTTCCTCAATCCAATTACAGCAGTTATACCGGTATAGTTTGCGCATACTAACTTACGATGTGCGCGGCGGTTCTTAGATAACCCAATAAGATATTCAGCTGGCTCGATTTGAGTTGACTGTCCTAAATTCGCACCGAAGAGCAATGTAGATAATAAATTGTAAATTCACTTGTATGCTTTGCTTTGAAAAACTCGTTTTTGTGTTCACGGGAAAGACAAGTTTTGGTAGATTAACATCAAACATTTTTTTGTTTTTACAGAAAAAACAGATACTGGTTCAAAATATACATCTCTTAGAGCAGAAAGAACAACGATGTCAAGTGGACAGAAAAAGGTTTGTTGAACATAACCACACATACAAATCCTGACTCTACTACGATCGTAGTATATATCATTAGTCGCTTTAAACCAACTATCCAGCTATTTAGGGAACTTAGCCATAGTAGAACCAACGCAAGATTTTATCAGTGGAATTTATACCTTTTTGACCTTTTGTACTTCTGCGAATTTTTTTTGTAAACGTAACTGTAATTTTTAGATTGGAAGTATTTTTGATCGCGGAGAAGACGATGATGACAGCCGAAAAAGTTCACGTTCTGGATCGTCACGCATGGCTGACCTTGAACGTCGCCAAGCAGAACGAAAGCGGGAATTGCAGCGGAACCGCTCAATGCCTGCATCTTCGTCAAAAGACGCCAGAAAAGCTTTTGTAGCAAAATTAGAAGGGGGTGCACCAAAGTGAGTATCGTTTTCATTTTCCTAAAACAATTGTGACGAGACAATGGATGATAAATACGTCATTATTATCTCATTGCAGAGGACAAACGAAAAAAGTAGGAAGAAGCCCAACATTTGTTGTTCCGAATGCGAATAATGTTAAGCAGCTGCTTCTTAAATGGTGCCAGTCAAAAACGAGAGGATATGAGGTACGCTTCACCATTTTATCTATTTTTTTATCAAATTCACGTTACACGAAAGTTTTTCATATTTATGATTTTTTACCTCTCTCGTTGACTATATCGCTTTTTTTTCAAATTTTCAGCTCAGTAGATTAACTTGATCATTATTTTATCAGCACGTGGATATTATGAATTTTTCAAGCAGTTGGGCATCCGGGATGGCGTTTTGTGCATTAGTGCATAATTTCTTTCCCGAAGCTTTTGATTACAACAAACTGGACCCCAAAAACCGAGCTGAGAATTTTGATCTCGCTTTCAAGTCCGCCGAGTAAGTATTAGATATAATTATATGGAATAGCAAATTAAGATAGCAATTTATAAGCCGGATCAAGCGTGGGGTATGTATTAATCTATCCTGTTAGATTACCCAGGCTTGATCTGGCATGAAAGTACTATGAAGTAGCCACTACACTTTAGGATCTAAGCATGCGAGAGATTTCGCACTTTAAAAATAAAGCCTGAAAAAAGATTATAATTTGCTACCATTTAATGTTTGTATCGTCAAAAAGAAATTGAATTTATGATGGTTGCCTGCTCTATTCAGCAGTGAAGCCCATCCGTTTTATATAATTGTAATTATTGTCGTCAATGTATTAAATTATCCTAAATATTGTTATTAGGCAGAAATGGGCCGTTCTAAAGTTGAAATTTGTCAGCCATGATGATATTCTCTATTAATGCTGACGTAACAATTCTGAATCTATTAACTCTCTCATTTCCCCTTTTCTCTCTCTTTCGCTTTCTCTCTCGTTTTTGAACTGCGACAAAATCGAAGGTGGATTTTGCCGTTTCCTTGCTAATGACAAAATATACTTTGATATATAGATAATAATATAAACAAATGATTACCTTTTGGAAGCCGTACAGAGCCTAATTTCCTTTCAGAACACACTTATAAATAGGGCTTTATGATGCCATAGGATATTAGACTACTTTGTGACGCCATAATTAGTTGCACCGTAATTCTCGTTATCGTCGATGCATGGTTTGGTATTCAATATGGAATGAGAGTGAAGAACAGTCTACTATGCAGTACAATTAGGGATGTCCAATAATTTACTTACAAAATTAAAAATGCGAGCTATCCGGAAAATGTTTTTTATAAGAATTCTGAAAACTGGAACTGCTGTTGTAATTTATTATAAATTTACCATTTTGTGCAAAGAAATGTATCCAAATCTAGACATAAAGTATATTTTGTTGTAAGATAGACTCATTGGAAAATGGACATCCTTATAGGTACAATACATGTTGTTGCATGGATAATATATATATATACGGTGTATCAGAAAAGTGTGACAACTTCAAAATCACCTATAAAAAGAAAAAATGTGGCAACACACATTCTACCTTCATTTCACTCACACGAGAAAACATCACCACATATTGACTGTTAGAAGATACGTAAATTCACTATATATTTTACTATTGTTTGATTTTGTGTTTTGAAGAAGTAATCGAACTGAAATATGGCTATCAGTGACGTAATAATGTACATTGTTGTGTCACTATCCAGCGGGAAATGGAACCAATAATTTCAAAATTATTTTTGGCGCCATATCATCATATTTTACTATTGGCGATTGATGATTTATGTCTTACTGGCACCCGAACATTCGATATTTGGCCCGATTACCAAAATATTCAAGTTTTATTTACTTTGGAAAAATATTAAATAATTTAAAGTACTTTTAACAGTCATTTCACTATTTACATCTTGCTTCACATATAAAACATAAAGACACACGATCATTCTCAGCTAAACGCCGGTATAACATGTCATTATGACACTATTTCGATTGTGAACTCTTCAACATACGCTTTCCTCTCTATTTCTTTCTTTTTCTGTGGCCCACGGTGGGTTAAAAAAATATACTTTTCGTGAATTTATAACTTTATTTATGTTTATTCACGAAAATTAACCCTCACGACACCCATTAACTTCGTTTTTTAAGTTATTTCTAGGTAAAAACGTCCCATTTAGGTGTATAAAATATATAAAGATCTCACCTTAAGTTGCATTCAAAATTTTTCATTTTCACCACTTTATAGCAAACACGGCGACATAGCACAATTGCTTGACACAGAAGATATGGTAGCCTTTGCGGAACCTGACTGGAAATGCGTTTACACTTACATTGGCGAATTCTATAAGCGGATACGAGACCTTGGCTTAAATTGAGATTCCAGGCCCGCAACTTATCAACCAACCCCACGCACCCTTTCCCGTTTATTCCACGCACCCATGCACTTATCCTAATGACGTCATCAATTTGTGACGTCTTTTTGATATCATTATCTTTGTCGCATCATACCCAATCATTGCTCAGTATCGTTAAATTAGGGTTTTTATTAGATTTTTCATGTTTTGACAGAGTTCATTTTTTGCCGAGAAATTTTATTCTTGCGATTATTACTTTTTTTAAATAATTTTTTACTTCTATTACTACTTGCCTTAACAATACCATGTTATTAACCTTTGACCCCGGTTTAATGATGACACCAATTACGGTTTATATTGATTCAATGTGATTTGATTTCGATCACTGCCTTCCTGTATACATACACTTATATCTAAGCAAAATGCCTGGCTCTCTCAATCAGCCTCTGTCCGTACCCGCTCCGTCGCCTCATCAAAAGACTGCCCAATGACGTAAGAGCGATTTTTCGATTGCTATTCGGTAACATAGTGCTAGCTGTTTGCCTTTTTGATGATTTTTCATAACGTTATAACGAATCATATTCATCATCATTTTTTAGCTCATGAGTGGTGATTTCATTTCATTTTTTCATCACTAACATTTCCATTTCATTCAAATGCGCGGGCGTTCATTTATATTCGATGCTCATATTAATGCATGAACTAATTCTCATATAATTATCAAGGCTTGGTGATTTTATATTTTTATCAAATTCATTTTATAATATCAGATTATCATATGCAGTATCTCACGATTTTGGTGATTTAGTCTCGTGAGCAACTGGCATGTAGTTATTCATCATTTCGTAGTTAGGTAACAGGTTTCATAATTTCATCAAACCCATGTGAGCTATATTGCAGTAAATCAATAAAGTTATGCATGTTGTTACAAAACTGATGTTTTTTTTATCGATATTTTGTTAATTCGCCATCAGATGTTTAAATTAAATAATTTTAATCGAATGTGATTATTTGCATGAGCTCGTTTGGTTGTTATTTTGTGTTCATTTATGTTTGCATGGCTTGCTTCATATACATTACTGATATGTATAGCAGAGAAATGACTGTGTTTTATTGCAGTCAAAAACTTGGCACATTGCATACTTGGCAAATACTATTTCAGACATGATCGGTATTGGCCAAGCTTACTTAATTTTAAAATAAGTTCTATTTTGTTTGATTATAATTTGCTTTCTTTTCATTGTGCGTAATCAATGCTTTACCTAACTGACGCATCTTTGTTGACGCACAGGGAGTTGGGTGGCGTGGCGCCTCTGCTCGAAGTGGAAGACATGCTCATAATGGGAAACCGTCCGGACTCAAAATGCGTCTTCACGTACGTACAATTTCTCTACAGTCACTTCCGAAAGTATGATCAACCTTTGGTACCTCTAAAAGAGGGGGAAGGCAAATCCGGTGGAGCGTCCTCCCAAAAACTTGTAATAAAGAAGATGGGAGAGACTGAAGATCTATAGTCAATACACCATCCGACCTCAGCGAACAAAATGACTAGAAATGCGTGCGAGTTTACGTCACTGACGCAACTCGACAATATTTTAAGGTCACCTCACGCACGTCTCGTGCAACTGTTGCAAATCCCATTGGGCTTTTTAATTTAGATCAATCTTCGAGTACCTATAAAAATTGACGTCATTAGTTGATGAAGTCAAGAGTGTTGTTTTGCACCAGAATTAGATGCGTAATGCACAAATTTTGTACTGTTACTATACACAGTTATTGTTTCTGATGAAAAGCACATGTACAAATCTTTAGCCATCTTCCATGGAATAGTGTTCTAACTTTCAATTTCTAAATGTGTTATTACTTTACTGTTCTTGCATATACTGAATATAAAAATAAACTGACCGGTCCATGTATGATCCATGCTTCTTTTTTCATGGTCAAACATGATACGACGAAACTTCCTGTTTTTGTTACTTTTTTGTTTTTATTGTTACTGCTTCCTTTTCAAATATTTTTTTTTTTTCAAAATCTAAAATCATTATAGAAATTGAAAATTTATTTTCTAATTTCGATTTTTTTGTACCCAGTATATTATAAAACTATTAAATCAATCGAATGAACTAAAATATTTACATAAAAATGATATATTTTTTCGTTTTTGAAAAAAAATTAGATGATAAAAATGATTTTTGTGTTGATTTGTTTCCGATCAAGTGTTACTATATTACAATATAATTCATGATTCTATTCTTTTTTTTTCATTTATTTTTTGTCGCATTTTTAAATTTTTGCAATTTTATTGAAAAAGCTATAAATTTTGCTACCCCTTTATGCTTTGATCAACTGCTAATGACATGATAAATTCGATTCGCTCGCCCCTTGTTCTTTCTGAATCCGTTTTACAATGGCTGGTCTAAAACCATTTTCTACATTTCTGGGATCACTGGATATTTCTACATCCATGACGTATGCTCATACCCATTGATATAATTGCTGCGTTGTTGAGCGAATATTTCTGGCCGTGCATTGGCAGGATTTCTCTCCCAATGTAAACGTGCTATTTATCTAAAACTTCCTATCAATTATAAGATCCATTTGTCCCTTCTCTTGCCATAGCGAACGAATTCATTTCATATATCAGCGCCATTGCCTTGTTTTATCTATTTTTATAATAGCACCATTGGCACAAAAAAAAGAATATCACGCAGAAACCGCGAATTTTCTGTACCTTTTACGCCACAATATTCTGTCGATTTGCGCAGATATTGCCCTGCGTCTGGTGCGGTTACTATAAGGTGGGTTATAAGTCATAAAGTTGAATATAAGTGTTCTGCAGCTAAAACTACCTTATGAACAAGTGCCTAATTACATGTACAATATTCGTTTAGTCTGTCTGGCTAGATCCTCCACAAACGGATATTGTAATGTATATTTTTTCTCAATCCAAATTTATGATTATTTTGGCCTTGAATGATCCAGTGCTTATAGTATTTTTGGCGGCTGTTTCGTGTATGGCATGACGACGTATATTTGTCCTACTATTTCACCGGTATGATCTGACAAGAACGGACTCCTATTTTGCGATATTTTTCTTTCTCTTCTGCTTCTCTGCATCATTGTTAATAAAATCCGTCGATTCACGAATTTTTTTTTTTAATTTGCGTTGTCGGGAGACTATGCAGTATGGGGTTATAAATTAACTTCACCATTCGCTGGGCACAATGTGGACCTTGGAAACAACTCAGTAAATCTAGTTCTGATTTTCGTAATATTGTTAGTTTATGGTGAGCCAGTAAAATGTTAAGTCATTGTGAGCTTTGTTTATACACGCCACTGATGTTTACAAAATCATGGGCGGAGAAACGAAGAGCTTGACATCTGAGGTGGTGACCGTACATTTGAACCCATGTGTATATCCGCGGGTGCTAAAACCCATGGGTTAGGGTTAGTATGGGTTTGAATATCCGCAAAACAAAAAAAATTTCCATAGGTGCAATAGTATGCAGGTCGTGGGTTCAAATGTACGGGAACCATCTGAGGTATATATAAAAATTCCCTGGAAGAAGAGCATAAATTCACCCCTCCGATAGCCTACATCAAGGACTAATTCACATGGCGACTGAGGAAATATAAACACCCCTGTTTCTGACTTATGCCCAGCTATATGTCTTGCGCGATCTTTCATACGCATAAATCACACGAAACGAAAAACCGTAACAGTGTGGATTGGGTCAAGCCTTTCTGAGATAAGTAACATTGAACTAACATGAATATTAGTAATATTTAAATCATTGTAAAATCTCTCACACACACACTGAACCAGTGAAGTGAGTGGTAAACCAGTGATAAATGGGCTGCCTCTGTTAAGAGATAAACTAATTTTGTATTAATATTAAAATGATTATGACTGCCATACTGCATGACCGGTACATCTAAGTATAGCCGGCGGAGCAGCTTGTTAAACTCGGGACTGTCCCTGCTAAACCGAGACGCATGTTAAGTCTAGTTTTAGCAACATACGCGCCAAGTAAGTTCACACGATTTATTGCACCAGTAGGCGTAACCTCACCTTCCGTTTTGAGTGAGCAACGGAGATCGGCAGTCTCGTGTTTACCTAAGATACGCACGCTTTGGTTTTACATCCTTGTAGCAGAAAGCTAGTTTACCATGAATTCCATAATAGTTAGCGAAAAGTTGAAGCTGAAAGTTTTAAATCCTTTGGAAGACGCAGAAATAGCTTTCTCAATTGTTCAGATAAATCGCGAGTATCTAGAAAAATGGCTTCCTTGGGTAGGAATGACGACTTGCGTTGAAAACGAAATAAATTACATGAAGGGAGCTCTAGAACGTTTCCAAAATGGCCTAGGCCTGGAAATGGGAATCTTTGAACGAAATACGGAGTAAGTAGTCGTTACTAATTTTGGTTTACTTACTTGTCCACTGATCCAAAAACGACACAAAATTTGAAAGCTTGAATCCTCGTGCAACGAGAGCGAAACATGGAGATGCAGCAACAGTCTGTGTTCATTCATGCGTGTGATAATGATTTGTTCCACGTGACGTGTAGTCTTTTAATCATTATCATTGGTTGGCAGTGGTCTAGTCTAGTGGACAGTATATTTGTTGTGCAAAAAGGTGGGGCGCATGGATAACAATTTTTTTCATTCCATTTTGTTAATTCAATCAATTAAATATTATTATTTCACGTATCCGCCGGCACATATGATGGACATGTAGTAGGCTATCTCACCATTTCTCTATGATAAAAAAGAAGAGAGCTATGCTCAAATATATGGACACGTTACAAGGTGTCGCTCTTTTTTATTCTGACACAAAAAAAAACAAATCTCTGGAAGTCCACAGATTTTTTTGAAATAAGTGAAAGTAATAGCCTTCTGGCAAAAAAATCAATCTTTAACCCCTGAAAATTTCTGTATTGGTTGTGTATTCGAAGAGAAAAGCGATTTTATGTTGACGAAGAAGAAGAATACCAACAAGAACAACAACATAATATTGAAGCGATCGTTATGTACACTGACGTGTCCAATAATATCCTATATCTTTACAGGGGAGGGAACGAAATATTGAATTTCATTGGAATGTGTGGAATTGTGCGAATTGACAGACAGAATGAGGAAAGTCAGTTTGGTGAAATCGGTTATTGGTTGGATTATGAGCATCGAGGACAAGGCATTATAACAAAGTGTTGCGAAAAACTCGTTGAATTTGCTTTCAAGACTTTGAACCTAAATCTCCTGAAAATAGTGGCGCATCAGGACAACCAGGCAAGTATATCAGTAGCCAAACGATTGAAATTCACACTCACTGATGAAAAAGCGAAGGATTGTCATCCAAAGTATCACAGAGACCCAACCAAATTACTCATATTTGCCAAGTACAAGAAAGAATGGGCAAATATTTCGTAGATGTCTTTTTCACATAAAATTATTTTTAAGAAACCACTAAATTTGATATGTGATAAATGTAGTATATTATTAAAATTTAGCGGACTTTGTTGCGCTAGAATTTACGAAAAATATTAGTAGACCACTAACAACAAATTCATGTTCGGGTCATGAAATTTAGCCTTCACCTTTTCTCAGAATCCCTCATATTTCCCGTTTATGAATATATGCTCGGATCTCTCCATGTGACTCGACACAGAATTCCAATTTCAAACCTTACATTTATAGCTAAGGCAGCGCCGGATTAACCATTAAACAATATAAGCACGTGCTTAGGACACCAAGCAAAGAGGGGGAACACCAGAAATTTTAGAGCAGAATTTTATATAGTTTATCGGTATTTATTAAAATATTAGGAGTTCACCAGGCGACTCAAACTTCAAAATGTTCCCTTTTTTTTTTTTATTCAAATATCATATTAACCTTCTTTACTAAAAACAAACACTGAAACTTATTTATTGGACACGAAATGGGCCTATGAGTCGTTTTCCTAAATTGTTGTTGTTTTTTCTTTCTAGTATTCACCTTGTTTCTGCATTTTTATTTTGAAAAAATTTCTATTCTCTTCAACAATTGGACCAATGAATTATTTACATTATGTGGCGGTTCCACGATCGCATTTCAACGATATATTGGTCAGCAAAGTCGGGAGTTTTTTGATAAGGTAGACCAGGGTGGTTCAAACTCCGTCATGCTGATACATTCCGTGCGGCTCACAGAACAATTTTAGCGTATATTTGTATCTAATGGAGTAACGTTTTTGAGTTTTTTTAGATATTCCAACTGGGGTTGGGATCCCGGAATTCAAACCCTTTTTCTAACGCTTTGTGCCTTTATTTTAGTAAAAACACTCCTCTGTTCACAAGCGTCGCCCATGTGACAGTAGTGACGAAACGCAGAACCGACTTAACGCCGCGTAATCCATTTTTTTTAGCTAGGTCCCGAAAACCAACTTAGACTGACTTGGTTGGTATTTGACGATGTCACTAAGCTTGTTCACGCTGTAAGTTTTTTAATTACTCAATATAGCAATTCGTAATAAAATGAGTGTCGCAAGAAAGGTGACATAAGAGAACACGGCGGAAATTTATTTCCTTGCCCATCACGCAGTGTCTGGTTTGATTTCAAGTAATATCTGTCACGAAAGAATATAATTTGAAGCGACATTAAACGCGAGATGCTCAAAATACAACGGTAATTCTCGGGAATTAACTTTAAAACTAGAATATCGGTTAGAAACCGAAGACTTATCGACCGAAGGTTAGGGGATCCCCCAAAACAGTGGTCTTACTCCATAATGACATCATGTGTCCCATCACTAATTAAATAATAACTCGCTAATTATAAGACTTAATCCATCTAAAATCAATAGGCTCCTGATCCGAGCTATATTAAATGCACATGCAAAATTTAGAGCAGATTCAACCTCGCTTTCGTGAGATATCGCGTGCATTTAACATACAGACAAATACCTTAATATCTTAAGATCGACAAGTAATACCTGAAGGCTTTATATATCTTCTTTAAACGAACGCCAACCATGCAACATAATAAGAGTCTGATTAGAACGTTAAACTCTCGTTGTTTATTAAAATTAAAGTAAGTAAACTCGCGATATTTTGATCACTTTTGGGTTTTCTCCGACTTGCGGCCCGCGAGACCTCCTCAAAAGTTTTTGCGGTCCTACAACCTAGCAACCTTGAACCACTCTGAGGTAGACTACTAGGTACCGGTAAAGTTTCAAACTACAGTTGTGACTTGTATCCTTTGGCATTTCGATTCACGTTGAGACTGGAGGCATGAATCTTTATTGTTACACTTCCTCAGGATTAGAGCTCAACCGATATAACGGCCCGATATTGCGTGTTTGCATATATATATTATCGGCAGTAAACGGCCGATATATATATCGGCTATATATAACAGTTAAAAAACCTAAAAATGTTCGTAAAAGTTGTTTATTTACTGTTGGTTGTGATTATTTTTAATGAATAATACACTTATGTGGTTATATTGTTTTTATAATCAAATTAAACATGAGGGGGCACCAAAGTCTTCAGTGCTTAGGGCACCAAAGAGGCTTAATCCGCTCTGGGCTAAGGGAACTCCCGTGTAGGAGTATCATAGTATCTGTTGATTACTCAAAATTCGGTTCGCAATGTCTTTTTTCATAGTCTAGTTTCATAATATAGTTTTTTTACACAGCACCAATAGCATCCGATCCGAGAACTAGCATTTTGTTTTGAAGAAGTCTGAGAATACTCTAGGGTTATTTTAATATTTACCTTCAAAATTCAAATGATAAACGCTACTTGAATGTGCTTCAATGCCGTCTTCGCACAGCTAATATTTCTTATTTTGAGCGTTGGCAGGGGTGTTTTTTGGCAGAGGCTTTCTACAAAAGATCTCATCCATGTTTTCGACAACTCTACCATGTCGCCGATGTCAGTATTTTTACTTCTGCATACATTAATTCTAAAATTCACATCTCACTCGAACTGCTTCTGGAAACGCGACGAAAACACCCTTAGTTTTCAAAACAAATAAATATTCATAAATTCAATTTTAAGAAATATATATTTAAAGTTTTAACAACAGAAAATGTAATCCCTAAATTGTGGCAATCACTAACCTTTTCCATACACATATATACTTGAAATTAGAAAATGGGTTAGGTATTTATGAATGATAAAGTATGCAAGCATGCAACTGGACACGCGTTGTGTGGCTCGCGTTCCAAATAGCGACTGTCAAAACAGCGACTGTCATAATGTCGACTTCATAATAGCGACGTAATCAAGTGAGCGACTGTCACAATGGCGACCGCATTAAAACAGCGACTGTTATGATGGCGACTCAACTCGTATACACGCACAAACAGGCAAACACTGCGTAGTGAAAGATTGAAACCAAAAGGGACTTTAAAACAACATTTTATTTGGACTAACCCTAACACGAGTTGAGTCGCTATCATAACGGTCGCTGTTTTAATGCGGTCGCCATTATAACAGTCGCTCACTTAAATTACGTCGCCATTATGACAGTCGCTATCCGCCTGGATACCTATGTATACATTAGTTGTAACTCGTGTGTGCATAGGAGCATCGTTACCCGGTGATATGGTCAGTAATAATAAAACAGTATGGACATTAGAGTGAATGACCTTCTGAAACTTAAAGTTTTGTGCCCTGCTGAAGATGCAACGAAAGTATTTTCAATAGTAGAGAAAAATCGTCAGCACTTGCAGATATGGTTACCATGGGCCAAAATGAATTCCTCCGTGGAACACGAAAAAAGCTATTTGCAAAAATGCTTGGAGAGATATGAAAGTGGATGCGGAATGGAAATGGGAATTTTTAATAGGACCACAAATGAGTGAGTTAGAACATAGAAGATGGCTACATTGTAGTTAATGCCTTAACTATATATAAATCGATAAATGGAGCCATGATGACGCACCATGTGTTTAGTTGGCAAAATTCTCTCATTTTCAACCCCACAATATAAGTAAGAATGTTTTTTATCTCGTTTGTCACGTTCGGTGCGATAGCCTGATGGAAGACCAAAATAAGTTTCATTGAACTCATGTTGGTTGTGAACTGTTTTTTTAATGTTCACATAATAATCAGATTAATTTTAAGTCTATTTTTGAATCTATGTTTTTGTATAATCTCTGTCACAGGCATGGAATAGTTAACTGGAATTTCATAGGAATGGCTGGTTTTGTTCGGATAGAACGGGAAACTATTGAAGATTCGTTTGCAGAAGTTGGCTATTGGCTGGATTATGACCACCGCGGTCAAGGCATCGCGACAAAATGTTGTCAAAAACTACTTGAATTTGCTTTCACATGCTTAAATTTGGATAAATTGAAGATAGTGGTTCACCAGGATAATCAACCAAGTATATCAGTCGCAGACAGGTTAAAATTCAAGCTTACCAATGAAAAGGTAACAGAACTGAATCCCAGATTCCATGCAGAACCAAACAAACTTTTGGTATTTGCTATCTGTAAAAGGGATTGGAGGGATGCCCGGTAATCAGCATCTTTCAATTGGCCCTAACGCCACTCGTAATTTACTGATTCAATTATCTCTTGTGTTTTGCCACATTCGATAGCATGTTTCATTTTGGTGATGCAAACTTGAACATTTTCAAAAAATATTTTAGATACACGGTAATTGAAAAATTCCTTTAAACCATCCGTTTTGCCATTTTTTATTGTAATTTACGATTTTCGGTACTGTATTAAAAGTATTGTTATTTTTTGCTTCGGCTTTTGTTATATTAGTGGGCTTTTGTTACATTATATTTTATTTACGTGTTTTCGTTGTATTTAAAGTATTTTGTGTGGATATATATATGATTTTTAATTCTATTCTACATTCATTTCAAAAATATTTTTTGATCTTCCGTACTGACTTACAATAACAAATTTTGTGTGGGCTATTATCGCTACGTTTATTTTTTACTGTATTCCTACGTCGTTTTTCCTCGGTAATACTTGGTATGTGCTCTTCAAAGTGAGTCAAGGCGCGATGTGTAAACATTTGCTAACTTTTCTCTGACATGAAAGCAGCAGCACGGCTGCGTTTGCATGATGCCATGGCACCCTGCATTTATTCTAAAAAATAATATATTTATGAGTTAGATCGGGCTTATTAAAAAGTAAAGTAAGTAAACGGTATGCTTTTCTAGTTGCTTCATAGATATGCTTACCATACGTCCCGCTCTAGACGGGACAGTCTCGCTTTTTAGCGTCTTGTCCCGCCGTCCCGACAAGTCTGATAAAAGTCCCGCTTTGGCGTTCAGCCATCCAGCATAATACACGAACATGTTCTCGTTACTGTTGTTGCTGTGTAGCGCAACGCTAGCCTACTTACTGAAGGTGAATGCGTTATTTTGTTTTGTTTCCCGCTAACATTGTTGGCGAACGTATCACATGTAAAATCAACTCCAATTGGTCCTGTTCACGTGAATGTGAAAGCATGATTAGGCGAATAAGTAAATTCTCAAATCTCAATGCTTGAAAACGGCAGACTATTTCATTATTCCTTTTGCTGTACATAAAAAGATCTAAATTTGTATCGTTAGCGTCCCTTTCTTCAATTTTTTGAAATGAACCCGATATTTGGACAGAGAATATGCGCATGAACTCTCGGTGACAATACGGCCAATGAAGCCAGCCGGGATGGCTTTAAATGTAGGCTTATGTAGTAAAATCGGAAACTGTAAAGTTACAGGATCACAGCTAAAGGGTTGTGTCTTTGGAGGCGTCCCGCTTTGAAGTCAAAAAAACATGGTAACCCTATTCATAAAATGAGTCGGAAACTAGGCATAAATTAAGACCGGAGCTTTTCATTATGCTACATTTACAAGATAGAGTAACACGATGACGCAAGGCTTTGCTAATCATGCGTAGCGAAGCCGCCGTCGGCGAAGAATATTTCAAGTGCAACAATGCGAGCGTAACGTTTGTTCAGTTGGTAGCGCGCAATGGTATGTTTACAGTGTGACAGGCATTCTATGTTAGTATTTCTGTGTCTGTAGTAAAATAACAGGTAAACTTCTTCGAGATGTATGCCATTACGGTGGATGACCGACTTCAGTTGAAAGTGTTAGATCCAGATAAAGATGTCGAGGAGTCATTTGCAGTTTTGCAGAAGAATATGCCATATGTGGAAGTGTTTTTACCCTGGATGAACGATAGAACAATAGAAAAAGATAAAAAGGATATGCAAGATGCTCTGGATAAATTCAACAATGGTCTCGGATCGGAAATGGGAATATTTGAGTGCTTTTTCAATGATCAGGTTTTATGTTGAAACAGAATATTTTTGATAATATACCCGGGTCATTTGTACCAGCATTTGGCATCAAATATTGACCTTAAGTCATTTAATTATTATCTAAATTTTGGAAACAACTATAACTGACAATTAGCTAGAAAAAGCTGACGAACTAGCTAATAATATGCGTATCAACTTTCTGCTTGGCCCATGTTACGAAAGTAAAAAAGAATGTCGAAGCTCGAGGAACTATTGAAAGCGGCCATTTTCGTATATTTGACAAGCTCTATGAGGTAATTGTGATGTTTTAGTGACGTAATTTTTGGATGGCGTAGTCAGATGGGGGTTAGGATTGACATATCAACAAATTGTTATGCTACGCCCACTAGAAGTACGTTAGGTACGAAACTACACGAGACCCCAGTATTCTACATGTAAATAAAGTTTGCAGGAAGCAATTTTCTACTATGTACCTGCTGAGAATGTGTAATTTTGTAAATGATTATTTCTTTGAATATGTTATTTATAACTTAGTAATCTTAGCATTTCTGAACCTTCATTTGTTCGCGTATTCTGGCTTTCCGTGTTTCGTCCACTTTCATTGGACGACTTCTACATATTTACAGGAAAGAAGTTGCAGCAGAATATGAAAACAAAAACTCGTGGAAGTTCATAGGATGGTGCGGAATAATAAGAGTCAAAAAAGAAAACCCACGAGACGCATATGCAGAATTATCGTACTGGTTGGACAAGGATTACTGGGGGCAAGGAATCGTTACAAAATGCATGCAAAATCTCATTGAATTTGCTTTCACGAATTTGGAATTAAATAAACTGCAGCTCACGACGGATAGTCGCAATCAAAAAAGCTTAGCAGTTGCAAGACGATTGAACTTTAAACTCACAGACATAAAGGTCACTAAGAAGTTGTGCCCAGAAGAAGATTTATCAAAACTGGAGGTTCACATGTTAGATAAAAATGATTGGTTATTACAATGAGGGTGTATCAAAAATGCAATGTCCCATGAGTCAAATTTTGAATAAATCAGTCCAAAAATACATTAGATTGGAATATGGCTAGGGCTGGGCATTTTGAATCGAATAGTGAATTATTCGAATCGGTTCAGACTGAAATTTCGAATCGCCGCCATATCGCGCCAAAGATCGGGGTGAATTCCGCAATTTGTTTTTATTGAAGCCATATTTTTACGATGGATTTCTGACATTTCTTTCTATTGAGTTACTGATAAAACAAGTTTTTTATTGTATGTGAACGCTCAGCACATTGACTGAGGAGTTGGATTCCATGTTTTCAGTATTTTTTGCAATCATAAAAGTCACATAAAACACATCAAGTATTCACGATTCGATTCTGAAATCATCAAGTATTCGAAAACGCCCAGCCCAAATTATGGCAACTGGTGAAACTTCAATTTATTCGAAACTTTTGTGACGAAAATTATTCTCAGACGGGTTGCAATTCAAGCAAACAATGAGAAGCTAATGGAACTAAATCCCTTATTCCACGCCAAACCAAACAAACATTGGTGTTTGCTATGTCCAGTAATCAACTAAAGCAACGTTTAATCAATCGTATCACAATTTATGATTTCACCTTTGTGACATGCGGTAATAATATGTTTCATGATAGTAGAGAAAAACCTTTTTTAAAATGTTTAAGGTATGATGCTACTTATGGTATCATTACTATAAATTCCTACAATATTATGAGAATTGGCTCACGGCAAATATGCGATGATAACAATATGGCGCAACAAAGACAGAGTAAATACGTTTTGCATGGTCAGTTACGACTTTAGACATATAGTACAAAATTTCCGTTTGTTTTTCCAGTCAGTAACGCGCGGCGGAACGTTTGCAACATATCTGTCATTCTGTGGTTGGTATCTATTTGCAAAGCGTATTTGGTACTTCGATATGTATACCATTACAGTAAATGAGCGACTAAAATTGAAAATTTTAAATCCAGATGAAGATGTCGAGGAATCTTTCGCAGTCTTGCAGAAAAATATGCCACATTTGGAAGTATTTATACCCTGGATGAAGAAAAGAACACTTGAAAATGACAAAAAGATTATGCTAGAAGCTTTGGATAAATTCAGCAATGGCCTCGGATTGGAAATGGGAATATTTGAGTGCGTTTTTAACGAGCAGGTTTTGTATTATATGTAATAGAATATTTATGTCAAAATATCCGAGTTATATAGTCCTTTCTATCGGTATTTTGGGCAAATTTATGCCAAGAAAATAGTACCAGGTTAGGGTTAGGCTATAATTTTATTCCGATTCAGTTCTATTACGAATTCGGGGACTATCTGTGTTAGCCAATTGAATGTACCCCATGTCCATGGGTTTCCGTCCCTTTACACAACTTGATGTAAAGTAGGCGAACAAAATTTGTTACCTCCATATGGGTACACATACTTCTGGAGCGCCATCCTGTCACCCTAGTATTATTATCCGTTTCATCGAAAGTCCGGATTGACGTACGGTTTCCATGCCAGCGATCGTCGGAAATTTTCCAATTTACTAACAATTCTCGTCAACTAAGCTGATAATCAAAATCCTGAGATCGATACTTTCCACAGAAGTAAATACTTTTTTGAACAACAAGCCGTTTTCATCTCACTAATCCATTAACTGGAAAAGCCTTATCACCCACGCAAGAGCGCCGACGAGACGGCTGGTAATTTGGTAACGGGTCAACGCAGTAAGCCTACGCTTCCGCTATCGGTTTGCTGGGGTGCGGGCCGAAGTATCTCCCCCAGGATAAATATGTAAATCGTATCCTATCCATCGAGCATTGGCCCAGGGTGAAGGTGCCGAGCTCAATTTACTCTGGATAAATGGTGTCCAGTTTTTCATTGTTATTTTAAACAGTAATTATGTATGAGGTATTTCATGGCCGTTCGAAGAAGCCAACACGTCGCCAATTAGAGCGGTGCGACATCGTAAAATGGTTGGGCTACTTTACGCACAAGCAATACGTGGAGTAAGATGACGTGTCCTTGTATCGGTTCAGTTACTTATTACTCTGTTACAGATTGTTATTTGCATTTCAGTAATTCAGGCATTTCTGAATCCGACCGCTCCTTTACTAGAGCTTTCCCTGTTATTTTCAATATTGCTAGTTATAATTGTAAAAGTACTGCTACATTTTTACAGGGAAGAAGTTGCAAATGAGGGAGAAAATAAAAACTTGTGGCGGTTCATTGGCTGGTGTGGCATAATAAGGGTCAACAAAAAAATCCACAAGACGCCTTTGCAGAACTAGGGTACTGGTTGGAAAAAGACCACTGGGGGCAAGGTATCATATCAAAATGCTCACAGAAACTCATAGAATTTGCTTTCACAGATTTAAAATTGGACAAACTGAAGCTTGTGACTGATAATCGTAATGGAAAAAGCTTATCAGTTGCAGGACGGTTGAAATTCAAACTCACAGATGAAAAGATTACTGACCAGATGTGCCCAGAAGAAGATTTATCTAAACTGGTTGTTTACGCATTGAACAAAAGTGATTGGTTATTATCACAATAAATATTTTTGAACACAAATGCTATTCCACATTTTGAACAAATCAACACCAAAAATAACTTTGATATCTATACCTAGGGGTTCTCAAGGGGTAAATTTACCAATTGGGATTTCATTTGACTTGCCTTGAGTGTTAGTTTTGCAAGCATGAGATCCACGCTTCTCTGTTTTACACGCAGACGCTACCAGTTTTGTATTAGGACACGTGAGCTATATTAGAATTGCAACATCCTTTGTGGATTAATAGAGAAGCTGTGGGGCCCAGCGCCATTGATTTTACTTCCGAACTCTGTCAAGAGATAAACGAGAGAATTAAGGTTGAGAACTCCTGTATTATTTCAAAGTGATTCATTGGATATACCCTGTAATTTTAGCTATGACTTTGCTAGCACGAATCTGTCCACACATCATAAATATATATATGACTAAATTTTCAATAGCTTACCCTTTAATGTTCATAATCTAATGTCACTAGCTTAAGGTTGGTTTCCAAAAAATGAGGCGTGGAATTGATTTACAAGAAATTCATATGTTCAGAATGGTAAAAACTTCTCTGGTGACATTTTAATTAATAAAGACAATTATGAGCATATATGCATTTTAAAATATATTCAGTCAACGAATAATGCCATTAGATATTAAATTGCGGGATCAGTATATCATTTTATTTAAATTGATGAAATATGCAGAATTTCTATAGAGAAAAATGCGAAACGAATGGTCAAGAAGAAGAAAGTCCATATTGTGGACCAGCATAATACCGTACAGAGTAGTGCATTCAGAGGCGCTCCAGAAGTATGTGTACCAATAGGGAGGAAACTAATTTTGTTCGCCTACTTTACATCAAGTTGTGTAAAGGGACTGAAGCCTATAAGCAAGGGATATATTTACTTGGCTAACACGGACAGTCCCCGAACTTGTAATAGAACTAAAATAGGGAAAATCGGAATAAAATTATTGCCTAACCCGGTACACACACTACGGGAGTATCCATTCATAACATTAGCGCTCAGGTAAAAGTGCTTAAAGTGACGTCAGAAGTCAGAATGCCCTTTGAGGTTGCGGAGTAGACGATGGCATCGTGAAACACACGCCAATAGAGATCATCAAAATATAGCCACTATATCTTCTGCAACAACATTTAATTTGACGGCGGGCGTTACTTTATTGCCGAAATGAAAGAATAATCAAAATCACCAGTTAGGACCTAATATATATAAGTGAATAAAAAGCAATATGGGTGTCTAATGAACCCGAATTATGTTTCCTAATTTTTTATTTTCCGGGAGTTCGAGACATTAAAAGCATTGGGATATTGAGCATCGGCTGTTTTCAAGTCTCACAACATCAGAATATGATCTGATATATCAACATCAAACGGTATTGACTGAAACATGACCAGGGTAAGATTTTATAAACAACCCCCTATGGGAAAAATGATTTTCCGAATTCCGCATTTCAAAACAATTGTTTTTAAACATAACTATTTTAAACAATTTTTGGTATTAAATAAGTTGGGGAATAGTAACAGGATGGCTAGCGATATTCATCTCTAATTAATAAATACGCGCTATGAGCAGGACTGATGTAGATTGTCCTTGTATTCATTTCTGAAATTGAGTGGGTATACAGTAATGAAAAACGGAAATTATTGGTGTAAAATTGACATATTGGTTGGCACACGCACGTCCTCAAGGGACTCTAATTCAACTTCCCATATATTGTTATCCGTTAACGGCAATAATTCGAATTAGCGTTAGAAATTAAATCGATCCGCTTTAATTTTATTTTTTCGCGGTCGAGAGAGAAACGTTGCATTGTTACAAAACAGTGTCGGGTTGGGTGGCATTCAGTAGAAGGTTATGTATGTTTTAACCATGCACTGGTATGTTAGGGAAATAGCCCGAATGTGGTTAAACCGAACTTGCCGATTTATTAGATTATAGGAAAATCGATGAAAAAAATCAGTCAAATTGTAAAACAACCCTGCTTTATATATTTCAAAATTAAGCCTGTGATTCTGGGAAACTGTACAATACAAATAGGAGAGTGTTTAATAATGCGGTTGTGTAGTCTGCAGCAAATGTATTAATTGATTATCATAATTGCATCCCGTTTCATAACATCACATTTCAGCATTCCACTGTTTTATTGGCATACAATCGTTATTTATTACATGCAAATGTCGCGAGATTTTTTAACTCTGGTTTTCTTTCGCTTTCCTCTGGCAACCAATGCTCCATCCACTGCAGCCAGAAACGCCGTTTGTACATTGAAGCCATATTTTGCTGAACAGTCCAAATAAGTATGCTTCCAAGATTTTTTGATCGTGTTGACGGTATTTTTGTACCAAGTTATTTGACTTTCGTAAATGTAGCCATTGTCAACATTTTGTGTCTTTTTAAAAAGAAGGTCCATCTTTGTCCCGACCACAACTATCAAAGAATCAACGCTGTCCCCGTTCAGGGCGCCTTGGGCCACAAAGTCGCTGCTCGATGATGACACACTGAAGACTGAAACTTCTTCTTGTGTGTTACTTTTGCGGTATATACGATGATTTCGCCTGATCGATCTTGTTCGTTTCGTTGTTATAGCTGGAATATCCTCAGAAGGACTACCTTTCCATGGAAGAAGAGATGGGTATAAAATTTCCGACTGGGTTCGACGAAACCAGCACTGAAAAATTTGAATATTGACAATAATTTTTAAAAATATACACGGTTTGGTGGAGGGTTTATATTGTTCACTCTTAATCCAAAATGGCCTAGTAAATACAGACACAATTCAAAACAATACGTGACTCTAAGTCTAGGAGAATTTTATTGTCAAATTGAAACTTAGTTACTCTTATAATATTGAAAATACAAAAATATGAAATTCCCCAAATTCATATAAGAATAGTGAGAAATACGTTTCATTTTTGTTTAATATGACAATAAGGTGTTAAGTGAGGATATTGGCTTCTTTTAAAATATATTTTTGAAAATATTACATTTTGTCGTACTTGAGATTTTCGAAAACAAAGAAATAAAATTTAGCACAGGTCACAGCTTTACCTTTCGAATCTGATTTCGGATCCTACTTATGTATTCGAAGCTTTCACGGTTTGTCACGTCAAAGACAAGAATAAACACCGATGCGGTTCTTACACCTCTGGCTTCTTCTGATGCAAATTCTTCTAATGTGTCGGCTGGAAATGACTTCAAAGCCGGAATATCTAGCACCGATACGTGCATCAGATTGATTTCTTTACTTGGACCTTCCCAAACTACACTTCTGTATTCTGGACTAGACCGATGGCAGGTACACCTAAAATAAAAATGTTTAATCTTATATGTTACAAACCTCTCTGATGGCACAAGTACTGTTTTGTTTGCACAAACCTGCTTGGTAATATTCTTCGATGTGTTCTCGACGTCAAAGGTGTAGAACCTGTGTCATACAAATTTGCACATTGGCGATCTCCTCTTTCGAGGACATCACTTAGTAAGTGGTTGCCACATTCTGTACGCTTTTTCACTGTTTTGGGACAGGTACAAACTGTTTTCGTTGTTGTCTTATATTCATTGTGAGCAAAACGATGAACCAGTGACGATTTTCCTGAACCTTCATCGCCTAGCACAGCTATTTTAATACTTTTTTGATACATTTTATAATTATCTGTGGATAAATGAATTTGGTTAGTAAAAAAAAAAAACTCGTATTTTGAGCCTTCGTTAGCTAACTTCTATAACTGCGATGAATAAGAACCAAGTCCCAGTCCGACTAACAATTCAATTTGTAACTGGCTTCCAGTAGAGATTTGAAAACTCACTCAAAATAAAATGATTATGGCGATCGTTGTTGGAAACGTGCAATAACTCTTAGTTCTCCAACGTTATTGTGGCAACGAATTTAGCGTCGGTAATTGAATCAAGTCGCTTGCGTTATGACGCCGCTAACCACGTTGTCGACGCCACCACCTCAATCAACAAAAAGTAATTTTTCTCTCCGCTACGTGACATTTTATTAAACGAATGTACATATTTTGTTACATTAGATTCGTGCAGAGTTAGGAATTTGGGAACTACTTGTATAAAATCAAAACATGGGGAAAACGTCATAAAAATATAAATCAGGTTATCAAACCAACGTTCATGAAATGCTGCTCCATCTCATACTGCAAAAAGTCTAATACTAATTTTTTGGCACCGACGTCTATCATGAATAACAGCATAATATTTCACATCTACCTAATCAATAAAATAAGCTAATTAAAATAAATAATATTGAAGAAATATTCTATCTATATTTTGCTTGTTTGCTTTGGCCAAGCCTTTGATACAAATATACTCATGCATATTTTCTAAATGATTAAACTAGTTGCTGGGATGAAGCCACCCAGGTCGAATATGAATATCCATATCTTATTTTACTTATTTATTCCATCTTTTTGGCAAAATATTCAATTTATATTTTGTTCGTTCTCCCGGGCATAACCTTGATACATTAATATAACTATGTATCATACTCGAATGCTCATGCACAATAAGCTATTTTCTGACTTGTTAAAACACCCTGTTGCCAGAAAATCTCTTCTCCTATTTCAGATAATTCACTCTACCACGTGTTGTCAATTTAGGCCGATTCTAATCAATAAAAATCGACAATTCTGACTGCAAGCAAGCTGTTCTTGTGTCAACAGTTGAGATAACATGCATTATCCTTAAAATATGCATGGTTCTGGGAAGTTCTTTTTCTATCTATGCAACCCACCAATTCAAATATAAAATATACATTTATATATGCTTAGTAATTTATCCTCACTGTTGGTGTGCAATTAAGGTTTTATAATGAACTCATTGTAGATAATATTATCATTGGGAAATCCATATTTTGTATAAATAAGCTTCGTTGCCATCGATTATGCTCATTAATAAAGACGGGAGTATAACGAATGAGATTCTTATGCTATGCACGGGCGTAAACAATTATATACAAGTCACGGGAGTTAGTATATGCACATGTGACGAAACAAACATACCTCCGTGATTGATGTTATCTGTATTCTACGCAGTACTAAATATATATTCAGAAATTTAGACGTAGCAGATGAATTTGTTTTAAGCGAAAACAGAAGTACGGATCAACAAAAAAAAAAAACATCAACACGCAATTTTTACTATTTGCCCCGTTCTTTACTTTCAAATTATTTCTATTTTGCAATACTAATTGAATAAAAGCTATGACGTCAATACAATTTTTACACGAACAATTTCAACAATTTGTTAAAACTTCAGTAATTTGATAATAAAAAATGTTTACCTGAAAGAAATAAAAAACGCGATGTTATTGGCGATTCTTGTTATTCACGCCAGCAACACGATGGATTGAGTGCCGTAGCTTGTAGTCGCTTGTCGGTGAAGAAAATATAGCAGCAATGTTGCAAAGGGATGTTTATAGGGTCCCACTTGCCATCCATTTGCATGACGTCATCCTCGTAGATTGGAACATATTGAACTGGTTAGTCGTGTTTATTCCTGGCCCTGGTATGGTCCTGCGCATATGCTAATTTAGGGCTGGGAATGGTTAACCGGTTAACCGATTTCAGATGGTTAACGGTTATGATTTATTTTAACCGTTAACTGACATCTCAGGTACAAATCATCTTCATGCCGTACAATATTGTCAAATATGATTACGTCATCGCAAATTTATCTCTTGCGGCGTTTAATTCAAAAAAATATTACTAACTGTGTGGGTAAGGAATCAATAAATGTGAAAAATAATGGAAGTACCAAGGTTGCTGATAATGAAAATTTACAATGATAAATTCATGATCAGTTTTTCGGTCGTTTTCGAAATATATTGTTCACGATTTCATTGCAAAATCGGATATTCAATGTCATACAACAAGTGTGCAGTTGATGCCGTATGATATATATATCGAAGCAGAATTTGCACATCGAACACTAAAAATTTGTCACATAAATGACGTTTAACAACGGAATCGGGTTTTCTAAAATATTCCCACATGCCCGAACCACGCTGCCTATCCTTTGCAGCTGAGGAATCATGAAACTATCTCGATTCGTGAATAATTTTGAGCGATACCGGGATGAGAATACGCGAAATTGCTTTATAACCATTGTAACGTAACAAGCTGAAATTATAATTATAACGTCAAACGTCACGCGGCGGTTAACCGGTTAACCGGTTAATTTTACCCGGTTAACGGTTAAAGGGTTTTCCTTTAAAATTCCCAGCCCTGTTACATAAACTGTTTAATTCTAAAAACAAATTTCTTCTTTTATTTTTTTTTTCTTCAAATAAAGACCTAGAATAATTCAGGCTGCAACCTGGAAACAGACTAACTGAAGCGTCTGGTATATATAAAAGCAATGTACGTTGGAAACCTTCCTTACTTTTCATTCAAACTGACGTGGGTTATAGGTCAGTTAGATTCCATGCTGTGTTTGCTTTAACAAACTATCTCAAGGAAATTTACTTGCAAACTTTTTATATAAAAATACGAATTAAATCTATAGCCTTGAACTAGAAGTCCAACTACCGCAATATGCTCTACAGCCCTCAAATTTACAATACTCTACTTGAAACCACACATTTCATGACATTTCCGCTAATTATTTTGAGAGTACGCTAAGCTGACGTTATTCGTTTTGCAATACATATCATGTAAAATCACCCAAAAAGTAAAAGGTTTTCTTTGGCACAAGCTTACCCGAAGCTACTTTGTTGCGTAACAATTGTTTGAAATAATTTCCCCTGAGGAAATAACTTTACCAACAACATGGTTAAATATTGACCGCTGTTTTGATAGGCAATCCAATTAGAGTGGCCACAAGAATAATGAAATGAGTTTACAGTATTTTTTTGTGCTTGGAAATCGATAATTTGTTTTTACACATATGTGAGGAAATATATCTTCCAATAATCGAAAATAATGAGAAATTACTTTATTCTGGAACGATTTGGAAATTCTATCTCTGAATTTCGTCAAAATTACTGATTATGATTCCGTAACATTGATGTTATTCCTTCATATTTTGAATGTAAATTGTCAGTTTCTCCTATATATGTATAAGATCAACTAGTATTAGTGAATACATTGATGTTAGATTTTGTGGTCTAGATCCGCCCCAATTCTGATATAATATTTACTTGATGACGGTGTTAAAAATCCAAGTAATACAATTTTTTGTTGAAATACTATTTTCTTTCATGTTCTGGATTGAAATTCATCCTCCATGACGTGGATCCCCGGTAAACTTATAACTTTCTAAGCCATTCTATGACCATATTTGGATGAAATCTTGTTTCAAAACGAGATAATTAGAAATTAACAACAATTTGGTCAGAAATGTAGTATTATTAAAGGCCGAGTAATGCCGACATAGTGAATAACGACACTCATTTGGAAACTAATGAATAAACCACAAATTGCTCTATAATGACGTGAGAATATTTATGACGTCATTAGTATATTGCATGATGCCACTGTTCTTCTTGTCATCTCCTTCTTGCTTCCTCGCAGTAATCCCGTCGTGGTGATTTCATCGCTAAGAAAATACATCGCCGGTAATCTAATTATGTGGAAACTTCAGGCCATAGTATTGACCAAAGGGCAATTAAGCTTATTTAATCACTTTGTTGATTCAACTCAAGCTTAAAAAATCATAACGATAAAATCACAGACATGTAATTACCACAGGATGAAACTTACGACGATGACATTACTGCGATGGAATTGCAGTGAATCTTTTTGGGGGCTCCCGAAGTATGCGAACAAAGATGGCGGACATCGGAATGTAATATGTGTACTAGGTTAGGGTTAGGCCATAATTTTAGGTATAAATACTACGGGAGGCTCTTGGCTAGTCTTCGAACTGATAATAGGACTAAAATATGGAAAATTGGAAAAAAATTATCGCCTAACCCTAACCTGTTACCCATGTTACGTTCCGACGTCCGCCATCTTGGTTCGCATACTTCGGGAGCCCCTCTTTTTGAGTACAACTATTTCCACACTTACACACGCTCGTTTGTTTAACTATGGTCAACATTTCGAAAAATTGGTTTTTCATCACTTGTCGGAATGCATATTTCAGAGGCAGTGATACTAAAAACTGACTCGAGTATTCCTTAGTGTAAATTGTTGCTAAAAAAGGATGATAAGCAAGATGTTTAGTATGGGCTTATATTCCGATTGATCCAATCCAATTTGGAGTTATATATTTCATTCGTCACATAAAAACTAATCGTGGACATTGAAATTGGAGTTACCCTAGCCTAGATAGTTTGATGGTTGATTAGAACTGTAAAATGTGTGGATTTATTTATGAAAATGATGTACATTGGCTGTCATCTTAAGTTAAGTTTATGGTGATGAATATAACAGTAGTTGTATCAATTAATATCCGACATTTTGAGGCCAGCTGTGAAGAGATCGCACCAATTGTTTTTATGCAACAGCTTCTAAACTGCAAGAATATAACAAGAGCCCAGTTGGTGTCATCGCTGCGAAGGGAACCGAAGTGCGAAAATTTTAAGCATTAGAGATAAGTATTTTCAAAAATCATTCACAAAAGTCCAACGCCCAGAGTAAAACCTTTGGTGTATTTGCTTGTAAGACTATACGACAGAGCTGAACTCATTCTTTCATCAACCCGGTAAATATCGAAGTTGTGAGCCTTACTGGAATGGATTACTCAGTAATGCAAAGTAGTGAATTGGAAGGAACACACCGGGATGTAGTGGATATTGGTAAGGCGATAAATAATTAGTTAGACATAGAAACAAAGCCATACATGTTATACGAAAATCATAAAATTCAAACGATTTTCGCGATTGAGGCGCTGGTGTTTTGAGTTTGAAACAAGCATCAATTTTTTTGCGCGGGAAAGCTGACTACCTCACTAGCGGGTGAAAAATACATATACCTAAGCGTGGTATTTTGTGAGAATAAGTGATTATCTTGTGCAAAATTCCTCTATTGTTTTTAGATCTCGATAATGTCGAGCAAGACGATGCACTGCGGATGATGTATACCACAGGAGGTATAACTGTCAATATGGAGACTAATTTAGCTTTAAACTCCACTTCTGAAGATTCACAAGGTTAGATAGGGAATTTTAAGGTCATCTCAAAAAAAATACTTATGCAGGTTTTGCGCTATATAGCTTAGTATCTTAATAATTGTAATTTTATTGAGGATTTTCTAATAATTTTAAATCTCGTAAAATGGTTAATTACTCAATCCCAGTACTTGTCTAATCAATGTTTTATGTAACGACGCAAATGTATTTGATAACGTTAATCGGTCTTGTCAGATTGTGAGTATAGACTCTGTTGAAGTTAAAAATAAGAATAACTTCAAAATGTTTGTATTGCCAATGCCAACTGGTCGCGGGTGGACGATAGCGTGGAAATCGCTACCCCAGAGAAGTGATTAGGCTTCATCTAACAAATTCGCATAAGACGATAACATCTAAAATACTCTAGGTCCCTCCAGTGGAAAGGATTTCGCAATCCAGACTAAAAACGATTTTCTACGAGTATCGATTGAGAGGGAAAATCAAGGAGAAAGCTTGAGATTATACAGATGTAAATCACCATTCAGAGGAGCAAGTTCAAGATCAAACCTCGCGGATGTGACTTCTCCAACTACAAGCAGTGGATCGCCAGAAATTAGGTTTACTCACTACTGATTTTATTCTGAAGTATTTGCCTTTGTAGCCAATGGTTTAGAAAACAAATGCAGCGCCCAGTATTGTTTGGCTACTTTTCGTTTACGGTTCAACTAGCATGCAAACAGTGATGATACGACGATCCTTATTCAATTTTTTCATTCTACCTAATTTGTTGTTTCGTAGAACACCAAGCGACGACGATTATCGTGAAAGTGAAGAATGGTGTGAAGAACTCAAATTTGACGTCAATAATGCCGTAATGGAACACTCCACAAATGATTACATAGCTGAACACGTAAACCCTGATCCTTCAGGTAACGTTATCATATGATTCACCAAAAAATAGGTCTTCTTGTGGTATTCGTTAACGAAGAGGTTTAAACATAATTGCCGTAACGCCTAAGCGCCTCTAAACTGCCATATATTTTCAGTTACCAAACTGAGAAATGTTTTTTTATGTTAGAGCTTTCTGGATAATAATTGCTCTACTTGCGCGATTCTAGCAGATCTGGCGGATTTTCCTAGTAATGTTTACCCAACAGAAGTTGCCATCTATTTTATAAAAGTTCTACATATACGATTTCTCATCAATACTCTTTGTTGAAGCGAAGATACCGTTACACGCAAGCTATCACGAAGTGTGGGTTTCTATTATATGCAATATCTGGCACCCAAGCTTAATTAGTTTGGACGGGCTTTGATTCAGATGGCAGACCATTAGGCCTACTAACGGCATTTTATTAATTTCCATAGGTGACGAGAAGTCAAACCCCGGTGACGATGGATATTTTTCTCCGCCACACATGACACAACATCCCAATACCGTTCGAGTTTCAACCGGCATGACTTCCGAAATTTCGTCTCACTCTTGCAAAGTCGATTTAAGAACTTTACTTCCAGAACATTGTCACCATGATTATCCGACAACTTTTGACGTCATCAAAGATTTGCATGAACGATCTTCGGTACATTCTTTATCTGACATCTTGGACGACTATCCTGAGGACGAGAGAAGGTAAGTCATCAACGTTACCACCCAGGCACACGTACGGTATAATTAGGTTACTAAAGTGCTCAGTCGTGTGGAGTTGAAGACGAGGTGGATGAGGACTAAAAAAAGAGCAATGTCACCGCGCTCTCAAACTTGATTTAAAACGAATTTACTTCCACAATTTTCTAGAATATCGCAGTATGCAATTCCCAAAAACTTGATAGTAGATACGAAATAATTGTTTACCATAGTCTCTGAGATATCTAATTCGCAACCCATGATACTCATATTGTTTCGTTTTATTGTTCTTCTTTTGTAAAATCATCCACGTGGAGTGCCCGTGAGCCAAGTTTTTGCAACTTAGCGCGCGCCAATAATTCCTTGAGGCTATGAACCGCAGTATTGACAGCTAACAACGAATAATTTGGAGGTATTTTAACCACTTTTTTCAGGCAACGACATATCAGTGATCGTCATTCTGATCACGACAGTGACGATGAAATAGAAGGTCATCATGAAAGCATGTTCGCTTCACATAAACTTGCTATCACAGGAGTAGGATTATATTCTGTGCTTCTAGAATGCATCGGAACACCGAAATGGTTGAACGCAGGTAAAGGCAGCAAATTAAATATTTTTTGTGAAGACTACTTCCTGTGTTATAAATAAATACTGATATTCCGCAAATTCTGATATATATGTAGAATGCATCATCTAATTTTAGTAGGTGCTTGTATTATCACCAAACAACGTTTCACACAAGCAGCCACTTAGGCAGTGGTGTGCCCACGTTGAGGGAGGCATTTGGGGTTGAAACTTGTGACGTCATAATATTATTTCATATTTTGTATTGTATTCAATCTATACGCTATATTACATTTTTGCTAAATTTATTATGACATCATGACGAATTAAGATAAACTTTAAAATGCACTATGACGTCATAATTGAGTTACTGAAATTACGTAATTTGCTGTTATAAGTAAGTAAGTAACATTTTGAATTATTTCAAAGCAAGTGGAAAATACCTCCAGAGCTCGATTTGGGCTGAGATTCTCTGGTATATGGAGTCTGTGTAGTCATTGCGCCCATTTTTAAAATTATTTATTTATTTAAAAAAAATACAGGTCTGACTGTAGGAGCAGCAGCTCTGATAGCATATGACGGAGCAAAGAAAAACAAGAAAGCAAAAAGAATTCCAAAGATTCTTGAAAAAATAAAAGGACCATGGACCGAAGAAGACGAAATGAAAAATCGCAGAAGATCAGAGAAACGAAGAAACAAGAAAAAAAATAATGGAATTGTGGTTTCGGCATTGGTTGAAAAATTTCAGAATCTGTGGTTCTGATAAAATTGGACGTTCAAGAATGGCCAAAAAAGTTCATCATACAATTGAATATACGTTGGAAAACGTGTTTCTTATGCATAAACCACTTCTTGCCTTGTGCTTTGTCCGGAGCAACAAGTCTTATCGCGGTATTTTGACAATTGATTCTCGTGTAAAGTTTGGTTAATTGAATCAATATTTTAGTTACAAAGTTACGACTCGCTAATTTCAGGTTTTTGTGGTAGCGCCAGAGAGTCGTCAATAGCACAGCTCTGATGATTATCAACATTGTGATATGATAGTTTATTTTGTATTTGTAATATATTCTGAAGAACTTTTCTTCAATTGTTTTAGTAGTCTCTTATTCTCATTTTTTGTATCCATTTCCTATTTTTTTTATTCTTTTCACTTCATCTTATCTATTATTATAATAACTACTTAGCTTCGCACGAAAAATGGGCATTCTATTGCGCTGATGCGCTGAATGGTCATGGTCTTGTTGCGTCAAATGTTGAGGCAAGAGACAGCTTTATTCCCAAAATGTTCAGTAAACTTAAATTATTGACGTTAAATCCATAATATCGTTGTTTGGAATGCAATCGGAGAATAAAACAAACTAATATACATATATATATATACTGGGGGAATATGCTTCACAACATTTTTGGTACTCCCGTAATCAGGTTAGGGTTAGGCCATAATTTTATTCCGATTTTCCTTATTTTATTTCTATTACGAGTTCGGGGACTGTCTGTGTTAGCCAAGTGAATATCCCATAGGTTTCAGTCACTTTACAAAACTTGATGTAAAGTAGGCGAACAAACTTAGTTACCTCTATATTGGTACACATACTCCTGGAGCGCCACTTTCTTGGTACATTTTTTTCTCGTCCTATTTCGAAACCCTCCATTTTTCCCCTGGGGAGGAGACTATGTTTACATTTGTTGTCCAATCATTAATGGATCATTAGCTCGTGATGCGCGCACTCCGGCTTTTGTACATTTCAATTAGTTTCAAATGTTCACATAAATATGTATTACAGTACTACTAATACATACAAGTAAAGAATATTAGTATAAATACTACACACAAACACAAAGTGAAATTTCTTTCTTGTCAGGAATTCTTCTCCGTATGGAAAAGCTGAGTTATCGTAACAGTTTACAAATTTCTTTCAACAATGACTAATCCGAAATAGAATATCTTGTCCCCGCCGTAATATTTTCGCAACTCCCGAAGTATGTAGACCAAGATGGCGGACACCAGAACGTATACAGATGTGTACCGGGTTAGGGTTAGGTCATAATTTACTACAATTTTCCTTATTTCAGTTCTATAGACTATTCAAGTGACTCCCGTAGTATTTGTACCTAAAATTATGGCCTAACCCTAACCCGATACACATACTACGTTCCGGGGTCCGCCATCTTGGTTCACATACTTCGGGAGTACCATATTTTCTACATACGCATTGGTTGGCGCTTGCCTGGAGCCTTGTTTATTATCGGTCAGTAATTAATTCATTCCAGATCCTCTGTCGATTCCAACACATTTATCTAGTTTAATTTTGGGTAAATGATTTGCCAGAAACAAAGTACTAAAATACTCGGATTTATAGCTTTCATTCTCTGAAATAGCAGTTAGTGTTCAAATGTATATATTATATAGGAAATATTCCCACCATCAGTTTAAACATATTCCGAGTAATTGTAACCCTAAAAATGTAATTCTTACCGAGATAATCACTACGCGGTAGTGATTCAACAATTGTGGAATGCACAAATTACGCGGAAGGCGAGAAGTCATTGGGAAAAATGTTTTAAACGTGAGGCTATTTTTGGAAATAAGTGCAGACGTGTTAAAGGGTATTGACCTCGGGTAATGTACTAGAAATCTAAGTAAAACAGTCACTTTGCGTTTCTGATTTATATTACGACGTCATGTTTTGATTATGACGTCATATTCTGGAAATTTCAAACACGGGAGGTCTTAGAAGTGATCAGTGAATATTTAGAAATACGTGCCAAATGATTGATAATTTACAAAAAATTCCGATGGCGAATTGTTGTTGGCAATCGTGATTGACAATAAATTTGTAAAATGAAAATTTAGTAGAGAGCTAAGTAAACAGTCACTTTGCGTTTCTGGCTTATTTTATGACTTCATGTTTTTATGACGTCATATTCTGACAATTTCAATGCAATTTCGTAGTCATACTAAACACGCTAGGTCTTAGAAGTAATCAGTGAATGTTTGGGAATTCATTCCATATGATTGATTATTCACAACAAAATACAATGGCGGATTGTTGTTGGAAATCGTGATTTACACAAAAATTTTTGAAAATGAACTTTGCCATATATTGCTCTAACTATCGCTAAGCGCAACGTACTATTAGGTGTAACGATGCCACTAACAAATACCACATCCAATACATGTAGATTATGAGAATAATCGAAACCTAAATGAATCGCAAAAAGCTCCGAAGAAAAGACAAAAAAATCTTCCGTGTTTTTCGTCCATTGCTGTGGTTGCGACCAGGGACGCTCTAGTTAAATTTTTTAATTTCTTTCAAGCTGCTTTCACGGCCTTTTCTTTCCATTATTCAATCAATATTCAACTCATTGATGATTCACAAAATTTTCAAATAAGATAACTTTATATTGCTGGTATAAATTAAATGAATTCACAGTGGAAAAATAATAGTAATGAATAATTGACATAAATAATTAATGAGGAATTTAATTAGAATAATTATTCAGGTTTCAGGTTGTGATATTGCCATTTCAACTTTAAAAATTATTCTTGATTATTTATTCTAAAGCGAAGTGAAATCGGCTGCAACTAATAATGGACAACATTCATTTTTTCCAGAATATACAGTTGCAGCTTTCCAGTTATGGCCCATGTTTAAAAAAACAATAATATATCACAATGACTTCATGAACCTGACAAAATTTTTCACAGTGGTTGGGCTGAAAGTTTTTTAAAGTTAAATTCTTTTCTTTGCAGAAATTTCAGAAGATTTCGACATGAAATTCATTCCACAAAGTCTATTGCGATGATTTTTCTGAACAATTCTGGCTTCGCAACGGCTGTTGTATCGTACTTCGCAAGACGGTTGAAGTTTATCGACAGAAATAGAACTGAAAATAAAAAATGACATTTTGAGCATTTTAAATGAAAACCAAAAATTGAACGCGATTATTTATTTGCAATATAAATAGTTTTACGAGATGCATGATGTAAGGGATGCAATCCATGAGACAAACAGACACTTTCATACGCAGGACTCTAGTATTTTTGGATATACAAAAATAAACCCGCTCCGGTATAGCCTATTTTAACGATCTGTTGTTAATTCTTATCACAATTTTTCGAGTTTCATGATATAAGCATAAAACAATGCCATCTGCAAAATTTTAAAAACATAGTAAAGTATAACTTACTTTCCACAGCAATGCGACACTTTTTCTATGTAGTAGTAATGCACATATTTCATCGGTGGATATTTGAATTCCCCAGTTTCAGGGTCTTGAATGAGACTTGGAGTGTCTCCGCATTCGATCGATTTTGCTTTTTCTGGAGATAACAACATTTCTTCGTCCTTGATGACCATTTTAAGATCTTCTGCTTGAGTTTCTTCGTCGTTTTCATCAGTTTTCAATCGTTTCAATAAACCTGACTTCTTGACGTCACTTAACATGACGTCATCATCGACGACGATACAAGATGTCTGAAAAATGGAAAAATATGATTAGATGAAAATGTTGCTGCTTCAGAAATTACTAACCTAATGGGATTTGTTGATTTTTATTAATTAAATTATTGGTCATGTAAAAAATGTAAAAGTTGACTGAAAATGTATAAATACTTTAAAACAGTTATAAATTTCACTTCATTATTTTTAGTATAATATTTAAAAATAATGTGCGTTCAAATCGTAAATGTATAAATAATATTTACCGTATATCTTTTAGCTTTTGAACAAAAACACATTGCACATTGTCCTTCTTCGTTGTTTATAGTTAGCCAATAGTGATATCTATTTCTTGGTGTTTTTGGATTCTCATCTTGACAACCTTTTTGCGTGTAACATTTCAGCGAATTTCCCAGCGAAAAACACAGCAATAAGCAGATAATAGCGAAATTGAAAATTCCCATTTTGTCTCTTTTTTCCAAAATTCTTCTTCGAGTGTTACTTTCCAATATCGGAGATTGTTATGAATAAATTTCGTTCACTGTCTGCTTTTATAGTTTTCTCGCGATGGTCCAGCTGTCAACTTTTTTCTCCATTCTTATTTATTTTTAAAACGTCCGTCGGACGCAATTTTACGTCTTATAATCGTGTACGCGTGATACCAAATAAGGGCTTACGTGTAATTTTAAGTGAAATAAGGTAAAGTGATAATTTAAATTTGATTTTTAAAAAGTTTCAAAACCGCAAGCATTGGCGCCGTCGGAATTTGTAACTCTTGTAAATTTCCGTTTTGTGTGAAAACAATGATATTTTAATTTTGTGAATAGAAATTATGAGAATTAGTGGTTAATATTGAATTTCTCGATTATCAGTTTGAGTCTGATTCTTTATCACATGTGGTTTGAACAAATAATGGTTTTTCGTACTCATCATTTTGTTTCAATTTTATGTAAATAATATAGTAGTGGAAATAACTTCTACAAAAACGTGTTAGATTGCCGCACATGCACAAATTTTCGCTGGCACTAACTGCTTACTTTTATAATTTGAAAAATAAGTTGGATTTCGACAAAAAATCAATGCTGTTGAATCGGAAAAGGTTTCACATAACCTAAAACACCGAATTTGGTTCGATTTCCGCGTGTTGACAAATATTTCACATCTAAAACCGGTTTTCAACTCCGGGTAAAATCAGACTCCGGCTCTCGCTCTGAAAGCAATGAAAAGCATTAACCGCGGAAACTTTACCGTGCCTTATTGCGTGTCTTTTTTATTTTCACACTCATTTTTAATTTCGACTCCGACAACGTCCTGGAATTTATAAACAAGATTCCGGTTCCGAATCCGATACCAGTAAATAACGTTAAACTCCGGCGCGGGAGGTTTGATCAAAACTGCAATAACAAATCAGAAATATTTCTAAAAACCGCCGAAGCAGTCTGAGTGGTTGAGATAACCATAAAATTCAACATATGATTCATAATCACTTAGAGTCGTTGCCTATAAGTTTTATAAAAAATGGTGATAAATTATCCGAGAATGTCGGTTTGCCTTAAGTCAAACTCATACTCGAAGTCTTTCTTGAGTAAAAGCCTGATCGACCTCAACTTTGTTCCCGAAAAGTCAAATTAATTAAATTAATTGCAACGTGATTAAAAACATTTGTATGAATGTAGCAAGCTGATTTCAGTTTTCACACATTTTTCTTTGAAGACAGGAAAGCGAATACACGTTTTTGTTCTGTCCTAATTATTGCATTATCATTTGTTCGTCATTAAAACGTATGATAGACAGTGTCAGTTACGCAGAACAGACACGGAAGCTTGGCAAGTCTAAGTGTCACAGCAGTGATTGCGTCAATTCAGCAGAAAACGTTATTGCACATCATCTACGTAACGCCATTGCAAACTAATTAAAAAATGAATAAACAGAGACGAGTCGTTAACATCCTATCCCTCTGTGCGTATACGAAATAAGGTAAAGTGTCACAAACTCAGGAAAGGAAATGTCAATTCCTCAAAAAGTCAAAATTGTCGCCGGTCAGAACGCAATTATGGCGTCTTGTCTGCTACACTCTGCTCCAAAACCAGACTAGACCTGAATAGGATATATTTACATCTTCTATATATATATTAATTCGTTCCAAATAACTGTTCACTTTTAAATCTCATTCTTAACGAGTAAGTCAGTGACAAACCAATATGCATGTTACCCCTGTGTAAGTTCAACTTATGCGACTTTAACTTTCATGAAAAGTAAGAAAAATAGAAATTCAAATTTGCTCAAATTAATCAGAAACTACAAAATTAACAAGAAGAAAAAATACAAGAATTTATTCAGTTTTTTGATACTTCTGAACCAAAAAATTAAAATTTTTTGGTAAATATTATTAATATTATTTAGAGCTTAGAAAAATCCCTATTCCAAACAGTCGCTCATATATCCATGTCGTTTTATGATAAACAAGGATTCGATTGGCTGATTCGAAAACGCTATAGATTGGCTAGAATATACTTCGAATCGCAAATATGCAAGAATTGTCGCGAATCTTCTGTACAAAGCCCCAAATCTCACATTTTGTATTAGTGACGGGGGATTTGTACAAACGATCTGAAATGTTTTAAATAATGAATGATTCAATTTGCTATCGAATCATTTGCCCCAATTTATTTGTAACAAATTCAAGAATAAATCTTATTGGTGATAAATTTGATTGTCAAAATATTCGCCTCCGTATGTACATAATATGTCATAAAGTCTAGACAAACAAAATATGGCTCCGAAATGTTAAAAAAACCCATTTTGCAAGTAATGCAATTTTTGGCTTCGAAATATAAAACCGTAAGTTTGTCTGGAATAGGAGAATTGTTTCGAAACAATCATTAAAAAGCGAGAGAGATCAAAAAATGAACTGATGACTCATTTGTCTGTCGAGTAAGGTTGTGGGCGAGTTTAAAACCACATCAATCATTTTTTTATTTCGTTGTCAGCTGTTTATAAATTAGTAGTAAATAAATACACGATTAACAAAACTCAAAAATGTTACTTGTATTCTGTGGTAATGTGAGTATTTTATAGCAAATAGCAGTAAATAATGGTAGTCGTGAAAGCATACTCTAACCGAACTGTTCAATCACAGCAAAATTTATGGTGCGATTTTTAAAAGAATTATGACGCATTTTTCAGTAATTTTATTGATTTTTTTCAACGTGGGCGTAAATATGGGTTGGGTGGGCCACACAAATAGGATTAATTTTAACCTTAAGCATTCCATATTTGGTGTAAAATTAGACATTGAAATTATCACGTGACTAAAAATAAACTTCAATCAAAAAATAAAAAAAATTTTAAAATTGGTTTCATTCGGGAAATGTGTGGTATACCAAAGACAAAAATATGAAATAATTGGGTAAAATGTGTTAAAAATAGACATCAAAGACATAATTTTCGGATTAAAACAATAGTCTGTACCGGTATGATTACACCAAGGCGCCACTTTATTGAATTTTTTTACAAAAATCTTGTTTTTTCGCATAATTTCATAACGTATCATAAGAAAAACCATCACAAAAAAACAAAAGCAAATTAACTCAAATTGTCCCCAGACAGCGACAACTACAACCCTAATTCAGGTTAGCCAGTGCAAAAAGTTAACGCAACACCAAAACGCTTCAAAATATATTTTAAGAAAAAAAATAACACTTTTGGAAAACAAAAATTATAAAAATTCCTCTCTGAGGAAGGAATCCCTCTCCGATCAGGAAACCAAAGTCAGACTTTCTCAGAAAGCTGTAAAGGATTCATGAATTACGTATTATAGTCATGTTCATTCCCGGTACAGCATCCGTGCATTATACGTATACGAATCCACTATCGCGAAGGCATCAAGGAAGGATAGGAAGTTAGTTTCGTGGACCTCCAAGTCGTAGTTTTGTTTCGAATATAGTTTTTATATCAAATGAGTTCAAATAACGAATATGAAATCAACCGAATGTTGATGATACGTGAAGGCAATGGTATTTGTTACCGCAATAGTCACCAAAGTGACGAGTGGGCGACGGACTTTTATGGTTGCGTCATGCGTGCGTGCGGCTGTGCACTTGTGTCGGATTGTTCGCATCGGCTGGCTGGTGTGGTCTTTGGTAAAACTGATACTCAATATGAGACGTCGCCTGTCTTGCACGTATGAGAAAAATTGGTAAAATAAAGTCATGCCGACAATTCTGCTAATGAATTTGTTCTTCACTACTTTACTACGTGAGGTTAACACTTCGTGCTGGAAATGATATAGAGCATAACATCATAAGACTTGTAATATATTGCCAAAAGTTGAAGCATTTTAAAAGCAATTTCAAAATAAAATGAAGGTAATCATATGCGGCGGTGCGGAGGCTATACTCCTTGTTTTAAAAATATGAACTCTACCACAATAATTTTTTTATCTGTGACAGATTGTCATTTTGGATCATTTGCCAAATTAGCGTTTTCAACGTAGAATGCTGTGTTAGATATCCCATTAAATTTTTTGATGTTTATCTATTTTACAAGTTTTACAACTGAATGTCGATGAACAAGAAAACAATAATATTTGGATTTTACCTCTTCTGACCTTTTGATAATCTACATTGTTTAGTTGCAAATAGTTGTAGTTGGAAATTTCCGGAATTTGAAGTTAATTTTCCTACTTCAAATTGGAATTTTAGAAATGCCTTTCGCCGATGTGAACGCAAAATAAACTCCATGTAATCCAACATACTTGCATCATCAGTGGTATCTAATGACATACCACTTACACAAGCTAAAATAGTACTTTAAAACCGACAAATGTTGTGGGTTCACACAAACTCCATAATCGTTAGTCACAAAGTCAATACATCGCTGGTCACCATGGCAACCTTAAGCCATCTTTTGTCTTATAGATATCTAACAGTATTGATTTGGCGATTGTGGCCGGAATCGAGTTTGGGTTCTTTGGGGTTCGAGCCATATTTTTTAGGGTAATTCTCAAAATGTGAGCGGGCGGGGACTGAACATACAAATACGGGTTCTTGTAAAACAAAGGTTTAGGGTAAATTTTTCTAGAATTGGATTAACACTTCTCGCTACTACACAAAATAGGCCAGCTGTCTTATTTCAGTACATAAGCCAAATTTATCCATTGTTAGGATTACAGCGTCCCATGTGTCGTAATAGGGGTCCTGTCGAACCCATCGCCTCAAATTTTTACATTTTCTTGAAAAAATGGGTGGTGGTAAATTTCAGTTTTTGCCAAATTTTACTTTTTTTTCTAAAAGTTGCCAAGAGGTTAACGAAAGAATAAAAGCAGACATAGCCCCCTGTTTTAAAACCAACTTGCTAATATTCTTCAGTGATTTCTTTATCCCCGAATTAAAAGCAGAAACATTTTGCGAAAACAAGCATCTAAAGAGGATTATGGTTGTACCTATAAACTTCATTCAGATCATATAGTATCGCTTCTAAGTAGATGAGTGCGAGCGTGGTGGAAAATAATTACAAAACGATTTCATGTTGAAACTGCTATCCATGATAATTTAAATTACACGAGCAAATCAAATTTCGGTTGCACATATTCAGTTTGTTTACTTCAATTAAACCTAATTACAACGTACACATTTGTGTCAAGAAAACATTGAAAAGGTAATGATACATTTAAATTCTTTATCGTTGTAATAATGGCCTATTAGTACCGAGTGACGTCAGACAACAAGTATCAACCCAGGCAACGTGATCGAAAACTGTCTTGAAACCTGGTGCAGATGGCAAAAGAATCTTATGATTTTCAGCGAATAATAGCAGCGAAACTTGCAATATTAAAATCAGAATTAAAGTTCATTTAAAGGTTGCGGTATTGCTCAAACTAATTTTTGTTTATTCAAATTAAATTTTATTCAAATTAAATTTATTCAAATTAGGCTAAAACATATTAGTGTATTTATTTGGATGATGTGATCAAATATATATATTTTTCGAAGCAAAAGACGCAACGATAGCAACGATTCTGTGTGTATTAGATTTACTATTAGTCATCCTATTAATGAAACAAGCCTTCATTATATGCACCACTTCTAGAAATATTAAAATTGTAGGTCGGCTTAGGCATATTGGTTCATACTTGGGTGTTGTCTGAGTTTGAGCTCAGTTTAAAATTCGTCAACCAAACATTTTTATCACATTATTTATCGTCTTAAATAGGTTGTCACTTCAACTTTCTTTTAAACCTGCTTCATTGCTTCAAATTGAAAGTTCCGAGCCTGGCTTCAAAAATACAGTCCGTGCTCTAGTCTGTAAAATAACCCCTCGTGCGACTCAGGCGAGATATGTCACTGTATACTGTGATTTTTATTTTGAATTCAAGAGTATTTTTAGCAGAATTTTTCTTATGTTCTTCCCAGAAATCGGTTGCGGGTTCAACCGAATTCAATATCTATATCATTAGCATTGGGCCGGAATATTAAAACAATGGAATAGAGTAAATTTGATGAGATTCATCAAAATAGGAATAAGGATTACTTGAATGCTATCACAGCATAACAATAATGAAATATCACGATTTCATAAGCTTTCAAAATAATATCGCTCAATGAAATGTCAGGAGTTAAACTTGCGTAGGCGGCAAAAGTTTTGAATACAGATTTGAAAATACAACAATCAGCATTTTCGGGAACAAATAATTCCACGAAATTTCGCAATGCGATGACACATAAAATCTGAAAATCTGCGTAATTTGAAATCAATTTTATCAAGACCCTTAATGATTGGTGTGAAAATAATTTAAATTAAGTATATACCCCGAATAAATCAAATGATACGTTTAGTGGACAATGTCAATTAAAAAACAGTGTTTATATATATTTACCAGATGCTTAGTTGTTTTCTTACAATCTGTTCTCAGATAGATTACGCCACTTTTTTTGAGATAATTGAATGAAAATTCTAAAAATTTTGAAGAAATGATAATGTTGACTATACTTTTGAGTTTTTTGTAGATAATGAGGTATTCTTTGTTTAAAAATATAAATTGAAATTATTGCAAATATTTTTGAACAATGACTTGAATAAATAAGTATGAAAACCGAAATTTATTCAGAAAGTCCAACTTTTATTTGACCTTTGACATTCGTGTCATATATTTGAGGGTTTGCTTCTTGTTTTGCATCATATAAATTACAAAAATTAAAATGTAGAAACCAATGAAAAGTCAATCCTAAATTTGTTTACAGTTATAGACTAGCAACAACCGAAAAAATGTGGCAATTTTATAAAAATTAAGTATTCATTTTATTCTAAAATACCATGTAAAGTGTTTTTAATCAGCACCCGAACAAATATTTACGTATACTTGCACGAATCAACCCATAATTGTTGGTGTTTTTGAATTCTCTACTATTTTTAGAAACGGGATAATATTATAATAACTGTAGAAATCTAATAATTGATTCTGACTGGGAAAGTCATTAGAGGTAGCCTATTTACTCAGTAGGTATTTTCGTGTTATGCAGCAGTTGAATTTAATGAAATCGTTAAAGATACTGATTGACGGTTAAAAATGTAATGCGATTATAATTAATCGAAAGCGCGTGCCGTTCAGGGCACAATCAAAAAGTAAAACTTCTGTGCTTTAGCAAAAACAAGTTTTTGGTAAACTAAGTTCACCTTGTTTGATACAGAATACCATATTTACTAAATATTTCATGAACAATGTCGCGCCATAGAGTACTGATAGTATCGTTTACGGCACACGCATGCTTGTCCGTGGAAACGGGACTCCCATGAGTGACGTCCCATAGGATGGGATGGGCACACATTTGTATTTTTCAATGGGACTTGGAAACTTGATTACGTAAGATTACTTGATTACGCTGTCCTTGGTCTTGATACTTTTTTGTTATCTTTGAATGTTTATTCGTCTTACTTTTATCTTCATATGCTTGTATCTATTATTAATTTTGTGATGAGACAACGGCAGGGTTGTCATGGGAATGGGATTTCCATAGGAAACGCCCATGGGGATGGGGTGAGGCATGCATTTCTATGGGATATGACTGAATAATATGTCTCATGAATAAGCCTCGCATACAATTTGAAAATTTGTTATTTTAACCAAAATTTAATAGATACCCTTCCTTAGCTGGAACAGATGATAAAATGACCAGATTTATCGTGCGAAGTAGACTTCCAAATAAGTTCTCATCAATATAATGGTTATATGTTCGTGAATATTGAAGCATAACAGTAACAGCCAAAACTGAATCCGTGCTGCATTTGGTAGTGCACTACCAGTAAAATAAAAGCACAATATGTCTAAAACTCTATTTTCTCTATTCTCTCTAAAACTATTTTTTCAGTGCGACTACGTCATATTTTGCCTCAGTCAGTTTATTCTGTTATTTAAAACTATTGGCGCCAAACTTGCAATATTTTTCAAAATAGTCAGTAATCATTCATTATGATCTATAATTAGTCAACGCTGTACTTTTACAATTACCGCAAATTATCTAACATGCAATTAAATGTTATTTTTTGACTAAAAAATTAATTTGTTGTGAAGTGTTAAAGTACAGTTAATAATTACCAAGGTGGTCGTTTAGTGAAATACTTCATGAGGACAAGGCCGTCTGTTTTACTGTTTCGAATATTACATTTTTACTGATGATTAATTTTGGGCGACCGACTTCGATTGCCCATAAATTCAGAATCAACTTTTGTAAATTATTTAGTCATCACAGAAATCGGATGAAGAAGTCCTAATTCGCTAAATTGCTACATATAAAACCGATTGTACTGAAGTAATCACGGCAATAAGACATTCTGTCGTTTTTCTAGCAGAAATAGTTATATGTTGATGAAAAGTACTATTCAATACATATTGGAAAGTTGAGTTGTTAATGGAACAATCTCCATATTCAAATGTAATATAATTATAGATATTCTTGTAATTCCACACGCTTGTAACTTACGTTTGTATAATGACTTGTAGTGCACCTTTATCGCCAACATGTGGCCGCTTCAATTCAGAACTGTTTAATTAAGACAATCCGCCCTGGAAGCAGTGCAGTCAGTGTGGTGATTTTGTACATATTGAAATCAGATTTCAAATTTGCGACCGTATTGATTCAGATTTCTAAAATTCCTGATGTCAAACCTTGTTCCGACTCCAAAAAATGGACCCCCCCCCCTCAACGTAAAAAACTGTTTTTAACGTTACCCGATAATATTATGAAATAGAATATAACCACCCGTAACGGTATAATATATTTTTTTTAAAATCATGAAAAATTTTCAAATTTCATTAATAAAATACATGAAGTGTACAGAAAATAAATACAGTAGTTAAAACTTGTCTCATATGCTTGTAATCGACCAATCACGAATTACGCGGCAATGCACGTTAAATAACTAACATCTGCATAAGATCATCAACATACATTTTATAAGTAGGCAACTCCAAATTCTCCATTCACAGCTTATTTAACTATCAGGAAAAGGCATTTGATGTATCTGTTTTAAAGGCGTTTTGCTGTACATAGGTCATAGACACGAACCAATATTAGTTTAGTTATTTGTTTATGCGACACCCAAATTAAATATATATATATATATATAACGTTAATTGCCTTCACCATTCGTAATATTAATTTAAATATTCACTGGGGCAAGGAACCGCCAAGAGGGAAATGCATCTTAATGCATGTTTCAAGTATATGGCATGGTGCTAAAACAAAACTGTTATGTAAGTTATAGTTTGTCCCTAGCGTATTGTTAACTAATACCTAAAACGTTACGAAACTTTTGCCAAAATTGCCAAGCATTCAATCAATGCCGCCGCGGCATAAAATGATAAGATTTGTGCAGTTATCCAGTGATGCCCTCCTGGTTTTTGATATAACACTCATATCGGAATTCAACCTGAATATATGTCTATTTTTAATATAGTGTTTTGCAGGAGTGTATATTCTAAAAAATTACATAGATTGACATATTGTGTACAGCTCTGAAAATTTGAGAGTTTTGTTAAAATTATCATCTTCGGATTACTATTATACAATAAAATACAAATCAAATTTAAAGATCAGCACCCAGACGTTCGATTTCGTCTAAAACAAAGTCCATATCGTTGTGTTCCACTTTTTCGTTCATGACGACCATTCGAAAAAAGTTGGGCTTGTCACCAAGAGGTTGATAACCAATCAACATGCTCCCTCTCTCCACCATACGTTCTTTGATTATCGGAGCTACTTTTGATAAATCTCGTTTGTAACCATCCTCGCTTGTCCAAGTTGTTATACCACCCCTCATTCGGGGTGGAATATACCAGAAACAGACGTTAGTGCATTCCGGCTAAAACAAGTTGAATTTTTCATAAACATTGCTATATATTATGTGACTGTATAAAAGACATCGCGGGACGGTTGTTCCCAAATTCTAAGTAGGGATGTGAAAAGCAGAGTCAGGACTCCAATTTTAAACTCCAACTGACAATAATTTCGATTCCGCCTGAACCATGGCGTATGCGAGGCTTCTTAATCTTCTGTTAGGAATGCTCAGTAAAATAAATTCTTCAGGTAATTGTTTGTCGATCACCACTGATCTCAATTCTTATATTGATTCTTATATTCATAAGTCGTTTGATAAATATTTTTCTATTTTGATATGAATATACAAAATTCAATTATAGACTCATGCGTCGTGCAAAGTTGTAATTGGGATCAATTTCCGGTACAAAACCCATACCGAACTCGATGATACGGGTCAATCAAGTATGTCATATACTTACTTCGCTTAATACTAATCTGAAGCCAGGACGTTTTTTGATTTCTCTAGTGAGGTATTCAGCATTGTCAAATGCTTTTTCAACTTGTTTTGCTATTCCCGTGTTTCCTTTAGCTTTCCACAACATCCACAATTTAAGAGAGTCGACCTACATTTAATTCAACAAAAATAAATTCTGTAAAAATAAGATAATTTTCTATCAAATTTATAAAGTTTTAAGATTAGAATCTCGCTTCACATAGACAGACATCAGGGTAGTTGGATTGAATGTAGGGTCGATCCGAGTCGTTCAAAAAAAACGGTCCTGAATTGACAAAAATCTTGACTCCGACTCCGGTTCAAAAAAAACTGAATCCGGAATGCCTAATTTTTTCACACAAAAACACGAACGTTCGCAAGTGTTTCGTAATTTGAGTGAGAATTTCAGAATATAAACTTTTACGGTCATTATTTCCGCATGCGATTTCATTTCAAAAAAGGACTCCAACAACCACTCTAATACTCGGCCCACTTGTAGATATTGTTCCTTCAGTACCGATCAACAAATCTAGGTAACATTTGTATTATTATAAAGCAATGCATACACTTCAAAGTTCTTTGCTAAACTTGACTCCATTATTTAAGAAGACGGATCGACATAAGCTATACACATTTAATCCGTAGAAGGCTATTGCAGGACTATTATTAATCATAATCTCATTATTTCTGGCACCCGAGATGCCACAAAGCATAGCTATACCCCCATGATACGAACCTTTCTTCCACATTGTATAATTTTCGTTCCGATGTCGTAACTTGTGTCGTATGTTGTCTTGTCCGTTTGAAACAAATACGGAACATGGATGCTGTTGCATTTTCGTAATATTTCCTTAAATTTGAAACAAAAGAGTTTAGCAATCTCAAAGTGGATATTGAAATACGTTGTTGTAATTTAACATTGGAAGATCTGTTTAATATATTACTAGAAAATGGCGGGCCGTTTACTTACTGCTGTGGAGTTTCTGTACAAATTTTTGACTCCTTCTACCACCAATTTAAGTCGGAAACCACTCTGGGTTATATTATACTCATATTATAAAATTATACTCATGACTCCGGGAATTTTGACAATATGAATCCGTATCCGACTCCTCCTCCCACTCCCCAACCCTGCGTTTGTCGCTTGCAAAAAGAAAAAGAAAACAGGACATGCGGCAAACAAATAAACCTTTACATTATCTGGGAGGTATCGATTTCTTAATTCTCTAATTTTTTCTAAACCAAATTTTAAAAAATTAACGACTTACAGGATGTCTTGTTAGTAGAGACGAACACTGTAACGGTGCCATCATCATCTTATGTTGATTCCAAGTGATGGAGTCAGCTCTGAGAACATAAGGTCATTTCATATTACCCATTTATAAAACAATGGTAACCATTCAATTTCAACAACTTCATTTCAAATTACATTTTTTGGAAATTTTCTCGAGTAGTCCTAATTCGGAGAATTGATTGAAGCCCTAGATTCAAACTCTTACTGGCAGTTACGTATTTAGTAGAACATAAATTTAAAATTTACTAACACAATGTCGAAAAAATTCACCTGTGCATTCCTTTACATAAATGCTTGTATTTTTCTGACATCAGAGCACTGCCACCCCACGCCGCCTGTAAGGAAGAGTTGGTTACAATTGGAGTAGTCGTTTATAATAGTGTTAACTAACCAAGAAGAAATTTTATCGTTCCGAGAGAGGAAAGTTTAATGACTTGCAACTATAAGAATTAATTTGATGACTCCTGAATTAATTTAGAAAACTCACATCGACGTGCATCCATATTTGATATTTTTTACAAATATCGGCAATCTCCTCAAAACGATCATAAGCTCCCAATACTGTAGTTCCTGCTGTAGCGTTGACAAAGAATGGTACGGCACCCTAGGTAGAATTTTTGAATATAAAACAAAGCATTTCAAAATAAAACAAAAAATGATTTTTTCAAAAGACACTGAAGCCCTAACAATGCGAAAAACAACAATTAGAAAAAAGTTTGGGCATCGCCTGCAGAAATGAAATTTAGGATATGTTCGAACCAAGTTAGTGATCGTCCATCACTGAAGAGAGATAAGCCAAGAGATAAGTATACTTTAATAGTGAGAAAGTGTGTGCTTGGGCTTACTTTGAGAAAACTTCCTCAGATAAAATAAAATTGTGAATCCACTTACAATACCCAGTCAGAAAATAGTTGCTTAGATTGTAGCAGTTATATAGACTTTTTGGGGTGCTCCCGAAGTATGCGAACCAAGATGGCGGACATCGGAACGTAACATGGGTAACAGGTTAGGGTTAGGCGATAATTTTTTTTCAATTTTCCTTATTTTAGTCCTATTATCAGTTCGAAGACTAGCCAATAGCCTCCCGTAGTATTTATACTTAAAATTATGGCCTAACCCTAACCTAGTACACATATTACATTCCGATGTCCGCCATCTTGGTTCGCATACTTCGGGAGCCCCCTTTTTGGTATGTTGGTTGCAAACCAGTATACTCACTTCGCCCTTCAGCATCAAAATTTGCTCTTCCAGGCTTTTTGGACACATCTTTCCTCTGTCGTCACACTTTACTTTAATGACGTCATCGGTCGGTAGTCCCATCAATGCGGCGTTTTTCTTCACAGAGTAGTGACCATGTTCACTAGTAAACAACACCATTCGTGGAAGACGTCGGAGTCCTTTTTCTTTAATATCCGGGAATTTACGAAAACGTCCAAGATGCATACCCATCAGGTTAGAATAGGAACCACCTACAAAAATAAGAAGATTTCAAAATGCAATATGTGGCAATATAGAATAATCAATGCTGAATGAATTTATCGAACATTCCTCGCGGTTTAAAAGCTAAATATATCCATTGTAGAAAAATAAACAGTCGTCAATTTTGAAGTTCGCGTATCTCTTAAATTCAATTGCATTAAGTCCAGCCCAATCCTATCATGTGAAGTCAAGCTGGTTTGAATATTAAGTGAAAGTCAAGCTAATTATTTTGCTATCTATGACCTGAATTGGGTCTAGGTGAAGCCATTGTCACAAGATCAAAACTGAAGTCATGCATGGCTATTGCAACAAAGTAGTTAGTTTTCTTCAATTTTTTAATCCATCAGGAGTTGGTAATGTAGCCTAGGTCGTTGCTAAATGACCTGAAGTTTGGATTCGGAGTCGGGTTAGAAGAAGCTTACTTCGTGTACAATGATTTTGACAAATATTTCGGCGATCCAGAAGTATGTGTACCAATATGGAGGTAACTAATTTTGTTCGCCTATTTTACATCAAATTGTGTAAAGGGACGAAAGCCTATGGGCAGGGGGTATATTCATTTGGCAACGCAAACAGTCCCCGAACTCGTTAAATAACTAAAATGAGGAAAATTGGAATAAAAATATGGCCTAACCCTAACCTTGTATACATACTACAGGAGTACCAATATTTCTCCAAAATAATAACAATCATTACCGGGACAAAATGTTCCGTCGCCTTCTTCGTAACCAATAATTTTCATCATGTGCTCAAGCAAAACTTTCTCCATCAATATAAACACCGGAGCCACTTCGTAAGTGTATCTGATAAATAAAATCAATATTTAAGGCGATTAGAAATTTTATATTTCGAGTATAATAATATGGCAGGAATTCTGATACTAATGACTTTTCTATACCTTTAGATAAATTTTCATTATTTTCATTTGAATTAACAGAAATTATCTCCATTTCAACCAATCCAAGGAAGAATGAAATTTGGTTTTTAATAAACGCTTGATTAACTGGATTCCCTAATGAAAAGAGACAGTGACATATTTTGATGGCCAAATTTGATTTTAAATAATAGCCTTCTACATTCAAATGGTTGGTAGTGCAGAACCTTGCTAATAGCGAAAACGTGCAATTATAGCATATTCGTCATTAGGAAAGCTTCCTTCAGCAGTTTGATGTTACACAACAAAACTATGCAACCACAACAAAGGATGGTCACTAAGCATGAGATGAGTCATACGCTTTATATCCGCTAATACACAAAACAGGTAGTGGATGTTTGCTACCGGGAGATTGAAATTCGCTAGATCTATCATTTTCAATTAACGGATATCTTACATTACAAGTGTTGACTTGATGAATATATTTAAGTCATTCAAATATAAATTACATATGGGATATTACTGGAAACAATATAAGCAACAACAATGAAAACAGAGGATTGGTTATATTCGAAACGCCGGCGCAAGTGCCAGATACTTGAGACAGCTAATTCATGTATATTTCAAACTTTTAAAAAATGCAATAGAAGTCGTAATACTCTTACATAGAAGTGTTAAGAACATCTGTGATGACTTGACCTGCAAATCCATAAGGATCCAGTCCTCCATATAATTGATTGAAAAACCTTGGATGGCCTGTGAAGAAAAATAAAAATAATAATTTATATACGAGGACAAGTAGTCACTTATCAGTCTGGTCGGGGAATGTCAAGTCTTTGTAACATTGCAAATTTTTCAATAATTTTTTTTTTCTCAATTACAAATACAATATTTCACATAAGGCACATTTCTGTTTTTCCACTTTTGATACGTCTACCAGTTTCATGTAATCTTAGCAAAGCTATTGCATGTCATAATTTTTTTAACTAGTTGAATCGAGATTGGCAATTGTATTTAATGTAAACGACTTCGAAAATTATTTTGAATATTTTAATATTCTATTCCCCCAATATGACATGTCGAGAAGCGGTATCTAGCCAAGTATCCCGCCAAACCTGTCACGTGCGTAAAATCGACATGGGTATAAAATTAATTGCATCGCTAAGAAAGAAAGGACATTCAATTTCATAATCTTTATTGTGCAAATTTTGCTAACCTAATTAACAATATAGAATTATCCGTCTTTCGCCTCTGGCGGTTAGCCGACAAAACCAACTTGCGGTTACCGTGAATTCGTTAGAAAATAAGAAGACAGAATTTCGCAATAAAAGACACGTGCGAACGCTAACCAGTCGGGCGTAAAGCCATAAATAAGAGTGGAAAATCACTGGATATTTTCCCGTGCACGGGTCAGTTTCCATTGTGACGTGCTGAATTCGGCGGATTCGTCGACCATGGCACGTTTCACTTTTTAACTTTGAATGCAACAGCAATCTTCGCTGTCCGAACTAATTTATTGGTTTTGACCAAAGTGAAAAATCATCGGTATTAGTCAATAATTCTTTTATATGTTGCATCGTGAAGAGTGTAACAAAAACTAATTTTGAGTTTTTTACAATCTGACGAATGTAGCATTTTCGTCCTTGCATTGCTCATTTATATGTAAACGTGAATGAAATAATGTGGCAAATTGTCCAGGTGGCTATTTTTGTTAGCTATGCCCCTTGTTCACGAAGAATGCGGCCTTGAAATCTGTTCAAACTGATTTTGCTATAAGATCGTGAATTTACTTTATTCCTTCGACTTTCAATTCAAAGGGTATTTACTCTTATTAACGGGACCACGATTGCAATTTAATATCGTGTGGTAGATACACTCGAGTATGTACAAGATATAACGCTTTTTGGAGTAGAAATACTATTGACAAAAAACTAACCGTTCTTACCCGTTTTCACACTGTACTTGAAAATGTCTTTGCAGCATTCCAGCAACTTCTCATGACTTTCTCCACCATCCCCCAACTCAAGGTCCATTTTGTTCGAAAGCTCATCTGGTTTTTCAAACCTGACCACTGGATCATCTCTTTCCTGAGATTTAAACCCTTCCATCAGAGCTAATTCTACGACTTCTTTTAAAAAGTTGTCAATTGAATCTGGTGTGGAGCCGAGCAAAGTTCCATTTTTCCCGTTTTCGATTTTTCTAAGCTTTGTTGCCGGCACCTCAGCGAATCCATTACCGTTGCTGATACTATGTTTAATGCCGTTGGTTGCCATTTTAATTGCTAAGCTATTCACGATAAATAATGAATACATTAATAAGACAATGCAAAAACTAAAAATGTTTCCATTGTGCGGAATCCCAAAAATTAAATAGGAATGAAAACTAAAAAGTCTACAAGGGCATAGCGACGTCCTTCCTGCCTATTGTCCAGTCCACGCGCGCACGTCCGAATGCTCGTATCCATCTGTTACACTAGCGTGGGCGACATCGCGGCTAAGTATAGTTGTTGAATCTTTGTTACAATGGCTAAGCTTGCTACCGAGTTATTTCCCGGCTTTCCGCTGTGACTAGGTATATAAATATAGATATAGACAGCCGTTCAACATAATTGTGTTTATCCAGTAAACGCAGCATTCATTTTGTTTATACAATAGGCAACACAGTTTTAGTCGGACATGTTTATACCAATGCTGGTCTTTTGTGCAATATTAGCAACAGATTTAACGCAGTTTTTGTATAATTGTCAAGTATTTTCTGCCTGGACTACTTTCTACGCTTCAAATGAAACTAACTAAAGCGCTATAATGTGTAAAACATGGAAACCCCCGAAAACAAAAACTATCAGTTTCGGTGCAGCGTATGTAGCATATAGTGCGCTTAAATGACTCGAGTATCTTAGTCCTACAACATTTGTTTATCTAAACCTGGCCTAAGATGGCGACCGCAAATACGCGCGGTTTTGGAAAAAATTTAAATCTGTTTTGAACATTGAAATTCTGTTTTAAACGATCACCTTACATGATCCTTATTGAAATCAGATCACGATGTTTGTCGTCATCGTTGAATATACTCGGTTATCACAGCCTTATTCTCGGTTTATGTTTGGTAAATTCTCAATTTTACTCGTCTTACAAAATACGTATTTAAGCTCTGAGTCGTTATGACTTTGCATATTTTGTTCGTTCGGAAATTTGATTTAGTTATAATATTATAACACATTTAACAAAACGTTCAAAATTAACTAACTTTTTCCGGTATTACAACTAACGGTATATGTCATGTCAAACATATCGCATTACATTGTTTGTGAGTTTCTTTGCTAAGATCGTATTACACCATCTCCGCAAGTGGGAGACATTCATTCAAAAAAAATTTGCGGGAAATATCGCTTTGTACCCACTTATACACGATGCTGTCTTGATCCGCCCGGCGCCTCTCTGGTCATAAGAAGCTGTCAAAATCCATTGTAGACAAGGACACACTGTTCTTTCACTTCCTAACTATTATTACAGGCAAAAATTTTACTTAAGTGAATTAACCCATTAATAGTAATTATTCTAGTCCCGATAATCATGTTTAGACTTGCTCTTGTTACTTATCGATAGGGATGGCGGAATCGAGTCCGATTTCGATTACAGAATCGATTCTTCGCGGAATCGCCTAGAATCGATTCTGATGCACTGGAATCGATTCTCCAGTTTAAAACTTTGATTGCAAACAATGTGTAACGTTTTATGGCAATTCCTTCACATATATTTATAAACTGCTTCACTGCTATGTTGAGTTGCTACGACGACGCAAACTTCACTATATATATTATATATATATTGCTGGAGGGTTCCAACGTTTATTTATTTCAAAAATCTCAGTGGGTTCTGAGGGATTCGTTTTTTTTGTGCGATTTTGTCTCCCGTGACAGACTGGATACCCATACTACTTAGTTTCGGCCTTCTTGTCCGCCCAGAATTTGAAAATCGTGCTCTTGTTTGATTTCATATGGTATTGCTTAGGTGGGTATGTTTTTTCGGTAAGATATGTCGAGGAATCGAGATTCGGAATCGAAAATCGGAATCGATAATTTAGGGATCGGATAAGAATCGAATACTTGTAAGTACTCATACTTGGCATCCTTACTTATCGATCTCGATCGGCAAATATGTTGATAGGTATTTGTCTGTTTGTTTGTTTCACTTTCGTATGTTACGCGACATCTCACGAAAGCGAGGTTGAATCTGCTCCAAATTTTGCATGCATTCATCATTCGTGCATTCATTATTCATTCATTCATATCTCGGACCAGAAGCCTATTGATTTTGGATGAATTATGTCGTATTATTAGCGAGTTATTAATTAATTAGTGATGAGACACGCGGTGTCGCTATCGAGTCGGGGCGAAGGAATCGAAACCACAGATCGATGAGTCGGCAGTCTCCGATCGCTATCTAGTTTATTTGTTTGTTTATGTTAAGAGCCCCTGACCTAGAGAAAGTGAGACGTTTATGGCAATAATGGTGCAAAACTCTCTCATATCAGCTGTTTTATATTCACGCCCTTGTTATAATCATACTGTCCTACTTGGTGTCCTATTTATTAGTGTCGGAGACAGTGCAATGAGGCTCTTTGGTCATGAATTTTTTTGTTAGATGCAACGGTTACTTTGCGGCATTGGTTTGCAAATTATAGAGTGTTTTATTCTGCTAATTTAGGCTTGTTAAGATATTTAGGGTTTGTAGTTTAGATTTATTTAGGTTCCAATAGTTATATATTTGAGGCTAATTATTGCTTTGCGTCTTTTAGCTAAATCTAAGTACTGTTGTTGGACTGGAGACACAAATATATTGTAACCACCATATTCAGACCGTGACCACGTATATAGCCTACACATCGTATATGCACCACGCCGTACACACATATATCGCGTTATTCACTGTGCTACACTGCCGTTATACTTGCTGTGGAACTTTATCTACTGTGGGACTTTTACCTGATTGTGGAATTTTACTGGACTGTGACTTTGTATATACTGTACATATACTTTCATCACAAGTTCATTTAATAAAAGTTGGATGTGTTTATGTGTGCGTTACTACTGTGGTTAGCTTCAGAAGTAGATTGACAACACCGCCCAATAAGCAGAAATAGGATCTGTAGAACTTCTAACTCTACCGTACTACTACCGTACACTGAAAAATTTGCCTCTGTAACTTTTTTCACCTCTTATTATTGATTTTAAATATATATAGTTCTTCAATTGAGAAATTGTTTTTGTACATGCAAATATCACTGAAACCAACTAAAATACAATATTGCACAAAAGCTTATGAAAGTTGCAGAAACTTATTACAACTCCTAATAACCCAATAGCGATAATTCTCTTTGGTAATTGGCAGGTACTTGTTCTGCAAAAATCACGAATTGGAATGATAGTGAAAACACAGAAGATCGGAATTCATCCTTTAACCCCGGAAGTCAAGTCAGTGTACAAATATGGTTTTCCACAGTATAGATAGTTACTCTGTATCACAAGTTTCATCAACAGCTACAGCAGCAGGTCGCCTTTTTCTTTATTATGCATTGCATTGAAATGATGGCCACGCGTTTTACAAAATAAACTTTACAATGTCTTTTTAGATTTTGAAACTTTGAGTCCGGTATGAAATCTTAATTTTTGCGAACAACTTAGCCTGGATGCTGTCAAAATAAAGAACAATCTGCAGGTTGAAGCAATATAGTGCAAGGTCGCTTTATATTTTTTTCCGTTTGCTAAATAGTTGCTGTTGTTTGAAAAAAATCGCCTTTCTCTGAAAGCAGCGGATCAATCGTTTTCAAATTTTCAGTACGTGAAGATGGTTGAAGCCCCTAAAAGCCAGTTTTTAGATTTGCTTGAGTCCTATGGGCCTCGATGTTTTCCCCAAATTTTGATATTTACACGAATATTCGCCACGATGCGGCAAGTGTGTGGCACGTGACGTCAGACAAGTCTGGCATTATTTTTCGACAAAGCTGCTGTTCACAACCTAGCTGCGGCGATGGGACTTGATTTTCAGTTGCGATTTGAATTTTCAATGATCAGATAACAGATTTCGGTGTAAGTCACATAATGCTACCGGTACTGCGGTTGATCATGGAACATTAGTGACCTTATATGTTAGCGTTGCTCGCTTATTTCATTTATTAAGCTGAATGTTGGTAGACAGGTGTAATGTGCCCATGGCAAGTTGAATAACTACAATTGTCTTGCATTTTGTTAAGTATTCATCAAACCATGCACTACCGGAAAGTAAAATTCCAAAATCAGTTCTTTTTTAAAAGTCTCGGCCCAAAATGGGGGGTCGTGAAGGTTTATATTATTTAAACAAAAGCGTAATACTCAAGTTTATGGACGCAACCATTGTGAAACCATTTTAAACAACATAGCAAGAATAAATACCAATAATCCATGTGAATTCTTGGCATCCAACAGTGGTAATAATGCTCTTACCTCGCAATGAATTCCTCGGAAACCTGGTGCACATTCACAGTCACTTCCACTTGCGAAAAACAAAAAATATTCATTGCAAATTCCTCCGTTTTGGCAGTGGTTTGGTCGACAAGAGTTCGGCATCTACAATATATGTAATTTTATTGTCATCAAAACCACAGGTGGTTGTGTTGTATCGTTTATTTATAATCTGTGTATAAATTGACATTTCACGATACAAGATTGATAAACAGATAGACCGCGTTACATACAGTAGAACTAACATGATGTTAATATCAGAGATTTGAAAATTGTCGAGAGCTTTTTGTGTCTAGACGCGGGATTTTCAACCTTTTTAGTAGAGCGGAATCCCAATGAAACATTCCTCTAGCTCAAGAAACCTATGTGCAATATAGTTTTATTGTCTGAGTTGTATTCACTATAAATATAAAAAAAATCAAACCCAATTCCGTTAAAATAAAATATTCTTTAAAGTGTAGAAAATTTAATAATAGTGGCAAACCTGATAGAGATTTAATAATATTTAAACGAGAATATCGGTCAGAGACCGAAGGCTTGTCGATTGAAAGTTAGGGGATCCCCCAAAACAGCGCTCTTACTCCATAGTGACACCTTGTGTCTCATCACTAATTAATTAATAACTCGCTAATTATAAGATAAATTCGCCCAAAATCAATAGGCTTCTGGTCCGAGATATGATAAACGGACATGCAAAATCTGGAGCAGATTCAATCTCGCTTTCGTGAGATATCGCGTGCATCTAACAGACAGACAGACAGACAAATACCTATCAACATACTTACCGATTAAAATCGATAGGTAACAATATACATATAATAACATCGACTCTCGGAATTAAATGTAAACTTTGCGAAACCCCTGAGCAGTATTGGCGGGACCCTGGGTGCTGCGGAACCCGGTTGTAAACCACTTGACCTGTATGGTATAGTTCTACTCAATGCTTTTCCTAATTGAAAATGCAATTGATAAAGGAGAGAAAGAGAACAATGACCGCAACGCGTATCCTTGTAAAAAATGTGAAGTTGTTTACCTGATGTAAAATGGCGGAATAATTTTTCTAAAATTATCTAAATTATGCAAAGGTTTATTTCGTGGTTATTTTATTTCACACGGCCATGCTTGTTGAGTAATGATTTCACCAACCTGGCAATATTTCCCTCCAAACCCATTCGCACAAAAACAACGAAAAAATCGCAAATCTGATCCCGCACATTGTCCTCCGTTTCTGCATGGCGTTTTTTCGCAAGAATCTTTGCCGGTATTCTGTTAGAAATATTTGCGCTGGATTTAACCATGGGTTAATGTAGTATATATATATCTTGATTCTTGACTTTACCTTGAAAAGGGTTATCTAAATAAATCTATGCATTTAAAATAAACAATATTGATTTAATTTATGTCTAATGAAACCCGCGTAATTCTTATATGAAATCGATTATATTTTTTATGATTTTTCATTCGAATAATATTCCAAAGTCCGTTCCAATTTTGATAATTTAAGGTCGCCTTCAAAAAAATAAAATTTTGAGACCTGGGATGGCGTGGAAAAAATATGTGAGAATTTTGAATTTAATTAAACGAGGTATAGATGTGATTATCATTTAATAACTCACTTCACAAAACTCTCCACCGAATCCTTCTCTACATTCACAGAAATATCCACCGAACCTCATTCGTGAACAAAGTGCATTATTTTTACACGGATTTGGCTCGCATGGATCTTCATTTTTCTAAAATTTCAAAATAAATTGAAATAGCTAGGAAACTTGATGTTGATGATGGCTAATAATGCCTTGTCGAGTAACGTCCCTAATAATTGATTGTGCTATCTGTCTTGTGTTAACGTGTCGCAGTTGCGTCACTCGCTAGTATGTTCTGTTGCTGTAGACATCTTATGTTGTGTGTTATGCTGGTGTAATAAAGAAGTGTAAGCGTATTCAGTTGAACCCTTATTCTATAATAGCTTGGGTGTAGAACTTAACATATAACCAAGACATTATTAACATGGTGGCAGCGGTATCTGAAATTCGCTTACCGTCGACTCTTGATCTGCATGATGAAAATTTATCAGAAACATTTAAGAAATGGAAGAGACAGATTGATATTTTCATGCTAGCCAGCGGTTCTACTAGAAAGTCAAAGGAAGAACAGAAGGCAATAATCTTATATTGCGCAGGTGCTCAAATGATTGAAGCTGCCGAACACTTTGTATACAGTGATACAGAGGACGAAAATGACCCTAAAGTTCTACTACAGAAAATGGCTGAACACTGTAATCCTCGGAAGAATGAGGTGATGGAGACTTTTCGCTTTTTCAATATACAGTACAAAGACAATTTTGATACATTTCTCGTTGAACTCCGTAGTAAAGCCGATTCCTGTAATTTCGAAAACAAAGACCGAATGATCAGAGATAAAATCGTATTTTCAGTAAGCGGTAAATTACAAGAAATTCTGCTGCGGGAGACTGATCTCAATATGTCAAAAGCCATAAAGATTTGCCAAACATATGAAATGTCAGAAAAGCAAGCGACGGAGATCTGTGCAACTTCGGAAAGCGAGCAACGAATTTTGTCGACTAAAAATAGACAATACCGAAATACAAACAGAGCTTCGAAAAACAAGCGTATTCCAAATGCATACCAAGAATGCAAATTTTGTGGACGCAGACACAACTTTGGGATATCCTTTTGTCCTGCTTACGGAAAAACTTGTCATTCGTGCAATGGTAGAAATCATTTCCGAGTGAAGTGTAGAAACGCAAGCTATGTTCGACAAATGAAGGAACATGACCAAAATGAAGAAACTTTTAAAGGTCATCAACGTGTCCAGAATATAAATACCGTCAACAGTTCAAGAATTACTGCTCTGATGGAAGCCAACAATTATGAAGTCAGATTTCAAATTGATAGTGCTGCAGATGTCAACACAATATGCGAGAAATATGTGCGGAAAGACCAAATTAGACCAACTACTGACAATCTTGTGATGTGGAATAAAACGAAAATGAAACCACTTGGTGAGGCAATTTTAAAGGTAAAAAATCCTCGAAATGATGAAGTCGCAGAGGTAAGATTTACTGTTGTCAAGAATAATTTCAACTGTCTTTTGGGGTTAATGACAATACAAGAAATGGGTTTGATTACAATAAACAGCGATAAATTTATTGCAAATGTTGACCTACCGCAAACTTTGGGAAACTTGGGAATAGCGAAATTAAAAGTTGATCCTGATTTTCAACCTAGAGTTTTACCTTGTAGAAAAATCCCAATAGCTCTCCAAGATAGAGTTAAATCAGAATTAGATAACCTGGTGAAAAGGGGAATCTTAATACCGGTGGATGAACCTACCGATTGGGTTAGTCAAATGGCTGTGACTGAGAAACCTAACAAAAAGCTTCGAATATGTATTGACCCTCAACCTTTAAATGCCGCGTTGAAACGAGAACACTACAGATTACCTGTTCTTGATGATGTATTGCATAAGCTACGCAATGCAAAAGTGTTTACCAAGTTTGATGTAAAAGAAGCATATTGGCACGTAATATTAGAAGAAGAATCGAGTAAGTTAACGACAATGATCACACCTTTTTCTCGTTACAGATGGGCTAGACTCCCATTTGGTTTGAATGTGAGCAGCGAAATATTTCAGAAACGTTTAAATGAAGCATTGTTCAGATTGAAAGGTGTTATAACGATTGCAGATGACATCATAGTAATTGGATGTGGAGACACGAAATCTGAAGCGGAAGCGGATTTGAGAGAGAACACAAGAAATCTCCAAATAAGGTGCCGAACTAAAAACATTAAATTAAATGATACCAAAGCAAGAATTATGAAAGAAGAAATAACTTTTATGGGCCATAAGATTACAACAAGTGGGATAGAGCCAGATCCTGCTAAGACAGAGGCCATAGTGAAAATGTCATCGTTAAAAGACGTCAGTGATGTGAAACGATTTTGTGGTATGATTCAATATTTATCCAGATTTTTGCCTAATCTTGCCAGTGATCTAGAGCCAATTCGAAATCTCACTAGAAAGAATGTTAAATGGCTATGGAACGAAAAGTGTGAGAAAGCTTTTCAATTGGTCAAACGTAAAATTACGAAATCGCCCGTATTAGCCTATTACGACCCTAACCTTGACCTAGTTCTACAAGTTGATAGCAGCAAAGATGGTCTTGGTGCTGTTTTAATGCAGAATGAGAAGCCTATCGAATATGCATCCCGTGGTTTGTCAAAATCTGAAAGAAATTGGGCTCAGATTGAAAAAGAAACTTTATCTGTTGTATTTGGACTTGAACGATTTAATCAATATACCTATGGTCGCAAAGTTATAATTCACAACGATCATAAACCTCTTGAAACAATCTTGAGCAAACCATTAAGTCAAGCGCCCAGACGTTTACAAACTCTTATGATGCGATTGAACAGATATAATATCCAATTCAAATATATGCCTGGGAAATCCTTATTAATTGCTGATACCCTCAGCAGAAATTTTATCGAAAATTCCAAACATTTTCCACATATTTTGAAAGTAGACGCTTTAGAGCAAATTCCAGATGAAAGAATTGAAGATGTAAAGCAAGCTATGATGAAAGATGATGAATCGATGAAGTTGCTGAGATATATAAAACATGGATGGCCCGAGCATAAGTATGACTTACCTGACTGTGTAAAACCATATTTTTCAATAAGAGATACATTGAGTTATCAAGATGATATTATTTTGAAGGGTGAACGTATATGGATCCCAAAATCTATGCGTAACGAAATAAAGCAACAACTTCATTTTTCTCATTTAGGTTATGCAAGTATGATGCGCCGTGCTCGTGAAACTGTCTTTTGGATTGGTATGTCCAAAGAGATTGAGCAAATTGCTAACAATTGTTTTTCTTGTCAGCTGACGAAACCAAATAATCAGAAAGAACCATTATTGCAACACAACGAAGGAAGTGTTCCTTGGGAAAAAGTTGGAATTGATTTATGTGAGTATAAAGGGAAAAATTATCTAATCACGGTTGATTATTTTTCAAGTTTCTTTGAAGTCGATGTGATGACGACGACAACTACGAATCAAATCATCATATGTCTGAAACGTCATTTTGCTCGACATGGTATTCCAAAGATGTTAATCTCAGATTGTGGGAGAAATCTCAACTCGTCGGAATTCGAGAAATTCATGAGAGATTGGAGAATTCAGCATGTTACCTCTTCACCTGGACATCAACAAGCGAATGGAAAAGCTGAATCGTCCGTGAAAATTTTCAAGAATATGCTGAAAAGGACTGCAAACACGAATGAAGATCAATTTCTAGCTCTTATAGAAATAAGAAATACGCCGCGTCAAGATTTGAACAGCAGTCCGTCAAAGATGCTATTTGGTCGATCAACCAGATCGATTATACCTACAATTACGAAACCAAACGAAAACTACGATTCGAAACGCCTGCGCCGAAAGCACAGCGTTAAGAAGAGTTATGACAAATCTACAAGACCAATGCGAGAACTTGAGTTGGGCGAAGCTGTATATTTTCAACATCCAGAACAGAAGGGATGGAATAGAGGAACTATTGTGAAACGAATTGCTACACGATCTTACATTGTCAAATCGAAGAATGGTGTTACATACAGACGAAATCGTGTTCATATCCGTCCTGATGAAAGTTGTAATATCGAAAAATATGAACCAAGTATTCCATTCTTGTCTGACTATAAGCCGAGCAATCTTCCGGTTGCCAATGACAATTCTCGACCTCTGATTTCGAATGATGTTCCAACCAGACCTCGTCGAAATCGTAAACCTATTTGGATGAAAGACTATGTGACTCAGTAGTGACTATAACTTGATTTTGAGTGTTAAATATTATTGCTCATTTATGTGTCTTAATTGTAGTGGTCATGAATTGCGTAATAGGTAAAGGTGAATATTTCCTATTCTGAATTTGAAAATAATTTATGAAATTTATCTTAAACAAAGAGGGATGTTGATGATGGCTAATAATGCCTTGTCGAGTAACGTCCCTAATAATTGATTGTGCTATCTGTCTTGTGTTAACGTGTCGCAGTTGCGTCACTCGCTAGTATGTTCTGTTGCTGTATACATCTTATGTTGTGTGTTATGCTGGTGTAATAAAGAAGTGTAAGCGTATTCAGTTGAACCCTTATTCTATAATAGCTTGGGTGTAGAACTTAACATATAACCAAGAAATTATTAACACTTGATCAACCTGCTATATAACCTCATCCATTTCGATTCTGAATATTAATTTTGCCTAATTGGTATTCGCCCTGTCAGTTGTGTTTCCAATTTAGAAGAATGCTCGATAACATCAATACAACATAAATAAACGAGTAATGCTCAAATATATGCAAAAGAAGACAAAAACGCAGTAGTACAGTTCCGATAGTCTTCCTTGTCAAAAAACACCCGACTTCGCTGGTCATCAGATCGCTGAAATGCGCTCGTGGAACCGCCACACGGTGCGCAATTTTTAATTTTGACGACGTCAACACACAAAACTTCAAAGGGAAAAACGAATTTCATGAAGGCCGCATAAATTGTTGAAATGAATAAAATCAATATTCTTCTAGCGACAACAACAATCTACAACCACTAAAAATTTGAAAGCAATTGGTCCAACAGTTAGACAGAATGGCGATTTTTTCACGACAACGTTAACAACTTGAAGAAGATTATTAACAATAATAACAATTCAATAAAAACGATCCATGGCCCATTTTGTGTCCAAAAAAAAAAACAATAGCCATATTTGCTTTATACAACCAATAATATAGCCTATACTTACTTCACAGTTAATTCCCCAGAACCCCGGTTTGCATAAGCATATATGCTTGTTCCTTGCCAGTTCACAAGTGCCGTTATTTTTACATGGATTTGGATTGCAGTCATTAACTTTCTGAATGAAAAACAAAAAAAACCGGACGTCTGACAAAATAATATTGATAATAAAGTGTACAGCACTTCAATTGAATGCCAAGTCGTTGGGAATCGCGCAAAACAATCTACTTGTCTGACATTTACTAACTTGTTGAAAGTGATATATGACTAATTTTAAAAGCTTAAAATTAAGTTAGCGGTTGTGAACTTGGCTAAGTTTAGAAATGGAATTGAAATGGTGTTATTAATATCTGACAAACTGCACGTACTCAAGCGTCCATTGGGCCAGAAAACATCATTCGATTAGAAACGGGTATTATGACGTTACGTTACGGTCCTTTTTATTACACATTCAAGAATATTAACTTGTGTTTAAATTCAAGTTGTTGATAAATATATAGGCTTATAAATGCAATTTCGAAGTTCCTGCATATTTTTGAAACTCTATTTATCATGTCATAATACATTTACGGGAATAAGAAATCGCCAGCTCCTTCTCTTTTAAATCTCAGATCTGAGTCAGTTCTGTTCTTGTGAGCATTGTTCAATAACAGTTTTCCACTGTCTATTACTTGTAATCAAACTGTGATATATTTCAAAGTCGGACACTTTTGTATAGCATTTTATATAAAAAGCATTTCAGAGATAATTATATCAAGTTACCTCGCAATTCGGTCCCCAATATCCATCAATACATTCGCATCGATATCTACTTCGTCTCCACCACGAATAGACACAGGTCCCATCATTTTTGCATGGATTAGAAGGGCAGCTTCTTTTTCGTGTTACTTCAGCTTAAAATTTGTTATTGAATTTAAATTTATGGTTGTCAATATTATTATTGAACACTGTATATACTACTGATCAGGGCTGTGGAGTTAAGTAAAATTTTCAATCGACTAGCCTACCTTTCAAGTTTAGTAATAGTTATTTTCTGACTTCTGGGTTGAAAAAAGTTCAACTCCGACGCCAGAGGACATTACATTTTGAAGAAAAAAACTGTAATAGAATGTCAGTCATCTTCATGTTTGCGAGTTTATGTATAAATTTTTATTATCATTAGGAAATATTTGATGAAAACGTACCATTTTCCGACATCAAAGCCCTGCTTGTTATAGAATAATTATCAGTAGTAGCCAATAAGCGTAAAGATTACCGATGTCTCGCCCTATTTTTTTACTCTATGCCTGAATATATCGTAAACCAGTAAGAAACCAACTTACCTTTGATTTCCATACATATGAATATCAGGAGAATTAGGTACTTCATTATTTAAATCTAATTTATTCCTAACGGTTACCTTATCATAATATTTAAGCTCGCGATATAGCCAGGAAAACCTTTAACAAATAAAATCTATTAATACTGTATTGAGTTCCATGTAGTACGGATGAACTAGATAGCATCGCGGTGACGCATTATAAATAACCAAATAAATATAAATCAATTACAGCACTTTAAGTTTTTAATTAAGTCAAGGATTACAAGTACTTGTACACATCCCGATATTACCGTAAGATACGGTTCCATTACATTTGAACCCACGTACATTTGAACCACGTACATCTGAACCCACGACAATTGCACCTGCATACTATTGCACTTATGGAAATTTTTTTGTTTCACGGATATTTGAAACCATACTAACCCTAACCCATGGGTTTTAGCACCCGCATATAGATTGAACCCGCGGATACACACATGGGTTCAAATGTACATGGTTCAAATGTACGGTCACCGTACGATACATATGTGCATCCTAGACCTCGATTAGAGAAGGGAGTATTGTCGAAGAAATATAATAGGTCAAAATTTTCATTTTATTTTGAGACGCTGACGTTGCAAATATCTTGTGGAAACTGTTGTTGTTCAAACGTTTTCAACCCTTTTAGCGATAAAGATATAACTCACATAGGTGAACACGATCAACACTGCAGTTAAATAATTCAGGTTACAATCGTCAAAGAGGGACACTATTCACCTGACACCGATTTTGGAACAGTTTCTATGCCAGATAATTACATGAAGACATATTACATTTGACATACCGTGTGCCTATATTGCAATACGAGGCAATTTTCGTGGAGTTTTGTGTTTCCTAAAAAACTAGATTCTTCACAACTTTCAATTTCTAGTGTCGCATGAACTGAACGGTAAATTCATCCATATACCATGCATGCTAATGGGTTTATATAGCTATTTTCCAACAGCTGCTGTTGAAAATATTGGCGGCTAATTTTGAGGGCTAGTCTTTTCCGGCCTTTCGATCAATTTTATATCTTTGCAACTGCACTCTTTCACTTACGATGAAAAAATGATTATCTGATCTATTCTTTCATTTTGGAAACATAACCAAAAACTGATAAATAACACTCAAAACTATGAAACCGGTTCAACATACAAATATTTCTGCAATTCTGTCGGAGTGGAAAAGGTGTCATGACTCCTTGCTGATTGGCCATTGTTGCGGAATTAAACAAGGAATCCAATTCTCGGAAAAGATCCATTTCATTCGGCTATGAACGTACATGTATAAATGACCACTTTTTGAATAAATAATTAAATTACCGTCTTTTAATAGAATTTTTTATCTCCGTAATTTTGGTTTCCTTTTCCTTGCTTAAATTGTACATTTTTGGCAGCGTTTTGTTTTGATGCAAAAGCTTTTGTTTCTGGTAACGCAACTAATGGGTGCGGTAGCATTTGTAACGTAAATTTCAAAACGCTCAAATCTTTCTCTCTGCCGTCGCTGATTGACTGCACCTTTCGACTTCTGGTCGGCTTCACTTCTGTGTCAGCCTCACAAACATCTAACGCATTTTAATTTGTATACACTACTAGATATTACGCGACTTAAAAGGTCGTTAGCACTTTATTTGGCACAAACAACGTCGGATTATCACGTTTTGTGGTAAGCTCGCGTGGACTTGACCGCAAAACATGGTATAAGAGCATCTCGGAAGTCACGATTCAGACGACGTGGTTGCAATATACATAACACTCAAGTTCCTGACGATATTAAGTCTATATTGGAGACGATAAAAATTTCCCTCGGTCGCGGAAAACATCATTGAAACGATGAAAAATATTGTACAGGTAGACTATAGTAAAATTGAACTTGAGTTCAATCGCACTAAAAAGAATGCAAGCAATATCAAACGTCAGTTATAAATAATGATATGAATTTGCGGTGCATGTCCGCGCTGCAATAATGCTTCTGTCGTATACGGTACTAGATCTGCAATAGATGAACCTTTGATTACAAAAGTGAGCCGTTACAGTATTTCAATAGTCGCAAGCTAGTATGACCACGCTAAAACTGCAATTTAGACTATTAACGAACAAATGTGAATTCAACATTATAAATCAAACGTCAAGATTGATTTCGAAAAGTCATTGCTACATCGCAAGTAGTGCAAAAGCTTTTCCTGACATTTAACCAATTTTGAATTGTGAGGCAGGTGACATTTCCAGAATTTATTACGAAGATTATCACCTAACATGCGAAAAGCAGTTTACGCAAGATAAAACTTAATTTTAGTAACTTGTTTTTGTGACCGGTTTCCAAATAAAATATCGTAATTTCGCATTCAGTCCCAAGCTCATGAAAATAAAACAAATAACCGGCGCACTAACTCCATAACCGACAAGGATTGGTAACCAAAAGAGAGGGCATGGCGCACCATGTGATTGAGATGTATTACCTCCTTTCCTCTCCCGGAGGATAAAAGTGACATTTTGTAACACGCTCGCCACTGATTTCCATAGATAACCACCAAGATCTATTCGCATATTCAGGGACGCATACAGGTCGTTCAGAATGGGTATCCGTATGGAAATTTTGAAACAACCGCCGTCTTTAAAACGTTAAATGCTGGCTTTTCATCTGATATTGATTTTTCGGTCTTACGGCTAGTCCATGCATCTGAAACAAATAACTGGCGAACGAATCTTATAAACGACATGCACTGGCACTTGGACGAGATACCCCATATGACTAAGACGTTATATCGGCTTTCTTTCTCCCGGGATAAATATAGAAATCCTGTAACTACCATGTGAATGACAACGTTGATGTGCCACTGCCAATATAATGCCGGAATCACTCTCGAAATATCATCAGTCACAAAATTATCTCGCAATTTTTACTCTATTGTAGAGGAAATAATGTACAAAAAAGATTTATTTGAAATGTATGTGAATTGCTGGTATGACTCCACGAGTGAATAGAACTTACATAGTTTTTCTGTGGCTAATTAGAGTAATTGATCAAGTGCCCTGTCAGTCCAAAAGCACTTGGCCAGATATAGATGGGACTCCCATCATAAATGGATGGTGGAAAAAAAAAATAAAATGGTCGAATTATGCTTATATTTATATATATAATTCATGTTTTTGCGTTAGGATATTGGATAGCTCGCATCTCTGCTCACTCATTATCGTGTATTTAGGGTGCTCGACCTCCCGGGTTTAAAAAACCATAAAAAGCGAGAGGTGGAGAATCAACAAAAAATGTCCATTTAATACCAATACGTATATACTCCATAGTCTGCCTTATTTTTAGGCATTAGGATTAACAGGCAGTAAAAAAGTGAAAAGCATATCCATTTTGCTGGAAGGGTCAACACATCTTCTGGGTTTAGAACCGGTAGTGATAGATGTGAGGTGAGCAGGCTTATTTAAGATCTGCTTTGCCACTTTCTTAGGTCGTTCAAGTTTATTCAGCTATTTACAATTCAATTGAAAGCAAGACGGAATTTGCTTTCATGTTCCTTTTTCATCATGTCAACTTGTTTACCTATGTCATCAACTTTGTGATTTAGAGAAGCGGAATTCGAATCCAACCATTGTAATGAGTCCATGTGAGCAGAAAGAATCTTTCCAATCTGTAATATCTGAAAAATACATCGATATAGTTTTTACATCTAATAACATTACAACGCTCCATTGCTGGTTAAAATGCGAGCCAAATTCAAGAATTAATTACCAAACAAAATTATCTGACTGACTTGGCATTTTTAGCTATTACTGCTGAAAGTTATGCATGGCAGTGATGATTATCTTGCAAGTTCACCTAACCAGTGACAAATTTTTTTCATTATGGGTCTGTGTCAGCACATGTTTATGGACTTACTGATTGGCTATACCCACACACATCCTTGATAAACAGGTGAGAGGGTTGTGTTCTGCCACATGATTAAGTCATCTTATTTGATATCATTCCCCTATTCCTTAATATATAATTTCATTAATCTGAGAAACTTGTGTCAAGTTGTAGTTGTTTTGCCTTTTTACTATTTAAGTCAATGCTCCCTAAAACAAATAACTGCTGATTAGGCTGTCTTATAGGCTGTCCTTACCGGATTATTAGCATTAGCAGGTGTACTTGTAGAATTGATATGTTCAACAACTTCTTTTAAATCTTGTGCCATGTTCTTCAGTTGACTGTCGATATTTTCAGCAAGATTGTACCTAAAAATTATGTTTAGTCTTAATAAACGAGCTCTCTAAATCTGATTGAAACTGTCCAGTCCATCATAAATTTTCTACAAGTCAAAATGGGCATCACACAGTCATAGGAAGTGGCCAGAATCCCATTGCTTGTTTTTTTTATAATTAACCAGATTCTGATTTATCATAGGCCATGAATTATTTGCGAATTTTTGGTCCCTGTTTTGAAATTGTTTTCTTTTATGCGGAAAACAATATTCAGAGCGATATCGGTTATTTTTTTAATCATCCAATTGATAATTATGTACCCAATTTGAATAATTGTAATTGGATAATCATGATTATTTATTCAATTGGATTCTTATCTTTACAGATAAAAGATAACAGATAAGATATATTTTCCAGTAACTAACGTTCGTTCTCTCTCTAAATCAGCATGATGAGTGTGGACAGATGATGAGAGAGCGGACATTCTCTGTTTCGTATTTTCTTCGAGTGGTTTGAGTAACTCCTCAAGCTCCAGTTGCTGAGTCTTAATATAATCTAACTCAGCATTGAGACGTTTTTGACTCGACTCAACATCATCAAATTCAGTATTTAAATTTGTGATCTGAAAATGAAATTTCAAAATATATCTATTTCTTCAGGAAAATTCCGTATTTTTGGATAATTTTTTTTGGCAACAAAGTGATTCTAAAAATGAAAAATAAAATCCCCAGCTACCAAGAGAATTGAAAATTCAAACTTGAATTAATTTGAAGCACAATTTGTGAGTTATTTATTTAACTGCAACAATAAACAGATTTCAGACTAAAAGAGATGTAATGTATCCATAAAGCAATAACGAAGCATAACAAAAAATAATTGGAGAAAAATATAGTTTTTTTCAATTTATTCTATGTTACTTTATTTCAGCTGCGCAGTAACTGTGTTACATGAATACTAACCTTATCAGAATTCTCGATCAGGAGTCTATTCCATGCATTAACATGCGTCGCCTGCGTCAAAAACAATTTTTCTTGTTGTTCAAGTTCTGTGATCCATGTATTTACTTTCTTCTCAAGATCAGAATATTTCATTGTAGGTGCTGTGACCGTTGATGATGTGGATGAAGCTGAAATAAGAGAGAAATAATTTAGTCATTAAGAAGATTTTTTTATTGTGAGTGGATGTTACCAGGCTGATTCAAAGTAAAACAACATTTTTATATCACCGAAAATAGGTTTTGTATGTTTGAAAAAAGTAAGTTGGATATATGAAATAGGGGAGATACTAAACTTTGGCCAAAGTGGCTGAAAAACCTGTTCCATTCCTCTTTTCAACAGGATGTACATATTTAGGTTTTTTTCAACCAGCAAGGCTCCTAAAAAACAAGATTTTTCAAGTGTTTTTTTCGAGTTCACTATTTGCAGAAATTTTTCAACGGCTAGATTTTAATACAGTGGATTGCTTATAAAAACCAAAAACTGTCTGGCATAACATGCATTCAATAATTCTACTTGATACAAACCTGTAGTGGATGTTGCGGCAGTGGAGGTTCCACCCAAACTGAATTTACTAGTGCCAGTTGTACTAGCAATTGAAGACGCTGTTGCTGCTGAAGTAGTCTGGGCAGTTGAAGACGCGTTGAACAAAGAACTACCTCCGCCGAGCTTAAACGCTGAAGATGTAGATACGGTAGGAGTCGGTGCTGCAGTTGAAGTTTGTCCCAACGTACCTAAATAAAAAATATAAATATATGGTAAAGGATCTACATATAACTCACAACACCTTTTGCAGATGAGAGAATGGCGCTGTTTTAAATACAGAAGTATAAGGGTAAAAGGCGCTCCAGAAGTGCATGTACCAATATATAACTATTTTTGTTGGCTATTTTACATCAAGTTGGGCACAGGTACTGAAACCTATGAGTACACACAGTATACACAGGGTATATTTATCGTAATTTGTAATAGAACTAAAATAAGAAAAATCAGAATAAAATTATCGCCCAACCCTAACCTGGTACACACACTACGGGAGTATCCCGGAATCATCCAATTAGGCATCGTCTTTTCAATTTACTACACTCTGGGTGATACAGTGGAAATGAAACCAGAGATATTTAACCAGTGCCGCCAGCCCGCCACCATAGTTGACTCTAACACTTCAACCACTGAGCCCTCTCGTACATGATTCAAAAAAATTTCACAGAGTATAATACATTATGCAAAAATCTTGGATTTTTCTCTACCTATGAACAAATAAACAACTTACTCAACCCTGCAGGGGTAGATGATGTTTTGCCAAAAGAAAACCCACCAGCAGCTGGAGCTGGAGTAGTGGTTGCAGTCGAAGTCGCAGATCCTAGTTTAGCTCCCAGACCTTCAAACAAAAATGTTAAAGATGTAGAATTCTATACAATCTAGGCATTTCCGGTAGCGCGCGGGCTACAATAATTTCCAACTATAACAATAGCCACATCAAACTTCAGATTATGACACACCCGCAACTCCTATTTCTGTGCTAATTACAACTATCGGCAAGTAAACGACATACAACAATAATGAATTTATGAGCATATTTATTGTATTGTAATTTTTATGTATTAAAAGTAAGGTCGTTCGAGGGACACAAAAAATTTGTTTGCGGGCGCATTCGGCCCGTGGGCCGCAGTTTGTCGACTTCTGATTTACAGTTTCCTCCATCATATAGTCCATGCATCTGATACCATCATGTTTTTATTTGTAAACCTGACCAGGATTGGCTGTAGTAACTAAATTAAACAGATTTATTGGATTTCCTCCAACCAAATATAAATACTGGAGATCCTATCCTTGACTGAAGTCACCGCAACTTTTTTTATTTTTTAAATCCATTTTAAATTTTCAAGCATGTATTTTTAAAATAAAATATGTCAAAAATTTACTAAGGTAGAGAAGTAGAAGTTATCTTGGAGATCAGAAATCCAGGAAAATCAATTTCTCCCTAAAAAATTATTCTGCGCAAATTAAAAAAAAGTCAACTACCGTATTTGCTCGTTTTGTAGCCTGGGAAGATATTTTCTTCAACCAGCACACTAACCGGGCCCTTATTCAGACCGGCCCTTATTCAAGCACGGGCGCTTGTTATTTTCGATCGTTACAATAATTAATATATTGTTATTTCCAGTTCTCAAGTATGATTTAAACAAGAATAATGAAAATTTTCCTACACACCGCAGGTACAAACCCGCAAAAGAAGAAAAGTTTTGCGACGCCCTATCAATATTGAAACGACGCACTTGGGCCTCGCGACGCCCAGTTTGAGAACTATGGTGTTACGTAATCAATGCTATCTGCTAGGTGTGAGTGTTATCTACGGGCGCCTAAAATTCAACAGCGTTGTGACAAAAACGCTTCTTATTTCCTATTGTTCTCTACCACTGAAAGAGCAGCTTTCACATCAGGCGGGTATTCAAGCACCGGCCCTTATTTAATTTTATGTTCTGTTCACACGGGCGGCTATTCAAACGAACCCCCTAATAATCAAGATCGAGCGGTAAAACGAGCATATACGGTATGTTAAATTTATATTGTAATTACCGAAGCCAAGCCCGCTACTCGTAGTTGATGCGGGTGCCGCTGATGTTGTTTTGGGAGTGGGTAATGAAAATCCTGAGACATTTGTCTGTGCCACTGGAGCAGATGTCGCAGCTGAAATCAAAGGGAACTTTAGTATTTATTTACATAGTATACAATCACTTCGTAGAACGCAATTTGTTTATTTTTATGAATCCAAGATACACATGCCTATTTTAATTTAATAAATATTTAAAATTAGGAGTATTATTAATTGATTTCAAATATTTGTTAATTATCGATGATTCGACTATACGGCTTACTCCCAAGCTTTTTACCTATCCGTGATGCCAGACAAGAAAAAGGTTAACATAGTTAAGGCAAGAAAGTTTTTCTACACCATTGGTCAAAGCACCTATATTCTTAGCCTAAGCAGGGGTGTGCGACCTTCAATACAGGAGGGTCAGATACGAATGACTGGGTGAAACTGCAGACCACATCGTTATCACACATAGGTTTTCTACTACTTGCAGGCACAAAAATTTTGGTTATTGAACTTATGACATGTATTGTTCGCTTCGCGCAAACTAGCTGTTACGACACTGTAATGTCATAAGTTCAATAGATAGTGAATTGGACTTGGGTATAGGCTTTGCAACGCAAAGGGATTGGTATTACTCGCACAGTCTAGGTTAAACTAAATTAAAAACTAGTTCCGCATGCTGCACAATGCACATCATTCAAAATTGGCACCTCCCCGCAGGTTGTACAAATTCACCTTGTGGACCGCATTTGGCCCACGAGCCGCAAGTGGCACACCACTGATCTAGAGAGTTGGAAAACAGAACATAGCATTGTTCTGGTCAAAATCCATGCAAAAAAGGTCGTATAAAAAGGTTGGCATCCCAAAGCGATCGTGTTTCTGCCCTTTTACTGATTATTCAGATGACAAGGTCACTTCTGATTAAATTACAACTATTTTATCAAACATTATTTGAAATTTCACCTGTAGCTTGACCAAAATTAAATCCTCCAGCAGGTGGCTGAGTAGTCTGAGCAACTGTTTTTTGGGTAGCTGTGACAAAGGAAAAAAATCTATTTGTATTTATTCTATAAATACCGTTTTGCCCCCCTAAGTGGGGGAGGCCAGGGTTACTGGCAAATGTATTATTGATAATTTAATAAAAGTACATAAAAACAAAAATTGCATTTGATTTTAACAGATAACTTGATTTTGAACGTAGTCCGATGGGTTACTCTAGAATTCTGCATTGCAAATAATTTCTATCTTGAATAATAATATTGATAATGTATTCTTGTAAACGAGTTGAGACATGACGAATTTTACCCTGAATCAAATTAATCAAAAATAATGCAGAACATCGAATATTTCATGTCTTACAGAAAAATGAAAACTTATTCAGATGACATTAAATTTTGAATTTTGTAAAACTGGAGACTATGGAGACCTCTATAACTTGTATTATCTTAAAGATGACAAATTTCGGTTTGATTCCCAAATAAAATCTGCGATCAATATCTTACTCGGAATGTAAAAATTATGAATGCTATAGCAAAAAAGGTCTTCGTCTCTTTTTTAATGAAATTTTTTCAGAGCAAGGTCACGAACACTCACTGAGGAATGAAGAAGATTGATTGATCCCCCGAGCTAAGCTATGGGAGACTCAACAATTATAGTGTAAAATTGGGTGTTCATAAATACAGATTAAAAAGACTTCGTAAACGTTAATGCCAAAATTCTCAAAAAATAATATAGAATCAAATCCGCCACAAACATATTTCTGTGATATCCCATCTTAATAAGCTATTCCAGGGTGGTCCGCGGGCTTCATTATCTGTGGCCCGCGTCACGGTCGGAGAGGAATTAAAAAATCTCAACTAGCGAAGTTAAACGAGCAAAGTTCTTGGCACTAATGTGGCCCGCGAACAATGCAAAAATAATTTTGTGGCCCGCGGAGCTGCCAATTTTGGACCACCCTGAGCTATTCTTTCAAAGACAAAAGTGCAAGTTAAAAAGCTTAAAACAGAATAAAGTACTTACGTGCACCTAGACCAGCAAACCCAGCTCCTAGTGTTATTCCAGCAACACTGCCAGCTGTTGTTGCCGGTGCTGCAGTTGCAGCAGGCTTATTAAATGAAAAAGCACCTCCTAGTCCAGTACTTGCCCCTGAAATTTTTCATACAAAATTTTAGATTAAATTACTAAAAAGAAAGCATGAAACAGAAACCTTTTCGGTTTCTATAATCCAATGATTAATATTCAGATTACAACCAGATATGCCCAAAACAATTAGACTATTCAAATCGATTCAGAATAAGATAGTTTCTAAATTCAAGGGATAATTTCACTAGAAAAAATTGATGTTTTCAGCAAGAGTAAAGACACAAAGCATGAGTGTCATTATGAAAGCAATTTTTTTTTTTTAATTCGATTAATTGATGCAAACACAGCCATATGTCACTTATAATTACTCCAGATAAAGTTACCACTTTCACATTTTCATTCAATAAAAAACAAGAAATTAGTGGGAGGAATTACCCAAGGGGGGCTTCATACTTTGGAATTGTATCAGGCTATGCTTGAATGGCCTACTCCTGTAGTGTGTGTACCAGGTTAGGGTTTGGCAATAATTTTATTCCGATTTTCCTTATATTAGTTATATTATGAGTTTGGGGACTGTCTGTGGTAGCCAAGTGAATAGGCTTCCGTCCCTTTACACAACTTAAAGTAAAGTAAGCAAACAAAATTAGTTACCTTTATATTGGTACACACACTTCTGGAGCGCCTAAATAGGTATTTATTAATAAAATCAAAATAAGGAAGAATGAATTTACCTGCATTTCCTGATAATGAAAATGGTTTGCTTCCGCCAGTCAATGTACCCGTTCCACTTAGACCTGAAATGAATAGAACAATTTTGATTCAATTAAGCCTTTTGAAAAACATTAGAACAGTGGTACTTGATTTTTTCACAATAAATGACCAGCGAAAATTCCCTCCCAAAAAACTAGATGGCTATGTGAAATCAAAATAAGTAAAAGAGAATATAACAATACTTTTATTACAAAAGTCCCTATGTTGTGTACACATTTTTGTGGAATTGCAAAAATCCAAATCCACTGTTAATATCAAGAAGGCCCATAAAAGGGAAGGGAGCACTGGTTCAAATATATGAACACATGAGGCGAACGATTGTCATATAAAAGTGTTCCTATAAAGCAAAATTTTGGGTAAAAAAAAACAGGACACAGGACTCGAAGTAAAGTGATATCTTGGTAGTTGAACATAGTTTGTTTCGGTTTGGTGTTCGACTACCGATTTTTCATGTGCGATGACGTCATAACAAATTGTTCACCTTGTGGCAGTTCGGCTCTCACACCCTAGTCGCAAAGATTGCCATGCCGGTAAAATCGCTCTCTTGTTGAATGGCCAAGAGGCAGTCGAGATGCGTGGTTCGAGTGACGTCATCTCACTCGATGGAGCGCTAGGGAGTTTGAGCACCGAATACCCGTTCAAATAACACAACATTTTTAGGCTAGAATTTTTTGGGCGGCTACCGAATTCAAATATCGAGTCGTTCGACTACCGAGGTATCACTGTGATTTGAATGAGAATAAAAGCCTTTTAGCGGCTTTAACTATCAAGTACTGAAAAATTTATTAGTTGCAAAAAAAAATCTTTTTTTCACAACAGCAACAATTTAGTATGACAATCCATATGTATACTTAATGTCTATTAATAAAATTGCTAATAACGATCTATTACCAAGTAAAATTGAAGACTTTTACTGGTAAACTATCTCACCCCCAAATGTAGGAGTTGATTGTGACTGTGCAATAGTAGATGTAGCTGGTTGACTGAAAGAAAACCCACTACCAGTACTTGCTGCACCAAGAGCTGTGAAATAACATAAACATTAGTTAGAGTCAGAGTGTAATGAATTGGGTAGGTATTAGGCAACATCGAAACTCGCAAGATTTTCTTTCTCAGGATATATAGTGGTCTTAACTCGTTAATGGTGCTGCTTGTGTAGAGCCTTGTTCAGAGTAAAAACATTGTATTAATTTTTTTTCAACCTTTCATACCCCCCCCCCTCCAAAAAACCAACCAATAATAACCAACAAGCAGTTTGAAAACAAATAATACATTCAAAACATCCCAACTTCGCAAGAATATATGCAAATGAGAATTATGGTTGTGCAGTATAAAATTAAAATCCCAAACAATTTCGCCACAGGAAGACTTCGCTTCGGAAGATTTCTCTATATAAACACTGCAATAAATCAACAAAACTTATATCCACATACCACTTGCACCACCAAATGAAAAACCAGTGCTTTGTGGTTGTGGAGCAGCTGCAGTTCCAAATAATCCAGATGCTGGTTTTGGTTGTGCTGCAGTACTTGCGCCTGCACCAAAGCCACCATTAGCAGCACTAGACCCAAACGCTGGAGCTGGAGTGTTAGTACTGACTCCACCAAATGAAAAACCAGAGGGAGCAGTTGTCGCAGCTGGTGTGGATCCAAATCCTAAAAGAGTAAAAGTCTTTGTTGACTTCCAATTCAAAAGTACAGGTTGATTCAATAACAGAACCCAGGTTTTAACACATCTTCGAGAGACCATAATCATAGATTCCTGAAATTTTTGGGCATAGTCACATACAAACAGAAGTTCAACTGTATCCACAATATTTAAGTCAAGCTATCACTGAAATCTCGCCATGCTTAGCTTACTTTATTATAGACATTATGAAGTTTTTATTCAGAAACTGAAGAAATTCCTGATTGTCAACAAAACTTAAATTCAAAATTATTCACTAAAATTTCAGTTTTATAAGAAGCCTTTCCATCTTCTTGTCTGCTTTGGAAAATATATCCAATTATGATGCTGCAAGGAAATGTGGTTTCGGCGAGAGGCTTAGAGCAGTCAAGTCTATGGCAATGCAAAGTGAAAAATGCTACAACATAGTGAATTCCATGAGTACTTAAAATCTACTTGCACACAAATATTTTCGCAACTCTTTTATCAGTAATATTTTGAAGGTTAAGCTTTTCTTTATAAATTGTTACAGGATTATCTTGCTACATACCGGTAAACTACTAACAGAAAGTAATAATTCAACAAATAATTTATGATTATGGAAGCTGCACCTGTTTTTGGAACTCCTGCAAATGCAAAACCACCTCCTGTGGGCTGATTTGTAGTTCCTGCATTTTGTCCGAAAGAAAATCCTGGAAATTCATTTATATTTTATTATTTATGTATGACACAAACAAGCCATATTAAGTAAAATAGCAACCATAAGCATTATGATTGTCACATGGAAATCAAATATCCACTATTACAAATACCTTCTGAAATAATAATTTTGAACATGGAATAGGCTATCGTATATATTCTGAATTCGGCAGAAATTAAATTTGCAAGATAGTTCAGATAAAGATGATTGATTCACATTTCCTACATTGTTAGAAGTAAAAGTTATCTTGTCGTCAGCTGTCCAATGCTTATATGTAAATTTTTGAAATACAATATTCTAAATTCTTTTGAAAAAATTTTTCTATGTCGAAATCCGTTTTTATCGTGTGCAATCCATATCTTCGATTTGTGATAGAAAAAAGGGACATATTTATCTCAGGAAAAGGAAAGCTGATAAGACGATTTAATCATATGACGAACCACAGCCTCTCTTCCAATTACCAGTCTATCTCAGGTATGAGACTTTTTTTCATATGCATGGCCTTGATGGTAGAATTCCAACCTGCGACACACACAGGTAATCAGAGGTTCGATGGCAAGAGTATTCCTAACGTTGTTACAATAATTCGTTCATTTTTCGAAATATTTTTTTACCTGTACTGGCTCCTCCAGAGCCAAAGAGACCACCACTGGCTGCTGTTGTAGCTGGAGTACTCGTTTGTCCAAATAATCCCTTATTCTGACTAGCTCCACCAAAGCTGTCAAAGCAAATGCTTATAATTAATCATCTCCTATCCCCTCAAATAAAAGTAGTAATAAATTACTGGGTTTGTTGGTTGCATCATATGAAATTTATTTTGTTAGTTTTATAACTTCTTCTATATTACTTCTTCAGATGTTAACATCTTAAACAATTGCTGAGGCCTGTCTGTAGGCCATATATTTTCTTTGTTTGTCTTTGTTTTTATCTCTTCAAATTTTGTTTCAAGAACTTTAACCACTTCTAATACAGTAATCTGGTAATAGTCATATTTTATTTACTGTGGACTTATCCCAGTATCTCATTTTAAATATAAGAGACAATGCTTTGTTTAGGTTGTGTAATACGGTATATCTTTTTTTTCAATTTTGGATGGTATTAAGTCAAGATTGAATTTGTGGCAGTATCTGAGAATGGGTAATAAACTCTTTTAACCAATTGTAGCATATCTCGACTGCCGAAGTTGAATGTCTATATCAGGAATAAACTTATACCTGACAGAAGCATGAAAATCTGGGACAAAAATAAGTGCTACCTATGGCAATACACTAATTAATACACTGAACCGTTTCATACTTTTACAGTGAACACAACGAAATACAAAAAGTGGTTTATACAAACTTGAAAGCCATTTCTTCGGTTCCTGAATATTCAGAATTGTATACCGATATCTCAGAAGCAATTTACTTGTTTGCGAGGAAGTGCTTGTTTGCCAGTGCTATGGTAGTTTTCTAACCTTTGACCCCACAATAATGCTTCCTTGATGTTTTAAAACTGATTTTTTGTGATGTCACAAAAAGGTACTAAATTAATATGGAAATTTATGTTCGTACGTTGTGTCGAAATGTAGCATATTTGTATATACTGAACTTACTCACGTCTTTTGCCCGGAGAACGACCACTGATCTTTAATGATATGCAAAGAAGATCTGGAATAGAGGCGTGCCAGGAATTTTTTAAAGGGAGATTCTGAAATTGCCAATTACCAAGTTAGACCGTAACAGCTATCGGATCCGGCCGGCAGGATTTGTACATCACAATTTCAAAGGGGGAGGGGTCCGAGTCCGACCCCCCAATTTACTTTCTTTGGCGACCGTAGTAGTCTTTTTGCAAAAAATAAAATGCGCCCGTCTATAGACGACCCCTGGTCTAGGGCTAGTAGGCCATAAATTATCAAAGTGCTCTATACGGAGAAACCTAGGGTCTCTGCTTCGAAAGCTTCGCGGCGGTGTGGCTCAACGGGCTAAGCGTTAGGAATACGCTCGCCACCGCACCTCTAATTACTCTGCGTGGGTTCGCAGGTTCGAATCCCATGCAGGGATGGTTATGTGCGAGAGGATTGCTGGACTCCTCGCCGTCGTTGGGTGGTTACGGCTTCCTCTACCACCAAGTCCATGCTTCCGAAAAAAAAAAAAAAATACAGTAAAAAACTAATTCCATACCCGACTTGGAATGGTAACCGGACGAGAGGTCGTGGTTCGCCATATGGATAAGCCGTCTTATCGGCTTTCCTCTCCCCCGGGATAAATATGTAAATCCTATCCTATCCTATTAGTTCAAATATTAAAATACTGACTTGGCTAATTTTGTAACTGTCCAAAGAAGCAAAAACAGAATTAAGAAAATTTGACAACGGCGACGTCGAAATTCGGATATGCCATTATCTATAACTTTTTTTTAATTCACCCATGAACATTAATCGGTGTATAAAAATATTTTTTCTTTTTTTTGTTCCTATTTTCATAAATTTATTGTGGGATTCCGTAAATAATAATAACCTTTTTTGGGGTTCTATACCACCGGAAGTTTGACAACCGGTCTAGGCTAGCAATAATTTTTAATAAAAATGATCGTTTTAAACATGTAAACCAGTTTCTAAGCGCCATCTCTCCAAAACACTTTCAAAGAGCATAAAATGTTTCGCAATAGTATGGAATTGAGAGGATTTATCTGGGCCCAAGGGTCGAGGCAACGTCCATAAGAGCTATTTCGAAATCGGAAATTTAAATTTCAAAATGGATTGAAACCTGCCAAATTGATTTGTAGATGACGTGAATTCGAAATGCCCCAAAGTGTCGAAACTATAATTACTGAATATATCTTGAACTAGAAAGGATTTACTACAGTGGCGGCGCGTCAATAGGGCCAACCGGGGCAATGCCCCGGTTGTTTTTTCGGTATAATAGAAAATATTCGAAAAATACCTCAATATCGGTTGCACAGACTGTCTACACTAGCCATATTCTCCCGACATGGTTCATTTTTCGCTCGCAAAGCCTTCGCCGAACGTCGACGGGACGACGCCAATTTTGCCCCGGTTGCTCATTGTATTGTATTGTATTCTCGTTCGTTGGTTGCTTGAAGAGTTGATAGTTTCCTCGCCTTCGTTTTTGTCGCTTGTTTCGCTATTTGAATCAGTTAGAGACCTTTAGTCGATTTGCTTTCGATTGGCCCTATTGACGCGCCGCCACTGTGTAAATCCTATCTAGTTCAAGATATATTCAGTAATTATAGTTTCGACACTTTGGGGCATTTCGAATTCACGTCATCTACAAATCAAATTTTGCAGGTTTCAATCCATTTTTAAATTTAGACCTTTAGTCCATTTGCTTTCGATTTTCCACATTCCTTTTGAGCTCCTCACTTCTTTCCGGCTTCGCATTTCTTAGCCTTAAACCTCATAATGAATAAGGTTGATGCACTACTTCGCACTCCGTTTTCGCAGCTGCCGCTGGAACAAAAATTAGAGGTACAACGTCTTGGGCCTTATCAACCAAAAAATTGTTCACTGGAACAATCCCATGACGGAGGAAAGCGTCGGCGTACATTCTGCGCAGAAACTTGGTATAAAAAACACGAATGGTTGTGTTACAGCGAGGACAAAAATGCACTTTTTTGTTTTTATTGCCTACTTTTTGCTACCGCCCGTGACTCACGTTGGTGTAAATTTGGTTTTAGAGATCTTAAACATTTTTCCGAGCGTGCCGAGGATCATCAATCTTCTATGGAGCATCTGGACAATGCAGTAAACATCAATCTTCTATGGAGCATCTGGACAATGCAGTAAAATACCGAACATTCGGAAATGTTAATACTGCAGCACAGTTGGATGAAGGACGCGCGGTTTCTATTCGTCGGCACAACCAAAACGTCGAGAAAAACCGCCATGTTCTCGGTCGATTGATAGATGTTTTGAAGTTCATTGGTTGTCACGAGCTGTCCCTCCGTGGGCACGATGAACGGGCTGGCTCTTCTAATAGAGGGGAATTTGTGGATATGGCGGAATACACCGCATCCCTAGATACAGTATTGAGAGATCATCTTGATGCCGCAACTGTTTCGAAAGGGACATCTAAGGATATCCAAAATGATTTGCTCGACTCAATGTATAAAATTTATTTACAACATTTGGCTCTGGAGATTGAGAATTGCCAGTTCCTTTCGATTCAGTCTGACGAGACAACTGACATCACGTGCGTTTCCCAACTGGCTGTGACTGGCTGTTTGTGAAAGATGGTAAACCTACCGGAAGATTTCACAGCTTTGTACCAATAGTTGATCGCACGGCTTGCGGGATATCGGCTGTACTGAAAGAAGTGTTACAGCCTTACAACGCGAAGTCAAAATTGATAGCTCAAACTTATGACGGCGCGGCAGTCATGAGTGGGTCAAAACATGGTGTTCAAGTTTATATAGAAGAAGATTTTCCTCATGCGCATTTTTTACATTGTTATGCACATCAATTTAACCTCGTTATTAAAAATATGTGTCTTGATACCCCTCTCGTCCTTATATTTTTTCCGTTTCGCCGAAGCGCTCTGACCTCCTTCGCCAGATATGTAGCCGCCGTCTCCCAGCTTGTGCACCAACACGTTGGAACTTCCAATCACGCGTGGTGCGGGGCGTGTCCAAAGTTAGGTCTGAGCTCATTGAGTGCTTCAATGGCATTCAGAGCTCTCCGGTTTGGGACGAACGCTCTGTGAGGGAGGCGGCAGGTCTGAGGCGTCTGCTAGCAGCTAGAAGATGGTGGGTTTTCATTTTTTCTCGCTTTTTTCTCCACAATATTCTATCACGTGGATGTATTATACGGCGCATTGCAGTCAAGGCTAATGGATGGAGCGTCTCTACAGTCGTGTATTTCAGACTTTTGCGATGCTGTATCTCGTATCCGGGAAACAATAAAATACAACGACACGTGGAGTGCTTCTTTACGTCGCGGGCAAACAACGCAGAGTTTGATTTTGTCTGCAAAGGAATGCTGTGACATTCTGGTGAATGAAATAGGCGATCGTCTGCGCACTGAACACCTTGCCGCGTTCTCTTTAATGAACCCCAAAAATTTTTCAAAATTTGCACGTCAATTTCCCATCCATTTTTTGGCTACTGTCTCCAAATTTTACCCCATGATAAACGTGGGTAAATTGGAAAATGAATTGCGATGTATATACACCAATCAAACTTTTTTGAACATCACATCAACTTGCGCGCTCTATGGGTTCCTCATAGATAACACTTTAGTAACTACCTTTGCGGCGTCTGCAAAATTTCTGGACATCATTTTAACGACGCCTATTTCTTCCGCCGACGCAGAGCGAACATTCAGCACGCTGAAGCGTATTAAAACGTATCTCAGAAACACAATGAAGCAAGATAGATTAAATTCCTTGGCTGTTTTATCCATTCACAGAGACGTTATTTCTGGGATGCATGACTTTAATCAGCGCGTTATTGAGCATTTTGCTTCCAAGAAACCGCGGCGTGTTGCATGGTTCCATTACATTTGAACCCACGTACATTTGAACCCATGACAATTGCACCTGTATGCTATTGTACCTATGGAATTTTTTTTGTTTCACGGATAGTTAAACCCATACTAACCCTAACCCATGGGTTTTAGCACCCGCATATAGATTGAACCCGTGGATATACGCATGGGTTCAAATGTACGGTCACCGCGTTGCATATATGTTCAATCAGTAGAAGTCTAGCAGCATATATATCTATGAGTGAGCGACGCATGTCCTTATCTTTGCATTACCTTTCCTTTCTTCATAGTAACGTTTTAAACCTTATTTTAGGTTTTGTCTGCTTTCCCGAAGTTTCTGTTAATATGTCATTGTATTTATCTGGGTAACTATTGCCTTTCCTTTTGAAAGAGGTTTCAAAATAAACTATGTCTATATTTATTAATCCCTTGACTTGGACCGGTTTTAAAGACACTTTCTTATCGTTAAAAATTGTCGCTTTTGCGACAATTGGTTGTTACCGATGGAATGGTTTTTATACTCATAAAATTATGGGAGAACTTACAGCGCTCATCCTGTCCCCGTAGATGGGGGTGACTTGGTCCCGCAGTAGCTTGCCCCGGTTGTCAAAATGACCACGCGCCGCCACTGGATTTACATATTTCTCCCGAGGAAGAGGAAAGTGATAATACGGCTCAATCATATGGCAAACCACCGCCCTCGTCCTGTTACCAGTTCATGTCGGGTATGGAATTAATAAGCCAGTTATTTGTTTTCGGAAGCATGGACTTGATGGTGGAGGAGGCCTCAATTGTCTGGGTATAAAATGCATCAAAATATCTTGGTATTGAATAAATGGTCACAGTGGGTGGGATGTGGATATTATTGACGATACGCTATTATTGACGGAATAAATACCTAAATCATACTTCATAAGAATGACAGAATGGTTTGGTAATTTTGATTT